GGACCATTTTCACTGCTCTGGGCCAGAGTAAAATGCTAAAAGCTTCATTAGCAATTTTCAAAAAGTTGCTTCTTCCAATGGATTTTAACCTGATCCGCTTCGTTCGAACCATGAAACCTCTCTGCTCTGGTCTGGACCAGTGCAAAACCATGAACACTGTACTGCAGCAACATCTCAGGTTGAAAAAAGCAAGAAAAAAAAAAAAATTGCAAAACACAAAATAACTACTGTTTCAGAGCTATTTAGGACCTGCTGCCGTTTTCCAGCGCATTCAAACGTATTGTGAAGTATCTATCCAAGTATTGTGACGGTTTGTGGTATAGTGTTAGTTTGCTACATAGTTAGTGTGCACAGTATACAGTGTTATTGACTAGAACAATAATGTGACAACAATGGTAATATTTCATTTATCTCAAGTGTTTTAATGCTACAAATTTACAATGGCTTCTTTAGAGCAGTAGAAATCGACGTCCTCTGACCCAATCAACTCTCATCTAAAGCAGCATATTTATACTACAGGATTGAAAAATATGTATTTTCTAATAGTGCGCAGTTGCCTGATGTTTAGCTTTTAGGTCTGTTAGTGTACAGACACTTCACTGAGTTCACTCACTTGCTTTGAAACAGTTCAAGGAAAATGTGAGGACTGTTTATGAAATAATGATGGCAATTATGACAATAATGGCAAGGCAAGGCAAGTTTATTTATATAGCACAATTCATACACAAGGCAATTCAAAGTGATGAACAAAATAAGAAAGCATTAAATCATAAATAATCACAGAACATTAAAAAGAAAGGTAAAAATATAAAATATAAAATCCCTCAGTTGTATGCACAGCCAAACAGAACTGTTTTTAACCTGGTTTTAAACATTGTCAGAGAGGAGGCCTGTCTCACATCTTCAGGAAGATTTTAGCAGCATGAATCTGAAAAGCAGCCTCCCCATGTTTAGTTCTGACTCTGGGCACTAACAGGAGTCCAGTCCCTGTGCTCCTCAGAGTCCGGGCTGGTTTGTATGGTACTAACATGTCACTAATATATTTTGGCCATGGAGAGACTTGTACACAAGCAGAGCTGTTTTAAAGTCTATTCTCTGAGCCACAGGAAGCCAGTGCAGAGACCTGAGAACTGGACTAATGTGGTCGTACTTCCTGGTTCTAGTCAGGACTACTTTAGACACTATGTTTTTGATCCTGGCAATGTTTTTTAGATGGTAAAAAGCTGCTGATGTTACTGATTTGATGTGGCTATTAAAATATAAGTCTGAGTCCAGTATTACCCCTAGAGTTGTTGAGTTGAGTTTATTTATTTAAGGGCCATGCACAAAAGTGCCCAGCCCACATGGGCTTATATATGGGCCTAGATTTCTGACCTTGTTTGAGGGTTTTAGGGAGAGAGACTGGAGGTGACAGATGACGCTCTCTCTTTGTTTCTGGGGACCAAAGACAATCATTTCAGTTTTGTCTGCGTTTAGCTGAAGGAAGTTTTTTGCATCCACTCACTGATCTGTTGGATACAGTGAAGGAGTGAGTCCACTGGTCCATGTTCTCCTGCAGTCAGTGAGACATAGATCTGAGTGTCGTCTGCATAGTTGTGATAAGAAACTTTGTTTCTGCGTATTAACTGACCTAACGGCAGCATGTAGAGATTGAACCGAAGAGGTCCCAGGATCGACCCCTGTGGTACTCCACAGGTCAGGGCCATATGATCTACTATGGCCTAGTTTTTACTGACATTTAAAACTATTTTTCCATCCTAATTAATATACTTGATTGTCAATCACAATATATATTCCACAGAGATGAACATTTTCCATTTCCCTTTCACTGCTGAGGCAAATGTCACTGAAAATGAGATTTAGGGACAGTAAAAGCTCTTTTGTGAAAAGATAGAATAGATGTATTATATTGTTTATGTAGGTTTGGTTAGAAGCAGCACCACATAAGTAACTTTACACAATTCATTTATAAAAAGCTGCCAATAGTTAAAGGTTCTGCTGTTTTAAAGTGTTACCATTAGAAATTAAAACTAGTTGGTATATCGTAGACTGCAACTTTTTAGAAACAAATCGATATTTCTGTCTAGATTCAGGGCAGCGTCGAAGTTGTTTTTAGAAACCAAAGCTGAAAGCGCAGCACTGTTGTCTAGAAGGTTCCCATAATGGACTTTTATGGATTTGAGTGAAAGTGCGTCAGAGCGGCTGGTGTCCTCGAATAGGCTTAAAATACTTAATGTGCGGTTTGTTAAAGACGCACATGTTTCAGATTGTTCTTTCGGTGAAGCCTTCTGGCACCAGTGTCTGTTCGATACTGTAGCAGCCGCTGACAGGAGCGTCCAGAACGGCCCACAGACCACTGTGACCTTTTGGAGACAGCAACTCCCACAGGTAATTTACCTCACTGCAATATCTGACAGCTTTAAACAGCCTCCAGGGTATTTGTGTAAATAATGTGAGAATTATGTCAGTCTGGCAATGTTCTAAACCAGTGTTTCCCAACCTGGGGTTTGCGGGGGTATTGCAGGGTATTAATATAAACTTCCAATTATTGATAGAATGAGGTTGATTTGGGCTGAGGAGCTCCTTCAGTGGAAGACTGAGACACCCTCAGTGTAGGAAGGAGCGCTACCGCAGGGCATTTATCCCCACTGCTGTCAGACTGTACAATAAGTCACTTTAAATGATCACTGTGTGAAAGCCTGCACTACTATTGACACTATTTCCAATTGACACTTGTCACTTTTGTTGTACAAAATTATTGTCACTTTTATTGTACATATATCCTGCATGTAACATGTTTGCACATTTCCTCCTTTTGCACAATCTGAGTGTCTCTATCCATGCCAAATGTGACATGTAAATTTCTCCTATGTGAGATAAATAAAGCACATCTTATCTAATCTTATCTTATCCCATGGCATGTTATACTTACTTATATTTAGAAAACCACTGCATAAATCATCATAAATATATTATCATTCATTTAATGCAATTTATTAACATTGAACACATGATGCAAGGAGAAAAAACTACTTTCTTTAAGTCCAATTTTGGTTCAGTCCAAGCATGTACTCATGTTCATGTTTGTTTTGTTAAATTAAAGTTGTATAACCCTAATAACAACTGTCGTCTCGGGAGGACCTTACAAAGTTGTATATTCACCAACAATGGATCATACCACTTCATATCATATCATATAGCACTTAGTCTGAATCTGAGAGAATTAAACAGTTCGAACACAGGGAATGCAATAATAACAAACACATGGAACCATTGGTCTATAGTGAGCAGGATGAACAATATCCATAAATGTAAATAGATGTCCTTTACATTTCATCACTGTCCTTACATTCTCCTGTATCAGCAAGGAACAACTCAAAAAACAGTGCTCCCTTCTCCAATGAATTGAGAGGCTGAAGCTCCAGGACTCAGGTTGTAGAATGAGGACAGAGGCGTGGTGCAGGACTGACTCTGAAAAGTGTCTCTAAACAAACAGGCTGGAGACAAGCTCATTTTGTTCTATGTTACGCTCGATGACTGCTCAGTTACAGTATGTAGATAGAAATAACCTTTCATGCGTCAATAAACACATTTTGTTTTGTAATATAATTTGGCAGATTCACAAAGAGAGCAGTAAAAGTGAATTTGAAAGTTAAGTGCCACACAGGAAACCACACGATGTTTGTTCGTGTTAGAGGCCATTGGCTGCAGGATGTCCCTCTTTAGAAGTCTGACTGATACACAAGTTCCACTTTCATATCGTATTAGTAAGCACTTATTGTCCATCACAATAAAAATGTAAAGTTCATGAAAGTTTGATTGAATTTAAAATGACGTTTGAATGGTTGTGTTAGAGTGTTATGGTAAGATACTTTTTAAACAGTTCCTGATCTCAACACAGCATCTACTGCTCAAACACAACTCACAAATCATGCATTTGTTTTGATGAAAAGATTGATACATGAACAAACCAGAGGGATAAAGCTTTAAGTCAATGACATAATTGTTTCTTAAAGCCTGATCTTGCCTCTTCTGGGAAGCTAAGCTGTGCAGGGCCTGGTACATAATGTGATGGGAGACCACTTTGAATACCGGGCGTCACAAGGATGGCTGAGGCTCTAAAGTACTAAACAGTTGTTGTGTCATCTGTCCTCACAACACAGGGAACACACTTGACGCTGCTGTTACTTTGCAGTTAGACTCCAGGGGACTCAAGGCCTTTCTTTGTGGAGTTTGCATGTTCTCCCAGTGTCTTGTAGGGTCTCCTGTGTATGTGGAGTGAATGGTCTGTGAAAAGCGCAATATATTTCGTAGTATCAGTCTGGTGTGTGACTGTTTGGTGGCTACATTCGCATGAATTGTGTACGGAATGAATGAAAGAGTACATCGCTTTGAGTTAGAGCTAAGCAATGAATCAAATCATTCTTTTTGTAAATTGATCACAAGAAAAAGGTAAGGACATTTAAATCGAGGTCTGGATAATGTGCCAGTTTTTTCTTCGGGTCCAGCTACAGTCGATGGTTCCAGCGGGACTTCTTGTGTACTCTGTAGTTTAACCAATTGGATTATATCTGAGATGTCGGTGCATGTACAATACAGTTGGGATCTGAAACAATATTGAGATGCGTTGATTAAATCACAGGCCTTCAGTGACTTGGATTTAAATTGATTTAAAACATTTACAAAGGCCTCCTGATCCAGCCAAGCATCAGCTAGAGATGGGTCCCCGGGCGCTGTGCTAAGGCAACCACTGCTCCTGACAGAGGCCCGTGTGGCATCAGGATGGGTCAAATGCAGAGGACAAATTTCCCTACGGGTGAACTTAACTTATTTAAAACCGGCATTTAACCCTTTTGCCATATCCAGCCTTACTTTGAGTGTATTGAAGGATGCTAAATGCGCTGCTCAATATGATTCCAAAACCATCTCATACAGTATCAGTGCTTTCACCTATTGTTATGACTCACATGTGACTCATCTGTGCCTCTTTGTTTTTGCAGAGGAGGAGCGACGGGTCAAAGCCAACGACCGAGAACACAATGAGAGGTTTCAGTATGCGGTGAGCTCATGACTTCACTCTGCAGACTGTAACTCGAGAGTAACATCTTTTTTTATTGTCTTTTAGAGTAACTGCATCACCACATCCAAGTACAACGTCCTCACTTTTCTGCCCATCAACCTGTTTGAGCAGTTCCAGGAAGTAGCCAATACCTACTTTCTGTTCCTGCTCATACTGCAGGTGAGGCTGTTGAGGATTCTTTTTTGTTTACCATTTGGGCCTGTAAAAGTTGAGGTGGGAATCTAAAGATAACTTGAAATGATATGTGCGTAATACATTTTCATTTTCTCTTTTGATTTGACTGTTTTAGACCTAGTGAAATGAAATGTCCTAGTATTATTAAGTGCAATAAATCAGATTAAGGGCATTGGAAGGAGTGGATATACTGACTGTTTATCCAGTTCACAGTTAACAATATTCATTAACTTTTTATTTAGACATTGACAGAAGAATACACCTGTTTAACCTTTCTCCCTACTTTGAAAGTCTCCACTAAAATTTAATTCAGCAATTATTTTCACAGGTAGACTGCACATATCTCTGTATAATCTCAGTGTGTTTTGTTCAGCTGATTCCTCAGGTCTCCTCTCTGTCCTGGTTCACCACCATCGTGCCTTTAGCTCTAGTGCTGAGCATCACTGCGATAAAGGACGCGACAGACGACTATGTGAGTCTGTGCACTTCAATCTGGAAAGACTCAGACAAGATGTGTTAGAATGATGTTTAGCACCTTAAGGTTTCTTTGATATGCAAGGTGCAATTGATGTATTATTATTTTCTGAACGCGGTTTGCATGCAGTTTATTGGCTATATATAGTCACTGCCTTATTACCGTATTTTTCATATTATAAGTCACAGTTTCGTCATAGTTTGGCCGGGGGTGCGACTTTCACTCTGGAGCGATTTATGTGTCAAATGATTATAAATTGTATATATTATTTTCTGTAAAATATCAAACAGTAGCCCGAACTATTAAGTTGAGCTGATTCTTTGGTAAACTTGTTGCATATAGAACATGCTAAAGTTTCCGTACTATGTTACGTTAACACACCGGGCACGTTCTCAGTTTGTTGTTTTTGCGTCATATAATGCACACTTGCTGATGATATGAACGGTGATAGGGTTGAGTCGGGTTACTGCACGAGCTGAAAGCTTCTACGTCTGTGAGGCAGCGTTTAAATGCAGGAGATGAAGCAGATACTGACGAGCAGAGACACAGGGGCTGTGGAGCTGAGCTGATTGGAACAGGAGTGTAGTAGTGGGAGGATTGAAGTGAAGAGTTGGTGATATAATGACTATGGGAGATATTCTGTATAAACATTTGCTTTAGCTCTATTTCTAATGCTCTCATGTTTGTGCCTCATGCTCATTAAGTGTTTCGTCAACACAGAAATTTATGACAGAAATGAGCCAGCTGCATATTGTCTTCCATAAAATGTGTTCACATTTACAACTATAGCATTTGTGTTTAATAATTTGTATTTCAATTATTAGCAAGTATTGTGTAGTCCACAAATCAAGTTGCATTGACAAGAGCTGGGCAATATATCCAAAAATTGATGAGTCAGTTGTATTCAAGAAAGAAAAATGTATCATTATCATCGTTATCACCAGGGTTTGTTAGTCTGTTTTAACAGTTAGTTAGCAACATAGCTCAAACAGTTTTTGGGAAGTTGGAAAATTAAGGAGGAACCAACAATTACATTACATTTAAACAATTAAATTACATTTACTACAAGTGCTAGTAGTAGTTATGATTTAAGGATCATAAAGTGTCAACACATACCACAGTAGCACATTGTTATCAATATTTGCCTCCTCTAACATTCTTTTATTCGTCTGCAGTTCCGACATAAAAGCGATAACCAAGTGAACAACCGGCAGTCCCAGGTCCTCATTCGCGGCTTGTGAGTTAGAATTCCATCATTATATTATTTAAGTTATATCTTCATATTCATAAATGTTACAATCGCTTTGTTTTCTGTCAGGATCCAAAAAGAAAAATGGATGAACGTTCGAGTAGGTGACATCATAAAATTGGAAAATAACCAGTTTGTGGCTGTAAGTATCTGTCTAAGAGGAAATTCTTTTTATACTGTATTCAAACTAGATTACACAGGATTATTTTGGCTCCTGTGGTCACTATTGTTCTAAATGTAACTTTGCAAATCAGATTTGTAGATGCTTGATACTATAACTGTCTTCTAATTTGTCAGATGTGATTACACTTTGCACTGCAAAAGCGGACGTGACATACTAATGCGTTGTAACGGTCAGAATAACTTGAACTAAGAATAATTCTCTTTTAGAGAGAATTGAAAATAACAAAATAAATCAGACAATGTAGTAAGTGCAATGTCCATATAATCTAACTGCGAAATAAAGAAAATAAAAAGCAACACAGAACCTTTTGTTACATGAAAATCTCATCGATTTGATTCATGTGCATACATAATTTCTGTACAGTTTTATAATCATGAATAAGCCATTAGAAGTGAAATTCTAGTGGAAAATATATTATCTTTAATTGATCATTTTTGTATTCATATGTAAATGATGTCTTCACAGCACTGTGTTCTTTTTAACCCTTGTATTATGTATGTTGAAAAAAAATGACATTGATTATGTTGCGGGTCATTTTGACCCGTACTGTGTAAATGCACTCAAAACAGTCAAAAAAACAGGTTAAACCAATAACAACTTTATTTTAGGTTATATAAATTTAGAAAAGTGACATACAATACATTTTTCATTCAAACGCTATATTTAAGAAATATTTTGTCTAATCTTCTTGTCCTCCTTGGGTCAAAATGACAATTCTTCCCTCCTTCTTTCCTCCTGCCATGCTTTCTCCTTCCTTTTTCTCATCCTGTTTTCCTTCTCTCTGTTCATCCTCCTCCATTCCCTTCTTTTCTCTTCCTTCCTTTCTTCCTCTTTCCTTGACCAAAGATTCGTCCTCTGAATCCTCCTTATCGTAGGAAAATTTACAATCTGGATCAGCAATAACACTGTCCTGTCTCTGAAAAATCCTCTGTTTCTGAAATCTCTTCCTACATCATTATCCCAGTTAAAAATCTGTGATAAAGCCTCCTCAGATGTCATCCTTCTGGAGCTCATTTTTGGTGAGTTTGTCTAAAGCCTAGCATACATTGACAGAGTAACTGGAGACAACTAGTTGCAAGGCGGCTTTTGGCAACTGAGAGGAGATGATGGAGATGATCAGTTGCCGAAATCAGTCGATATGAGCGCTCTTACAACTGGAGATAAACAGTCGATCTCCGGATTCAGTCAGTTGCCCGTGTTCTACTTTTCGGCAACTAGTTGTCCTCAGATCCAGAGATATCACCCGATGTGCGCGCTGTGCGCGCTCCGTGGCGCGCTCCAACAAGATGTGTGTATTGCGTGTATTGCGCGCCCTCTACAGTTTATGTCAGAAAACACACTGTGGTTGAGGCCAGTTGCTGTTGATGTACGCGCTGTTATTCCCGAGACTGGCCTGCTACTAGGAGTTGCCCGTTTTTGCCAGATTGTCGATGTGTGCGGGGGAGCAACTCATAGGCGACGGATATAATCAGTTGCCAATACGATGTACGCTAGGCAAAAGAAATGACATGAGAACAGTGACAAGGACAAGTGTGAGAAAGTTCCCTCTCTTCACACACCTGGCTCTGGGTCTCAGAGGCAATCAAAATACAATGTCAAAGAGACATGTTTTTTTGGATCAGAACAACTATTTACCCACATTAAAGCGTCTGGGTCAAAATGACCCGCAACATCATCTTTGTATACAAACTCTGCACAGACATTCCACTACACATCAAAGTATCCAGATTTTACACACCAGTTCATGACCCTAGATGAGGAAAAGTCACCAAATTTCAGCAAGAAAAAGAAAGGGTAACCAGTACTTTGATCAACAAAAACATTGAAATGGGTCAAATTGACCCTTAACATAATACAAGGGTTAAGTCAAGTTGACATTGACATTAGAAAGTAACTCTAGATCTTTCCTAGCTTTAGTAATTTACCACAATAATAGATTAAGGTAAACTGAATTTTCTATCATTAAAAAGGGAAAAGACGTCTATATGAATGTCAGTGTACAGTATGTATATGAATAAGAACCCAAAGCGAGTGGTCTCACTCTGGTCCCTTTTGCAGTGCAGATCAGTGGATGTAGTCAGTGCTAACGTGGTTACGGTGAAGGATGTTGTGTTTCCAGGCCGACCTGCTGCTGCTGTCCAGCACGGAGCCTCATGGACTGTGTTACATAGAGACGGCTGAGTTGGACGGGTCAGATCTGCACTCTCACACTCACAATGTGCCCTGGCTTCAGTTACAGCACACCACAGCTCACTAAAGTGCTGTGTGCTGGATTATCTTTCAGAGAGACCAATATGAAGGTCCGCCAGTCTGTCTGCGTCACGTGTGAACTCGGGGACACCAACAACCTGGCTGCATTCAACGGTGAGAATATGTGGTGTATTCGTGGTCACATTTGATTGGATTGAAACAATACTGAGAGCAAGTATTGATTTACTAATGAAAAGTACGTATAAAAAGGACATTTCAGCATTTCTGATCAAATTTAACTATACCAATCAATCTGGAGAGACTCAACAGACAAAACAGGGGTTTTATTAGAATTGTACATTGATTGGCAATTAACTGACACTGCATAAATGAGTACATACGACCTTGATGACAATAATTATAAGATTACATGTATTGCATGGTGTACGAGAAATGTGGTTAAGTTGTGACGCTTAGACCCCGGCAGAGCATGGGAAAGCTCTGATTTCACCACAGTCAAGCGTATCGTTAAATACAGAATCACCAACAGTGAAAATATGAAGTCTTCCCAACAGACCCATGTTATTCAAAATAAGATCTGGTGTTTAGATAATATACTTACTTTAGTGGCTGCATTTTAGAGCTTTTTCCATTGTCACTTTGTAATTGGCTTTTGATCCTGGAATGCCCACACCATTTTCCTTTAGCTGTCAGGGTTGGGATTCAGCCAATCAGCTCCCACCCACCTTCTTTGACAGGGCCTAATGTCAGCAGGATACGCCCACACAGAACCAAACGCTGTACAGAAGAGCACACCCAGACATTTAGCACCTTTACAAAACAGCTGATCGATCATACAGGTCTGTTGCAGAAGTCTACGCTTCGTAATACAATAATAACATCTGTGTTTTAGGTGAAGTAGTGTGTGAACCCCCCAACAACAAGCTGGACCGTTTCAGTGGGACCCTTTACTGGAAAGACCGGAAACACAGTTTGACCAATCAGAACATGCTGCTGCGTGGATGTGTCCTCCGCAACACTGAGTTCTGCTATGGCCTGGTTATCTTTGCAGGTGAACCCACTCAGAAATGTACAGTCTTACCACCAAATGGCTTGAAATCATAGCTTTACCTTATGACTTGCACAAGAGTAGTTGTAATCGGTTCCTGTAACAATGCTTCTTGCTCTGTCCCTTTCAAATAAACACATAAAAAAAAAAGATTATACCGTGTTTTTGTATAGAGTTGTGCTATTCCTAATATTCACTTATCTTCTTGTGTGCTCCTCATTCCTACTATTCTGTAACTTGTGATGCAACACTGAAATTATCTTCAGAAAATAATCTTACTCTGATTCAAAAACATTGTACTTATTCAAATGTAGTCTGTTTGAGAACCTTTTGGAACACTAACATACTGTATGACTGGATTCTGTGACATTGGAAACCTGTAGTTTTGGCCTCTGAAGTCTCACTTACTTTATTACTATTTATAGGTGGGAACAATCTCTGGACAGAGAAATCTCAAGCTCTAAAGTCCAGCTAAACATTCTTTGTAATATGTAAAGGAAGGTAGAGATGGTGTCTGTAGGTTGAGTCTAATTCACTGTAGAATATTTTGACAATTCCCACTTCACAACTGAGGTAAAGTTTACTGAAAACATAGCTCCCGGAAGAATACATGGAAAATCATTATGTATTGTTTGGACATTTTGGACTATATTTTATTTGTGAGTTTGGAGTTGAAACTGGTTCTGATTAATCCCAGAATGTTTTTTTTTTGCATCCACAGATACAGATGACCTACTGTATCACCACTTACACAAAGTTACAGTGTTGCTTTGAATAGTCACAATTAACCAGTTGTATCTGAATTCAAGCTGCTTAGCTAATGTGCTTCTTACTTGTCATTGATGTATTTATTCATTTATTATTGTTTTATCTCAGGACCAGACACCAAGCTGATGCAGAACAGTGGACGCACAAAGTTCAAACGCACCAGCATCGACCGCCTCATGAACACTTTGGTCCTCTGGGTATGACATGAACAACTTTAACACAATCAGAATAACTAGATATGTTAGAACATGCAATTGTTCAAAATTGGTAAAGACTGTTTAGACTAGACTATGTCTATTATAATCAAAATAAAGTTAGAATTGTAGTATCTTGACCACACTGATCCGAGCTAAGTAAGAGGAGCTAACGCTGTTCGGCTTCTCTACTCCATGCTGGATGAAAACATTTTTTAACGAGGATTTACCTCCAGAACTGTGAGGTTGACTTTCTCTTTGCACCTCCATTGTCAGGTTAGGGTTAACCAGGTTTTTGTTTTGTTTTTTTACCTGGTGTATAGGATAACAACGGACGTTCCCCATTGTTTTCAGATCTTTTGCTTCTTGGTGTGCATGGGAGTCATCCTGGCTGTGGGTAACGCAGTGTGGGAGAGAGAGATGGGGGTCCGCTTTCAGAGGTTCCTGCCCTGGGACCCTCCAGTCGACAGCTGCCTCTTTTCAGCTTTCCTCTCCTTCTGGTCCTACGTCATCATCCTCAACACTGTGGTGCCTATATCTCTCTATGTGAGGTGAGAAAGGCTTTTCAGCAGTTCTAGTAATTCATGTTAAGATAATACAGAGAGTAGACCAGACACAGTTAACATAATTGAATTGGCAGATAATGAAACTGCTCCATAGTTTATGCTTAATATAATGTTTGATTTGATTTAGCTTGATTTTGATTTAGCTTGATTTCCCAAAAACCACATAGTTTTTAATGCATATTTTAAGATTAGTCAAAATGTAGAAGGACATGGCTGGTCAGGTAAAAAATATTCAACTCAATTTCAATTAAATGTATTCTTGTATTGCCCTAAATCAAAACAGTAGTTGGACTTTACAAAATTGTTGAATTCCCAACACAGATCAGAGAATCAAACAGTTCAAACTCAAAGTATATAGAACACATACAGTAGGTTCACTCCATAAGGAAGGTTGACCAATGTCCATAAGTGTTGATACAATTCAACATTGAGGCTCAACCCCTGTCCAATTCTTTTCTAACTGTGTTGGTTGAATAGACAGATTCCATAACACACCTGTTTTTTTTTAATGCATCAGAATTTCTCCGTCACACAGACCCACTAACAACATCAAAAAATCACTGTCCTCACACTGTTCCAAAAAACAATAACTACACTAACACTTATATCCAGCAATTACAGTGACCTACACACACACACCACCCCAAAATGCATTCAATCAGATTTTATATAATTATTGATTTGCATTGTTTCTGCAATTTGTCACTTGTTCTTGTGGCTTTCAATAAAGAAAAAAAAATTAATTGCCAGATTCCGAATAATCATGTACCATATGATATAGGCCTAAGCCAATTATAATCATTTGAGCTTGTCAGTTACCTCTCTTTTGCAGTGTGGAGGTGATTCGACTGGGACAAAGTTACTTCATAAACTGGGACAGACATATGTACTGTTCACTGTGTAACACGGCAGCAGAGGCCCGGACCACCACTCTGAACGAGGAGCTGGGCCAGGTGGGCTTCACACCACACTACATGAATATAAGGCTGAGAGTCAGAAATTCAGGTTATTGTAAAAGTCACGTATGCCTGCTGACAATATGAACAAGCAAAAAATCTATGTAGTTGGCAATGTGGAAGTGGAAGAAAAATCATGTATTGATGGAAGAAAAATAGTTGCTGATTAATCTAATATATTCCTATGTTTTAGGTTGAGTACATCTTCAGTGATAAAACTGGAACTCTGACCCAAAACATCATGACCTTCAATAAGTGCTCAATCAATGGACAAACTTATGGTAAACACACTCTTCTAGCTAACCTAGCTAGCTAACTTCTAGCTAAGCTCCTCCCTGGTTTAGACTTTTTCTCTCTTACTAACCTAATAAGTCTATGTTCCAATATGGGAAATTGGGTGTAAAATGTTTTGAAAACCAGTGTAAGTATAGTCTAATTGCACTTGGTTTTTTAGGGGAATTTACTGATCCACTCGGACCTCAACCAAAAGTAAGAAATCTCAAATGCTCTTTTAGTTTGTGTGTCTCTTTTGTATTTTACATATTTTTTGTATTCATTTGATTTTAGAAACTGGACTTCACACCTTTCAACTCCCTGGCCGACCCAAACTTCTGTTTCTATGACGACACGCTCCTGGAGTCGGTCAAAGTAGGCGACTACTGCACTCATGAGTTCTTCCGGCTCCTCTCCCTGTGTCACACTGTGATGAGTGAGGAGAAAAAAGAAGGTGAGTCTGTCTCACAGCTTAAATCCCCATCAGCTCTACGCAATACTGCATATTTGTGAGTGATTCACATTTTTCTTATAATAGATATATTTTATACTCCAGAGATATGTTTGTCAGATCTGTTCTGCAAACCACATGTCCTCAGGTTCAGATGCTGAAGACCAGACGTCTGTATTTATCCACAACAGTAACAGTCCTGCTTGTGTCTTATTTCCCAGTAAATGCATCAATATTGATTTGTCCCATGTCTTACCCCTCAGGATGTGCCTCGTTATCATCATCAGTAAAGATGCTACTATGATATAATTATGTTAGCCAAGATAGTGATAACGATTATCCATCTGCCCATCTTCTTCCACTTTATCCATTGCCGGGCAGCAGTCTAAGCAGAGACACCTAGACTTCCTTTGTGGGTACCACAAACACTTCATTTAGGGAAAGTATTCCCAGTATTCCCAGTATTCCCAGTGCTTGCAAATGATTATAAAACACATATGTTCATTGTTTTAACATATTATAGAATGAATAATGCCTGAAATTGTAGACTGTACATTGAAAAGAGTATATGACAAAAATATGAGTTTTCATGATTATGTATTTACTGCTGTGTTTTTGTGTCCCCTCATCGTTGGTGTGTTGGTGTCAGGAGAGCTGGTGTACAAAGCCCAGTCTCCAGATGAAGCCGCTCTCGTCACCGCGGCTCGGAACTTTGGCTTTGTGTTTCGTTCTCGGACCCCAGGGACCATCAGCACCACAGAGATGGGGCGCTCCGTCACCTACTCCCTGCTCGCCATCCTGGACTTCAACAACATACGCAAGAGGATGTCTGTGATCGGTACCTGCTCAAAGCTAATGTGCCTATTGTGTCATTACTCTTTATTTCAAGCAGTCTGTTTTTTTATAATGATAAACCACTGACAAGTAATCTTGGAAACATGAGACAAGTTAAATTTAGCCAAAAAACAAGCTTAAATACAAACAGACAGAACACCTGTGTTGGGTAAGTAACTTTGAAAAAGTAATTAGTTACAGTCTTAAGAAAGTTACATTATTTTGGTATTTCAACTACTTTGGGTCTGGTGACTGCTGATGACGCATACTGACATTTCGCTCCTGTCTGTCTGTCCCAGGGCAGCTGTGGCTACAGTAGTAGTTTATCACTGAGTGAATGATTATGTCACATGAAGCATCTTTGAGTGTTTCAAAAAGCTCTATATTAATAACTACTGCATTATTACTTTTGCCGTGAGAAAAATATATACAAAATGGCAATAGCAGTAAACGACTAATGAGTGATTTAAATGGTTGATTAGACTGAACACCGATATGATAAATATGTTTGAGGTGTTTATGATGCAGCCCCAGCTGTGTGAGATTGTAACTAAGTAACTAATGCATATACTATGATAATAGTAACTGTGTGTGTGTGTGTCTCAGTGCGTAACCCTGAGGGCAGGATTCGTCTGTACTGTAAAGGAGCAGACACCGTGCTGTTGGAGAGACTACACCAATGTAACCAGGAGATCATGAACATCACCGCTGACCACCTCAACGTGAGTGCAGAGACCCTTTACTGCCCTCTACTGGCCACTCAGCTAACAGCAGCTTGTGTATTTGTTACTTTAGATAATAGAATCTCAAACAATTTACACACAGTAAAAAAAAGTATATATTATATATTTTGATCATATCTGAGACCTGATTTAAGCCTGATTTAGGTCCATGAAGGCTTTTTTTTTTTGACACGACTTACATATTGTGGTCAGATTTTAGGTCTTCTGTTTGGTGATACTTTGTTAAAACCAGGAAAAGTGGCCTGCACTTACATTGCAGTTTAGAAGGTCTATAAATGTAATGGGGAATTTTTATTTTTTTCAGAATCCCACTATTTTGTGAAATTGTGCTGTACGTTTTTATCCTTTTTTCCAAGCATAAAGCATTATTCATTTATGTATTTATTTATGTGATAGGGACATGTGTACACAATCAACATGTGAAACACTACAACATTTATAGCCAAGGCTAATTTGCAATGTCTGTCCCTAGACGGACTTTTAACACAATTAAACCCACATTTTACATTGTTACATAAACATTATACAAAGGCAGGTGTCTCCCATCATCAATGATCTTACAACTGCTTTGTGACTAGTTTATAAAAAGTGCAAATCAACAAAGTCATTAGTGTAGTTTCTCCCTCCAAAATCATGTATCTCATCTTGTCTTGAGGGAATTCTGCATGGTCCCATCCATAACGGCTTCCTAATCGTGTGCGTTTGTAGGAGTATGGGGCGGACGGGCTGCGGACCCTGGCTCTAGCCTACAGGGAGCTGTCGGAGGAGCAGTGGGAGTCCTGGTCTGAGAGGCAGCGCAGTGCGGAGAAGGCGAGCGACTGCAGAGAGGAGCGACTGGCAGCTGTGTACGAGGACATCGAGCAGGACATGACGGTCAGTCTCAGGTCTTGACTCTGCAACAGTGAAAGTTACTGTCTTTGCACATTTGTATCTGTGGTCTTCCCCACTTTGACAGTAATTTGACCACAAAATAGGAACCAGTGTTTATTTTAAGTTGTTTATGCAGATAGGGGTTTTCTGCTGTTTTCTCTTCTACTTTCGAAAGGAAGTCAAAGCAAATGTGAAAAGCAACAGCATTTGTAAAAAAGCATGTTTCAAATTAAATCAATTTATTTTTGTACTTCCCAAAATTGTAGAATGAGGATGATTTACCAAAAGAGAAGTGGAAAATTAAACTGTCATTGGTAAAAAAAAAAAAAAAAAACACTCAAACATTAGCCAATATTCACTGGAACTAAAGGAGATATAGACATTCACTTTCTGCAGTTTTTTAATTCAATTCAGAAACTCTTTATTTATCCCCAACAAGCAATTAAAAAGGGTAGCAGTTACAGAATAAATGAAAAAGCCACAATACAAAACAAAACACACATTCATACTAAAAGGCATATGAGGCATAGAGCAGTGCCGGGGGAGGGAGGGGTCTCCATGAGCTGGATGACTGAGGGGACAAAAGTTACCTTCCTCCTCAACACAGCGTAGTCTGCGCCCCGATGGCAGCCGCTCAAACATGGGGTACAGGACGTGTGAGGGATCATCAAGGACCCTGAAGGCCACTCACAGGGCCTGTTGGTCACACAGAGAAGGGAGAGATTGAACTGGCTGACCAATTATTTTAAAATGATTTTGACCATTTATAGGTTAATCCCTCAAACTGCATCTCAACCATTTGGTAAAGGCCTATAATTAAAATACTAGGGGTTCAAATAACTCTTATTAGTGCTCTTGCATCTTAGAAAATCAAAAAAATTTACATAAATTGCTTTTTTCAAGGAGTGAACATTAAAGAGTTAGGGCGCTCTTTCTTGGACAAGGAAGAACTCCATAAACCTTAATAATTTTCCTTCCAATGAAAGGATTTAATCAAAGTGTTTGGACAGCTCCTAGGTGCCACTGCGATTGAGGACAAGTTACAGGATGGTGTTCCAGAAACCATCGCTGTCCTGTCACTGGCCAATATCAAGGTCTGGGTGCTGACGGGGGACAAACAGGGTGGGTCTAGTGTTGAGAATAACGTTATGATCTCACACAAACAGTGTAAGTGGAGCTGCTTTTAAAGTGGTTTTTTTTTCGCATAGAAACTGCAGTGAATATCGGTTACTCCTGTAAGATGCTGACGGACGACATGTCAGAAGTCTTTGTCATCAGTGGAAACACGGTTCAGTGCGTTCGCCAGGAGCTCAGGTTTGTCGAGTCACGTTGCCATGATTTCACAAAGTCCTACATTTTTCATGTTGAATTGTTTAAATCAATCTCAGTTACTTTGGGATGTGAAGGGAGAGAGTTTATCGAACTGAGCCCCCTACTTCTTGAAAGAGCAAGAATATGTCATTCAGGTGAGGTCTATCCCCATTGGTCTAATTAAACTCCTCCATAAACTGGTGGTAATAATATTACTTCAACAACTCACTTTAAATTGTGATAAAGAGCCAAGTGAGCAAAACATATGCATTATTTTTTTAAATTAATTCAATTCAAGTTATCAATCCCACTTATAAGAGTTAGCAATGGATTAAAGAACTAGATAGATTTTCATCCCAAACGAATATCTTGTGATTCTATTTTCACAACCGAGCAAAGATTAAAGCAATAGAAAATGGAATGGATAGAATTGGCTTGAAATTCATACGGCCCTCTTTTTCTTTTAACAGACAAGCAAACTAATGAAAGCATACAAAAGAAATGATGTAAAACAATGAGATAAAAAGACAAAAAACAACAACACAATAAAAAAATAGATGAACTAGATACTTTGTTCAATGGTGTCTTTGGTCCCTGTCTCTGCAGAGCCGCGAAGCAGAGGATGGTGGAATTGTCCCATACCTCAGAAGAAGGAAAGGACGTCTTTGCTGAAGCCTGTGTTTTGAGATCAGAATCACGAGGAGATGGAGGAGTTACAGAAGGGAAAACTGAACGACCTGTAGAGTCTCCTGCTCCTTCGTTAAACCACATAGACAACATCTCTGGAGAGTTCGGCCTCGTCATCCACGGACACAGCCTGGTACTGTTTCAACCCTCTTCACTCATGTGTATCGTATTCAGTATGTACTCAGGCAAACTTATGACTGAACCTGGACCGTGACAACCAAAAAAAGGTGTTTCTTCATTTTATTGTGAGTCACTATTTGACGCTTTGGGCTAAGAATGGAAGTATTTCATCCAGATATGTAATGGACCAAAACTACATGGATGCAAACACCAGTGATGGAAATGTTTACAGAGTGGGAACTAGTTAGATGGATTTTTTTTACATAGTTACATATTTGTGGTCTGTTGTTAGTCAAGAGCTATGGAATTTTTTACTATTTCAGTTTTTCTGTTGCTGTCTTTCTCTTAAGTTAAAATACTGGCTCACGTTGCAACAATTTAGCTTGCAAAGGAATAACTAAACTACTAATATACCCAGAAATAACCCCTTGGAGATTGTAGATGCTCTTTATAGCCATAACTAAAAGTACTTTCACTTTTCAGTCCAGTTAAAAGATTAGAAAAAGTAAAAAGACCAAAACCATAACTGCATAAAGTGTATAAAAAAGGTGTTTGTTCCAGGCCCATGCGTTGGAAGCGGACATGGAGACAGAGTTCGTGTCCACTGCTTGTGCGTGCAAAGCTGTGATCTGCTGCAGAGTGACGCCGCTGCAGAAAGCACAAGTGGTGGAACTCATCAAGAGGCACAAGAGAGCAGTGACGCTGGCTGTGGGGGACGGGGCCAACGACATCAGCATGATCAAGAGTGAGTGTGGAGCCTGCTCACCTGCAAAGATCCTGGGTTGTGTTTAGGGATGGAATATGACATGTGGGATCAAGTGTTGTCTCTCCGTGGTTTTATAAACTTACATGAACAACAATCTAACGAATGTGCTGTCAGTTTTCCCCCTATGATAAGCACACACACACACACACACACACACATACATACACGTATACACACATTTTGCTGCAGCTCTGATTAATAATTTTAAAGGTGTGATTTTGTTAGCTTAGCCGTAGCACCAACTGGAAACCACTCCCCCCTCCCCTCACCTCTCCACCAAACCAAACATCCAGAATTTTCTTTTCTTTGTCACAACAGGGCGAGCCGGTGGCAAATGTGAAATTAGCATTTTCTGTTCAGCCCTTTTAGGTTTTAGAAAATCCGATAACTCCAAAATAATTTCTAAATATCTTTTATACATTTTTGGAGACTATAGGCATCTGCATAATTCCATTTCTATTTGAAAACACATGATAACTTGACTACTTTTAGGGTTTTGGGACATTTTCCCCCAATATTTAACAAAATGCGCTTGGAAAAAATCACTGACTGCATCTTTAAAGAGCTGAGTTTCACCCAAAGAAACTGGCAACCCAAGTAAGAGACACATTCGGCTGACACTGTAAAATCTGCTAGAATAATGGAAACGTAAACAATGGGCAGGTGCAGAGACATGAAATCCTTTATTTATTTATTTTGTTTTTTTTTATTATTATTATTATTATTTTATTATTGTGATATGATTTCAGATGTATTGTTCTGTCCTTACATCGTGTGTGTGTGGATATGGATGCAGGTGCTCATATCGGTGTTGGAATCTCAGGACAAGAGGGTAACCAGGCAGTTTTGGCCAGTGACTACTCTTTCTCTCAGTTTCGGTTTCTCCAGCGGCTGCTGCTGGTGCACGGCCGCTGGTCCTATCTGAGAATGTGCCGTTTCCTCTGCTACTTTTTCTACAAGAACTTTGCCTTCACCATGGTGCACTTCTGGTTTGGATTCTTCTGTGGATTCTCAGCTCAGGTGAGAGAGACCAACGGTGTGTTTCAGTATGTTTCAGTATTTGTAACATCTGCGTCTCTTGTCCAGACAGTTTATGATCAGTTCTTCATAACGCTCTACAACATTGTCTACACCTCACTCCCAGTGCTGGCAATGGGAGTATTTGATCAGGTCAGTCACATGCAGCTTGGCAAATTTAATGCAAATGAATTCGCTGAACAGAGGATGTCCATGGTCACTGATGCAGAACCTTCATCCCCATCGCTGTCAGACTGTACTATAAGTCACTTTAATGACCTGCACTAGGACTGAAAAAAACTTGCACTGCAATAGTCACTTATAAATGTTTTATTGTACATTATATATCTTGCACAAAAAAGACGATATTATAAACCTTTTTTAACATGTTTGCACACTTCCTGTCTTTTTACATAACCTGAGTGACTCTATCTATGTGACATGTGAGTTCAATAAAGCTTATCTTATCTTATCTTACGGTGGTTGTGGCTCTCTTCACCACGGCCTCTGCACAAATGACCTGAATAACCTTGGCTTGGTAAAACACAAGCAGGAGCAACCAGTAAGTCAAATTATAAACGTTATCAAACTTTTAAAACTTGGCAAGCAAAGATTTAATGAAGGCTTTTTTAACATTCCATAAATCATTTGCATGATTCCCAACCAGAAGAGCAGCTGTGTAATCATTCTGACTCAGCAACCTCTTTCTTCTAGAAAAAATAATAATAGATTTTTAGTTAATTCCTACAGGAAGTCAGAAATTAGATTTAAAATATATATATATATGGTATATATAAAGCATGCATACAAAACATGTAAATATAAATGTAAATGTGCACTTTATGGTTCCCGTACGGAAATTTATCCTCTGCCTTTGACCCATTCTGATGCCACTAAGGCTTACGTCAGGAGCCGTGGTCGGCGTAGTACAGCGCCCGGGAACCCATCTCCAGATGTTGGTGCTCGGCTTTGTCAGGACCAGAGCTGGAGGATTTACTTATTGTGCATGTTTTTGTGGTAGGGGAAACCGGAGCACCCGGAGGAAACCTACACAGAACTCCCTTCAGAAAGTCCCTGATCCGACCAGGATTTGAACCCAGGACCTTCTGGCTGAGAAGCGAGAGTGCTATTCACTCAGCCACCGTGCCAATTTGTTAAGAATACAAATCTTCACAACATTTCTTAAATTACAATTAAAGACAAGTGCACTAAGTTCACACAAATAACATTAATAAGTAAAGTAAAATGAATCCACTTTTTCTACATTTGAGTGAATTTAGTTGTGTAACATGCCCTTTCTCGCAATGGCACTGTAGCAAGAGCTCTGGTGTGTACTATCTGGTGCACACTGGGATAGTCTTGCACAGTTTTTCCAATGTGGTTTTACTGCAAATGGCAAATAAAATCTTGTATCTTGTATGTATCTCTCAGGACGTCCCGGATGCCAGGAGCCTGGAGTACCCGAAGCTCTATGAGCCGGGTCAGCTCAACCTGCTGTTCAACAAAAGAGAGTTCTTCATCTGCATTGCACAGGGCATCTACACGTCGGTGGTGCTGTTTTTTGTTCCTTACGCCGTGTTATCTGATGCCACCCAAAGCTCCGGAGAGCCTCTCGCTGACTACCAGACATTCGCTGTCACCACGGCAACTGCTCTGGTCATCGTGGTCAGCGTGCAGGTAAACGCCAGCTGTCCACTTATTTAAATGCCCCATCAGCTTCTGAAAACACAATAGCATAGACTTCTTTTAGCTGACACACACGCAAAAGATTACAGTTGCCTACTTTGAAAGAAAAACATCTCGGTTCATTCAAGTATACATTTACATTGATAAGAGGCTTGCAGTGAATCAAATTGGGAGTTTTTTCAGCACAAACTGTATGGTCTCTAAGTACACTGCTCACAAAAACTTACTGTAGGGCACACTCAAAAAACACATCATAGATGTCAATCAATTCAATTTTTTGGATGAAAATCTTTATTCATAGTGTGTTGAGAACAAAATAACATAAGAATGATAAATGGAAATAAAATTCTCAGGCCCTGGAGGTCTGAAATCAAAGTGACAAATGAGGTAACTGGTGGATCCAAATTCTGCAGAAATTCCTCAAAATGAGTCTTTATCATCCTCAGTAGTGTGTGTGGCCTCCACGTGCCTGAATGCACTCCCCACAACGCCTGGGCATGCTCCTGATGAGACCACGGATGTCCTCCTGAGGGATCTCCTCCCAGACCTGGATTAGAGCATCAGTCAGCTCCTGGACAGTCGGTGGTGCGACGTGTCATTGATGGATGGACCGAGACATGATGTCCCTGATGTGCTCTATTGGATTTAAGTCTGGGGAACGGGCAGGCCAGTCCAAAACATCAATACCTTCATCATGCAGGAACTGCTGACCCACCCTTGCCATATGTGGTCTGGCGTTTTCATGCATCAGAAGGAACCCAGGGTCCACAGCACCAGCATATGGTCTTACAATAGGTCTGAGGATCTCATCCCGGTACCCAATGCCAGTCAGGAAACCTCTGGCTAGCCCAAGGAGGGCTGTGCGGCCCTCCAATGAAAGGCCTCCCCAGACCATCACTGAGCCACCACTAAACCGGACATGCTGGATGATGTTGCAAGCAGCAGAACATTCTCCAGGGCGTCTCCAGACTCTGTCACGTCTGTCACATGTGCTCAGGGTGAACCTTTTCTCATCCGTGATGAGCACAGGGCACCATTGGCCAATCTGCAAATCGCTGTGTTCTCGGACAAAAGCCAATCGGGCTGCACGGTGTTGGGCAGTACCACCCTCATGGAGTCGGTTTCTGCCCGTTTCAGTACCAACATGCACATTTGTGGCCGTCCCGAGGTCATTTTGTAGGGATCGCGCAGTGCTTCTCCTGTTTCTTTGTGCACAAATGAGCAGATAGCTGTCCTGCTGCTGGGTTGTTGACCTCGGTTGGCCCGCCCAGGTCTCCTGGTGTACTGGCCTGTCTCCTGGTGTCTCCTCCATGCTCTGGACACTGCGCTGGGAGACACAGCAAACCTTCTTGCCACAGCACGAATGGTTGCCCATTTTGGATGAGCATCATTCCCTGAGCAACTTCTGTGGGTTGTAGATGCCTCCTCATGATCCCTCTAGTGGTGAGAACACTGGACAAATGCAAAGGTGTTCCAAAAATATGGTACAAAGGATTAAGAAAGGGAAATGGTAATGGCAAAACCATTCCTCTTTTGGAGGGATCTTGCTAATTGCCTCTCATTTCCACCTGTTGTCTGTTTAATTTCCACAACATCAGGTGAAATTGATTCACAATAAGTGTGGCTTCCTAACTGGACAGTCTGATATCCCAGAAATTTGACTGACTTGGAGTTACATTGTGTTTTTTGAGCGTGCCCTAAGTTTTTGTGAGCAGTGTATTTTGTGAAGATACGGAATTGGCATATTACTAAACGTTTCTGTCTGGCTCCTATCCTCCCAAAAAGCATGTATAATATGTATGTGAAAGAGAGTGGAACCGTACTGGGAGAGCACACAGAGCCATGTTTATTCAATAGAAAAGGCTCAGGCTGGGAGAGCATCCACACTTGCCATCCCCAACTGACTGACAAACACACCTGTTCAGACCTGTTATTTCATTCTGCTTATATATGAAATTCTGTCTTGTTTTAATGTGTCTACCCCAACTCTAAAGTGCCTGGGTGTCATATGCAAAGGGCTGGATAAATGGTAGGCCTATGTGTTTTTGCTGTTGGTTGTTTAATAATAAAATGAATTTATATTAATAACTGAATTTGTGAGGGAGCAAAAAACATGCGTTCAATATGGACCTCATATTTGCAATTGTGCAGTTTTGCTCATTCTCGAAAGACATTTCCGTGCTGGACAATCCAATCCGTTTACTGGCTCTGTACGCAATGTATTTTCCTCATGATCGCTGAAAAAAATAGGGCGCAAAAATGAAATTAAAGTTGAAGGAATAAATAGCAGTTTTTGTCAAGTTCTTGAGAAGCCATGTCATGTTTAAACCAAAGCCGTACTAATACAGCCTGTAGGTTCATTGACATCCAGGTAGCAAATTAAAACCAGAGCCACGTATTGTTCTCGATCTGGTTTAAACCAAGTCTCGTCGAGGTTTAGTTTCAAGGTTTAGTCTTAATTATGATGTGGTGTCTGCAAGAGTGTCATTTTAAGCCTGACCCTCCAGTGATGTTGTGGTTCCTGCAGATTGCTCTGGACACTGGCTACTGGACCATCTTCAACCATGTGTTTATCTGGGGATCCTTAGGCCTCTACTTCAGCATCATGTTTGCCCTGCACAGCCAGACGCTCTTCAAGATCTTTCCCAAACATTTCCACTTTGTAGGTCAGTTCCACTTTACATTATAGCAATACTGGATTTTAGATCAGCTGTTTTCAGGTAGCAGCCGTGTCGTGACCTTCAAAACCAGATTTGCATTATTTTTACATACTTATAAAACTGTATCATCTCATAAGTTTGTTTTGCATTAGAATCATATCAAATCTATTGAACCAAGTATTTTCTGCCATCGAGGATTATTTGATGGCAAGAAAGCTGTTTAAAGAAGACTCAACAAGCTTCTCTCTGCTGTGTAGTGACTGTGGCACCTGTGGTACCTGTGGCACCTGTGGCTCCGCAGCCCTGCAGGCTCTGCTCAGACCACAAATGAAGGGTGTGATCAGACGATTTTTGTTCCTTTTAGCAGAAAAGCCTAAGCATCATCTGTAAATTTCATGTTGATAAAAACAGAAGGCTTTTTATCAACATGATGTCGATTGAGTTGACTGAGTCAACTCTCCCTTGACTCAGAAGAGTCAAGGGAGCGTTGTATTGTTGTATAACTAACAATTACTGTTAACGGCTATGAGATATTTTTGAACTATTATATTTTATACAGCTATAATCGCAAACAGACCCGGAGATATAACTTCGCCCCTTCTGTCTAAAAGTTCCTGTCTTAGTCCTGTAATACTGTGATGTCATTGTACCACTATGACATCACTCAGAGCAGTGCTTTACTGCATTTTGAAGTACAATAGCCAATACATTAGTTTTGTAATTTCTCAAGTCAAGTTAAATGGTTTGACATTCACATGGCCTGTGTTTGCAGCCAGTAATTTTCAAATTTATATTTAAAAAAAAACAGCGTAGAGATTTACCGAATGCATTTTTTACACCATACAATCTCTACAATCTTCAGTACATTTTGTACTGAAGATATTATTATTTCACACTCTAAAACAGGAAATTACAAAGCAAAGAGTCTCATTATCATTGTGTATGGCCAGAAATATTGCATACAAATTCTTCTTGACAGTGCATTTCCAAACATGTTGTGTCTGCGTGTGCTTTTGAGTCCAGGTAGTGCCCAGAGCACCCTGTTGCAGCCAGTCGTGTGGTTAACTATTGCACTGGCCACTGCAATATGCATAGTTCCAGTTTTGACTTTCCGCTTTCTCAAGTTGGATCTCAGGCCTCAGCTCTCAGACACGGTAAGGACAAACATGGGGTCAAGCTGAATCTGACTTCAGGTTAATGTGTAACTATTGTGTGGAACAAGGGGATGCTTACTGTTAACCACCTAATGCACTCTGATCACACTGTCAATATTGACTTGCTCCCTACAAACTAATGGCCGCTGTAGTCTCCACAAAACGTAGTCTTACACTTTATATTAGGCAGTTTGTAACCATAAATATACCTAGATATAGTTATTTTTTAAATACTTTCAAATAAGCTTACAATACATTACGTCCAATGTTTACATTTTCATATAAACTGGTCATGAATGAGGAAAAAGTGACAATTAACATTAAGAAAAATTGTTGTTGGTTACAATTGCTGTGAGATAACTTTTATTAAGGTTATTACTATTTTTGGAACAAAGGGAGTCATTTTTAAAAACCTGTTCCAATGTTAAGCAACAGTTTGGAGGCTGATGACTGGGAAATCAATTTAGCTCAATTAGAGATAACGTGTACAGGGCAGGACAGTTTGTGGATTAGAATTGTTTTTGAATTGGTGAAATGCTTTTGTTGACAGGTGCGGTACACACAGTTGGTCCGTCAGAAGAAAAGGAAGCTTGCAGAAAGGAGTGCAGCAGGACACTGGCGCGGGGCCAGTACCATGTCGGAGGGGCGTCTCGGGACCCGCAGCGGCTCCCGGAGGTCCGGTTATGCCTTCGCTCATCAGGAGGGCTTTGGGGAGCTCATCACCTCAGGGAAAAACATGCGCCTCTCGTCTCTGGTGCTGGGCTCCTTTGGGTCCAAGCACAGCTCCAGCTGGATCGACACTCTGCGGCGTAAGAAGCACACGCCGCCCAGCACCTCCGGAGACTGCAGCCCCGCCCCCAGCTCCCAGGCCTCGATCCCACCTCTGTCCACCTCATCCTCTGTGATGGGAGGGTCCCAGGACACCCCCATTGAGGAGGAAATAGACACAACTACAGGCCAAAGTGCAGCTCTGTCTTCATCTGAAACCAACGGAGCCTTAGCTCATCAGCACACGCTCACCTCCTGCGCCCCAGAGACCGGCCAGAACTCCCCCGCGGGCTGGACCCTCAGTCTGGGAGCAGTGCAGGTGACCACTCAAATGTACTTCTATTTGAATAAGCTACTTCAGTGTTTTTGCCTCACTTTTGCCCTTCTCTTTAGGAAGCCCTGTTTGGATGGAGGAGCACGTCTTGCACCAATGCAGCCAGTTCTGGCCCAACATGATTTTCCTGCTCACAGATTTTGTAAATTTGAGAGCACATAAAGGACTCGAATTACCTATTTTTAATTATTTTTACAAAAAAAGACTCAACCCGCCTTTAAAAATCTTTAATGTTGCCTTTGAGATATGAGTATAGAGTATAGAGCAGTAGAGGTAATAGAGGTTAGGAGCTGTAGATTGAATAACATGCTTTAAAACCTATAATCCTGAGTCTGCTTAAATAAGCAAATTGAAAAACATTAATTTACAGTTTCAGACAGTGTTTCTTTGCCTTTTACATCATATTGATGTGTTTATTATGGCTTAACCACATGTACCTTAACTATGATGGACATTTATTATAAAGTCAACACACTTGACATCTATGACCTTCTACTGGTCCTGGTCAAATGTACTGTATTGATGAAAGTGGATTCAAAGCCTTTTCCATATACATAATATACATATTTAAACACTTGCATCGTGCACTTTTTATTTACTAGTGAAGTTGTGAATTCAATGTGTTCTTAAAGTCCCCATATGTTGTTTTTTTATAATGAAAAGAAACACAATTGTTTTCTTATGTTAATTGCTATTTTTGCACTGTTGCACATTTTTAACGTGTCTTTCCTGTGAGAGGGTTTGCATCTCCACAAGTCTAAACTCAAACTGAGCTCATTGGCTTTAATCTCCCCATTTGTCATCAATCATTTCTCCAAGAATGTACCAAGTTATATTTTTTTTCAATTGTCACCAGCTCGATTTTTTCTTTACATTTAATTTGTTTTATTGTGATATACAGTCCACCAAATATTGTGCGTTTTTTATTAGAATGTTTTATTTGAGGACAGGGCATACCCCACTCAATGTTTGTTTGAGAAAATGACCTGGGTACATGAGCCCAACGGCAAATGTACCAAACCTTTTATACTCACAAAACAAAGAATGCTATAAAGTTTGTTTGTTTATTTTTATTTTTGTTTTGTTTTATTTTGGTATTTGTGCAGTGTTAACGAAAGTACACATTTCCCATCTGTGAATATGCTAACGATTAAACACGAACTATTTTCGTCAGTAAGTAATATTCAGTTTTTTGGGAACCTGCTTGAAAAGAGGTTTCATAGGCTTTACTGCAGATGCCACAACACATGGTATAATGAATAGTGATCATGGGCTGTGAGCGTTTGTGTCACAACTATTTCCACACAGATGTTTTGATCTCGTTACTTAAACATGAGAGAAACCAGCGGCAGAATGAGGATTTCCTCTATTTGCGTCATTGAAGGAACAGACACATTTCTCAATAACGGGACTGAAGCAGATCCCCTTCGACGTAACGCGACGGCTGGACAGAGGCGTGTGAAATGTGAAATGTCAGACCCACGACCACCACCACCGCTGCTGCTGCTGCTGGAGAGGTGCTCGACGTTAAATTATTGATGAAAAACTAAAAACATGTGGAGGATGTTCGTGACCGCGCTGTGCGTCCTGTGCGCGTCGCCAGCCCGCGGTGAGCCGAATGGAAGCTGTCCCAGGAAAGGTGAGGAGCCAGACTCTTCAAGTTGGTCATTTTTATGTTTTAGTTTCATTTAGCAGAGCTGTTTCTCCTGTTTGTATATAATTCAATTGATAAGAATGAATGTTATTTCTGTCCTACCCTTCTGAAATCAATATTTTTGCACACTTCACTTCATTAGGCTTTGACGTTAATCTTGGAATTTGTTACTACTGTTGTTAAATTGTTATTCGTAGTCTAGTACTGTTCTCTATGGAAGGGAACAGGAACATAAAAGCTGGGGTACCTAACTTTCAAACTTACCGTTTTACTCTCTGTAAATCCACTATTCCTGCCTCTAAAACAGTTTTCATGCATTTATTCTCGGCCTCTGTCACGTCTTTACTGTTGATCAGTTTTTTTTTTTTCCAGACAGAAAAGTGATACAGAGAGAACCACGCTCACACAGCTCTCAGCCTAAACCGTCTCACAGTGAGGAAATGTCAGTGTTGCATCACGAGTTACAGAACAGGAATGAGGAGCACACAGCACAAGATAAAAGAACAATAACTTAACTAATTAAATTAAAATAAAATAATGTGGTTTTATATTGTGGTTTAATTTATTCATACAATTATTTTTTCAATACTGTTGTGACAAGCAATTTGTGTCATTAATGGATTAACCCCTATCCCGGCTTTAAACAATAAATTGATGAAAGCAGAGATAGAAGTCTACAGAAATGGTCACAACTTGACTCGTTTATTTTATGTAATTATATTTTCAGAGCCCCCTCCAGGGGTGGTGGTTGTGTCTCAGGACAGTGAGCTGGTCCTCACATGCAGTGGTGGTGTGATCCTGGATGGGGTAAAACTGGTTTCCTCCAGGTTTCCTAATGCAGTCACTGCTTCTATAGTGAACTCCAGAAGCCACAATCCAGTTCTCCCAAATCAACAAGTGGACACACTTGAGGATGAGTTTGATACTGAAGAGAAAGAAAAAAGACCGAAAGTTCAGTGGAAATGGAACAACAAAGATCTGTACACAGAGGGGTCCACACTGTCCCTGTCCAATGTGAGAATGAGTGACTCGGGAAGCTACAGCTGCCTTCAGGGAGGCACAGAGAAGTTCTCAACAAAGGTCATAGTGGCAGGTGTGTTTAACTATTTCTTTAAACAACAAGCTTAAAGATCAGTGTAAAATCGCTTAAAGATGCACTGCGTCAAATACACATGGCACATATCTGTTGGGTGGTTATACGTATGGTTATACACATGTCTGTCTTTATAGAGAAGGCATTGCTTTGATCCTGGTATTCAAAGTTATACACTGATGGTGCTTTATCAATAAAGTTAAGAAAGAAAAACTCATAGGTTAAAATAATGTAATAAAGTTCAGGCAAATCACATGGTCCAATGTAACATTTTAGATATCTAATTATTTATGAGCAAAAATAGCACAAACTAAATGCAGTTATAATTTAAAACTGAAAATAAAGGCAGAGAAAATCTGGGCACAAGTTTATGTGGGTTACAACTGTTTATTATTTCCCACAGCAGATATTTAATGTATAAAAATAAATATGACAGAAATAGAAATATCCTTGTTTATATCTTGTTTTATTTCAGTCAAACTTTTCTCAAATCAAGACAGAACACTTTTCACATTGTTGGCAGAGCAGGAATTTGTACTCTTATTTGCCCAAAATAAAACCTCAAAATTCTCTGTGTAGAAGCAATAGAGACGCCACAATTGTCCTGTTACAAAAAGTCTCCGAGCAGCAAGATCCGCTGTGAGTGGAGTCCACATTCGCAGCTTCACAAAAGCACCAGCTGCTCCCTGTTCACCCGAAAAAGGTCAGGAATGAAACCACCCATCCTGTACCCACCTTCCACTAGTTTTTCCATGTAAATCATAATATACATGTTTTTCATTTCAGGCCGAATGGGTTGTTTCTCAGAGTTCCCTGCTCGTACTCAACACGCCGCTCTAAATGTTGGTGCGTTCTGGGCCATAACGAGGAGGACAAACGGACCCTGCACCAGGCCTTTCTCTGTGTGTCCAGTCTCACCAGTAACGGCAGCAGTGACCTCATCACCTTCACACCGATGCACATCCGTGAGCATTACTCAAACAAAGACAAATGCAGCTTGACAGTTTGTGTTCAATTTGCTCTATTCACTTTTTTAATGTTAGATTAGTTATGTTTTTTAGTGATATTCTCAGTCCATTCAAAGGCTATCTGACTTTAAAATCACATAAAAATAACAATGTAATGGAAGGCATAGTTGGTCCCTCTCAAAGCATGTGTAAAGCCACCTGCATGTGTAAGCAAGTTAAGATACCAACAACATTTTTGAAGCTAAGCTGGGCAGGGCATGGTTAGTGCTGTGATGGGAGACCTTTGACGAAGCATTCTTGAGTGTCAACAAATGTGCTACATGAATCTTATTATGACAGTTTGGTTCTATCACTAGTTTTCACATGTATCTTTAGATTAGCTTATCAGACCGAACATAAAGACAGAACCACTTTTTGAGCTGAAATAAACAAAATATAGATGGATTAAAAAAAATAGGAATACAAAACTCTCATCAGTGTCTGCTTTTTTTCATGTCATGGCTCATGCAATGTGGGGAGACAAGGTGACCCAAAGAAAGAATTCAGGTTTCTGAGCAGTAAATAATATCTCTATGGCAACAAACCAGCAGTGGACTGATATCTGTGTCTTTTGGCATGATACTAGCCTACGGTTCCTGCATACACAAAATTACTACTAAAACACTACAATCTATTATATTCTTTCATTGATGAAAAATAAACAAATATTTGGTTCAGCCGCTAAAACCACAAGTCACTTTTTCAAGGGTCATAGTTTTTCCCTGGTAAATTTTGTTCATGTGAATGTTTTGGTCCACAGTGAAACCGGACCCTCCGTACAACGTGTCAGTCCAGCCGGAGGTGGGACTCAACCGGACTCTGGTGGTGACGTGGAGACCTCCTTACACTTGGAAAATTCAAGACCGATTCTACGAGCTCATCTACGAACTCCGCTACAAACCGTTGCTCTCTGCATACTATCAAGTAAGTTTGTTTTTTTCCATTAACTGCAACAAATGAAAACTTCGAGGTTACAGTTGTGGAACCGCTCCATTGTTACCAAATGAAATCACTAGATGAGGCTGTTTCAATAATTTAGAAATGTTTTAACCCCATAATTTCAAATCAATGATTTTCTGTTCCGCCCATAATCACAACATTCTCTATATATGAATAATAATAATTTAGAATTGTTTCATATTCTAAATCAAGAATTGCCGAGGTAATGCCGTCTTAATCATATTAGAAAATCTTTGGAATATACTTAGAGCCCTGTGAGTCACTATTTGACTCTTTGGAGAGCTGACCAAAAAAACATGTACTTGAAAACTAATAATAATAATAATAATGCATCGGTTTTATATAGCGCTTTTTTGGACACTCAAAGACGCTTCACATGTGTCATTATTCATTCACTCCATACACGGTGGTGATAAACTACTACTGTAGCCACAGCTGCCCTGGGGCACACTGACAGAAGCGAGGCAACCAGTATGCGCCATCGGCCCCTCCGACCACCACCAACCATTCATACACCAGACTCATTCTAGGCAATGGGGGTGAAATGTCTTGCCTAAGGACACAACAGCAGTTTGGCACTTTACAGCCGCAGCCGCCCCACTGTGGCTGGTGTTCCTAGAGGTTAAGTGTCTTGCCAAGGACACAACGACAGTAGTCAGTGGGAGTCGATGGTGAAAGTCTTGAGCGGGGGAACTAGTGAGAGAAACCGTTTTGAGAGCAATGAACAACTACATGGATCGTTTTGCATACTTCCATTTATTGTGGTCTGATAATAGGGTGTTCCAGCTTCAAGACTTTTCACTGTGCTCTGTTGATAGGATTTTGTAAATTTTCCCAATGTTTTCCAACTGGGATGTATAAATGAAAACTCTGAAATGTCAATCTAAACAGACTCGTGCCATAGATGAGCAGACCTCCACACACACCATCACAGACGCAGTGGCCGGAGAGACGTACGAGGTGGAGGTCCGAGCCAAAGACGAGTACGAAGGCCAGTGGAGTGAGTGGAGTGTGACGCAGCATGGACGCAGCTGGACCGGTGGGTTTCTGTCACACATTCACATTAGCATCGGATTTAGCCAGTGGTGTCCTTGAACAAGCTCCTTATGTATGTCAAATCATCAAATCAAATGCATTTATGTTTGTCCTGCTCAAACGTTGTCTCCAAAGGACATAAGAACATACTAAATATTTATATCAATAATGAAATTTTCCTGTGTTTTAGCCCACACCCATTTGTATGAATGGTTGGAGGGCAGTTTTTGATGCTGAATGGCTGCTACATCTCAGCCTCAAGGCAGGTGTGGCAATTTGTGCTTTAGGACTTACTGAAGAAGAATAAGACAGCAACAGTAATATATTTCATTACATAAAAAATCTTAATATTAGAAGTTTTCTGATCTTTTTCTTACTTTTTTATTAGAAGGTTAATTGAAAAAAGCTACAAAGTACTCAGTCCTGGAATACTTCCTGATATACTGAACACATGGAGATTTGCTTTATATTTATGTTTTAAAAAATCATTCTTAATGGAACTCTGTTGCTCAGCATTCGGAGAAACACCTCTGTGTACAAATATAGTGGATCTACAGTCTGTCCATGGGAGAGGATAATTATTATATACGAACATTGGTCATCCATGGCTTTTATGTGTTTGTTGTTTTGTTGCATTGTATTTATTATTTTCTGTGTTCTAATTGTTAGATTCTGTTGTTGGCAAATCAATAATTTTGTAAAGTCCATCGAGATGACTGCTGTTGTGAATAAGGGCTATACAAAAAGTACATTTTATTGAAGACTCGCTTATTTGACTTGGATTTTAAATGATGAGCTCAACAAGTTTCTTTTGCTGTGTTGTAATTGTTACCAATTTTTATTTCTTTGGAGAAGTGTTGTTTTGTGCTGTTTGAATAAACGGGACCTTTACATTTTACAGATATATCCAACGAAGATCTCTTAGGGACATCTGTAAGTACCCTTTAGCTTTTTTTATGGAAGCTTTGTTTTGACAATGACATTTCCCATTCACAGTATCCATACTGGTATGGTGAAGGCTCAGGCTCTGGAGACTATCCGGAAAGTAAGATTAAACTTTGTTATTCTTATTAAAAAATTCCAGACCAGTCCAATCTCAAATTGCAATGAAATGCAATAGTTTACTCAAAAAATGCATCTGAAAATCAATAAAGCCACACTAAAATAGTTGGTTCATTTTATTTACAAACAATCATGTTCAAAGAAAAGTCTTAAATGAAATAATAATAATGTATTTTAATGCAAGATTGCTCCCATATAAAGGCCATGAGTTTAAAGACATCGCTATGATCCACTGGAGTTATTTGATTGTGAATAATTTTTCACTCTGTAATCCACCTCGATCTGTTAAACTGTTGGCCGTTTGTTATTGCTGGTGCAGTCCCTTCTGTCCCAATGGGCTTCAGCAGGAAGTCATGTCAACATCATATTGAACAACGAAAGAACCACAGGAAGCATGGCCCAAGACACATGTTACACACCACGGAACACTCTATTAACAATTAAATAACACTATTTATTTTATTTTTGTTAATGCTAATGCTGTTCTAGCTACAATTAAAACCTTGCCAAAGCTCACAAACAGACAGAAGGTTACACGAGGATGCTGCGAAAGCTATAGTTGTGTATCGGATTGGCCTTACGTTTACATGAAGACGGTGTTTCAGGGGGGTGAAAATGCAAGCGTTGAGAAACAGCCTCCAGAGTGGAACAGAACAGATGTGCTGCTCAGCACTACTGGCCGAGCGCTAGAACTACATTGTTTTCTGTCATGTAAACACTGTGCACTACAAAAAAGGAGCCTATTCGTTTTTGCAAATATTGCATTACAGCGTCTCCACAGCGTCTCCGTCCAAACGGAGCATAAAACACATTGCAAACTAGACAGGAATTGCAGAAAATTGCAATTTAGTAAGTAAGTAATTAATGTTTATTTATTGCACATTTTTACAGACTAAGGTCACCCAAAGCGCTTTACAATATTCAGAGTTCAGAAAGTTTTACTATATTGTTTATCCCTCATTGTGTTGTTTTTTGTTTGTTTTTTCAGACCAATTGACCTCTACGCAACGTGAAAAAACACTGTCTCATCATTTCCTCTGGATCGCAGTGTCTCTGGGTGTTTGCTTAACTGTTCTAATCGTGTACATAATATGGTAATGAATGCATGTGGGACCAGTGCATTTACTCATTAGCTTGGACAGTAATATGTTAGTTGTCTGTGTTTTTCAAGTCACTGTTATTGTCATTATCATTTTACTTACAGAGTTATTTCAATTGGACGGTGCAGTTTGCATGTTATTTAATCTTATTGTGTAACAGCTGATGTAGTAGTATAGTAAAATGTTGTTTTACAGCTTTTAATTGTCTTAAATATTGAGTCAAATTAGACTTTCACCTTTAATTGCTCTTAGTCCAGAACTCCTCTGAAATAAAACAGTGAAACAAAATTCTGCTGGGACTATACTCTGGTTAAAGGTCATCAACAAAAAAAGTATTGTTGTTACATTTTCTTCATTTAATTTTCCCAGGCACAAAGGCCAGTGTGTGTCCAGACTGTACTCATCGCGGCGACCTGGAGCTGCTGCAGACAAACAAACGCTCAGCAAAAGTCGACCTTTGAGAGAAGTGGAAGAAAGACGGAAACAGGAGCTGAGGGCTGAAGACAAAACTGAAGCCACTATCTTCAATAACACAAGCTATTTTCTGGTCCAAAAGGAAATTTAAAAAGAATGTGTAATTTCTTTACCTTGGGACATGACTGCCTGTATAAATAAGCTTACTTTGTCACAGGTCTACCTCTTAAATGTTTATGCCATGCTTTATATGAACAGGCTTTTTATGATTGAAGAAAAAGGAAATGTAAAAGCTTATTACTTTATGTGACTTTCTCTTTTATGCCCCCATTCGTCTTTGTTACAAATGTACATTATTTCCTTACAGTTTGTCACCCTGGTTTCAATTGCAATATTGGTGGCGTATTGTGTGTGGGTGCGTGTATGTATGTTTCTTTGCGTGTGTGTATGCATTTTTGTAAATAAATAAATATTGATTTGAACAATTTTAACTGTCACACTATTTTTTGTACTATTTTTTTAATCTTGGCTGCCTCTCATACTTTATATATGTATAGCCGATGATCTAGACCACAGATAAGAGACACCAAATGTATGGCCAAATATAGTACCATACTTCACTGGCCTTGAAGGTATATAGAAGGATCATCAAGATTGGTCCTCCCAATATTTCCCAATCCCAATCATTCTGGTGATGATACGTGCAGAAAGTTTTGTTCAGAAAGTGGAAAAGGCGGTTCTTTCCTAAATTGTTTACAGTTTTAATTGAGCCTTAAGCTTAAGTCGGAATGGTTTCACGGGCGCATGGATCTAACATGGATCTGTGCTACTCTGGAAGTCTGTGGCATGGATGTACTGTGTATGGTCTGTGTTCACGCTGTAGCACACTGCCCCCTGCTGGATTTGAAGGGATAGTGGTTTCCATGGATACCCGTGATTCTTCTGTCAAACAGGTGCCTCGCTTTCACCCGACAGTTATTCCTGACATTTGTAAACGCTCATTTGTCTGCTGCCGTCCATTATGACCGGGAAAAGTATCACTGTTAATCTTGACCATGGCGTTTTAAGCGCTGAGCAGCAAGAACGACTCCAACAGTTTAAGGTAACTCGTTAAATATGCTGTAGGAAGCTAAGCTAGCGTGTGCGCAGACACTGAGGCTGAAACACTGAGGCAGACACTGAGGCTGAAACACTGAGGCTGAAACACTGAGGCCGACACTGAGGCAGACACTGAGGCCGACACTGAGGCAGACACTGAGGCAGACACTGAGGCAGAAACACTGAGGCAGACACTGAGGCTGAAACACTGAGGCAGACACTGAGGCAGACACTGAGGCAGACACTGAGGCTGAAACACTGAGGCAGACAGACACTGAGGCAGACACTGAGGCAGACACTGAGGCAGACACTGAGGCAGACACTGAGGCTGAAACACTGAGACAGACACTGAGGCTGAAACACTGAGGCAGACACTGAGGCAGACACTGAGGCAGACACTGAGGCAGACACTGAGGCAGACACTGAGGCAGACACTGAGGCAGACACTGAGACAGACACTGAGGCAGACACTGAGACACTGAGGCAGACACTGAGGCAGACACTGAGGCAGACACTGAGGCTGACACTGAGGCAGACACTGAGGCTGACACTGAGGCTGACACTGAGGCAGACACTGAGGCTGACACTGAGGCTGAAACACTGAGGCAGACACTGAGGCTGACACTGAGGCTGAAACACTGAGGCTGAAACACTGAGGCTGAAACACTGAGGCTGAAACACTGAGGCTGAAACACTGAGGCTGAAACACTGAGGCTGAAACACTGAGGCTGAAACACTGAGGCTGAAACACTGAGGCTGAAACACTGAGGCTGAAACACTGAGGCTGAAACACTGAGGCTGAAACACTGAGGCTGAAACACTGAGGCAGACACTGAGGCTGAAAAACTGAGGCCGACACTGAGGCTGAAACACTGAGGCTGACACTGAGGCTGACACTGAGGCTGACACTGAGGCTGACACTGAGGCTGACACTGAGGCAGACACTGAGGCTGACACTGAGGCTGACACTGAGGCTGACACTGAGGCTGACACTGAGGCTGACACTGAGGCTGACACTGAGGCTGACACACTGAGGCAGACACTGAGGCTGACACTGAGGCTGACACTGAGGCTGACACTGAGGCAGACACTGAGGCGGACACTGAGGCAGACACTGAGGCAGACACTGAGGCAGACACTGAGGCAGACACTGAGGCAGAAACACTGAGGCAGAGACTGAAACACTGAGGCAGACACTGAGGCTGAAACACTGAGGCAGACACTGAGGCTGACACTGAGGCAGACACTGAGGCTGACACTGAGGCAGACACTGAGGCTGACACTTAGGCGGACACTGAGGCTGACACTGAGGCTGAAACACTGAGGCAGACACTGAGGCTGAAACACTGAGGCAGACACTGAGGCTGACACTGAGGCTGAAACACTGAGGCTGACACTGAGGCTGACACTGAGGCTGAAACACTGAGGCAGACACTGAGGCAGACACTGAGGCTGACACTGAGGCTGACACTGAGGCTGACACACTGAGGCAGACACTGAGGCAGACACTGAGACAGACACTGAGGCTGACACACTGAGGCTGACACTGAGGCTGACACTGAGGCAGACACTGAGGCAGACACTGAGGCAGACACTGAGGCTGACACTGAGGCAAAAACACTGAGGCAGACACTGAGGCAGAAACACTGAGGCTGACACTGAGGCAGACACTGAGGCTGACACTGAGGCAGACACTGAGGCTGACTCTGAGGCTGACACTGAGGCTGACACTGAGGCAGAAACACTGAGGCAGACACTGAGGCAGAAACACTGAGGCAGAAACACTGAGGCTGACACTGAGGCAGACACTGAGGCTGACACTGAGGCAGAAACACTGAGGCTGACACTGAGGCTGACACTGAGGCTGACACTGAGGCAGAAACACTGAGGCAGACACTGAGGCAGAAACACTGAGGCAGAAACACTGAGGCTGACACTGAGGCAGACACTGAGGCAGACACTGAGGCAGACACTGAGGCAGAAACACTGAGGCTGACACTGAGGCAGACACTGAGGCAGACACTGAGGCAGACACTGAGGCAGACACTGAGGCTGAAACACTGAGACAGACACTGAGGCAGACACTGAGGCTGAAACACTGAGACAGACACTGAGGCTGACACTGAGGCAGACACTGAGGCAGACACTGAGGCTGAAACACTGAGACAGACACTGAGGCAGACACTGAGGCTGAAACACTGAGACAGACACTGAGGCTGAAACACTGAGGCAGACACTGAGGCTGAAACACCGAGGCAGAAACACCGAGGCAGACACCGAGGCTGAAACACTGAGGCTGACACTGAGGCAGAAACACTGAGGCTGACACTGAGGCAGAAACACTGAGGCTGACACTGAGGCAGACACTGAGGCAAACACTGAGGCAAACACTGAGGCTGACATGTGTGTGTTTTTTTGCGCAGATTAAAACACGAATTGACAACGAGAACTACCTCAGATCACACCCAGAAGTTGAGCTCCTCGTCGGGGACTTTCTGAGGTCAGACACATATTAGCTACAATTTCTTATAGCTGTTTTCACTTACTGATGTTTAACTATATGTTGCTAGATGTTTGGTTTAGATGCTCTTTAATACAAGCGTCGAAAGACAGTAGGCTGGTTTTAATTTGAGGGTATAAAACTATTACAGAGCTATGAGATTGACCATACTCAAGGTTAAAAAGATGTATTCTCTCTTTGTGAAACAGACATGTGTCTTTGACGTGTTCTTTAGTTTCTATGTGTGGATTGTGAAGCCATCAGAGCCAGGCAATTATCCACACCCACATTAGAGCTAAAACAGGGCTTAAGTGAATCCCGAAACAAAACTGATTAGGGACCATCACTGCTTTATTTTTATTTTTTGGTTACCTTTGAATACATGAATTTGCTCTTGATTGATTGATTGGATTTATTTCAAGCTTATAACCTTCTAGGACTCAAACATAGGAGCCCGTAGTCCTTGGGGAACAGGAAGATTACGGTCCATAAATACATATTATTATTAAAGGTTTAAAGGCTTTTTCCTCTCCTGTCAAAGTAAATAATAATGTCAACCACATCTCTTTTCCAGTGATGTGCTTTTACAAAGACCTATTGACATCCGAGGATTTGCAGCAGGTAAGTCACATACAACAATAACTCCTAATTAAGTATAATCTCATTATGAAACCCTCAAGTAATAACAATTTACTCTAAGAACTATACAGTATATTAAATATGCACCATGTAACTGTTCTGGTAAAGGGTTTCCCATGAACATTAATAGTACAATATTAAAAGCTAATATGAATTATATTTCCATAAGACAATCCTCCACAATTCAATCTTACATAAATACTACCAAAGGACATAAAATAATCAGTACAGGTTAAAACACATTTATAATTCACAAATATCAATCAATATTAAACCTAACCAGCTAAAATAAATTATTTTTCAGCGCATTTCGCCAGCCCAAACCTGCAGAGTACCACTGTCTCTAAAATGACTAAGACCGATGATTTAGACTGAGAGTGGAGGAAAATGGAAACTTGGATCAGCCCTTGCAGCTTTGTTAATCAAATATTTTAAATGGTTTTTATCAATATGTATTTTTTCTTGTTTCACTTGCAGCATGTATTAGTGATCAAATGGTTGATAATGTATTGTTTGTGTGGTAAAAAAGGAAATAAAGCAAAGATTATCTTAAAGTTACATAATATATCTCTTATTTCCATATTGTCTACATGCGTTGTGTAAGTTTTGGAGGCAGTGCTTCATTCCCAGATTTGGACCATGGGTTGCACCTGCCCCGTCTCATAGGCACACACACCATCACTGGAGGAACACTCTCCTGTGTCTGCACTCTCTTCTACTGGACAAAGCTGTGAGTAAAGACCTTTACTGACTTTTGAAAAAACATAAGTCAATTATTAATGCCAAAGCTCATTAATTTATGATATATTGTTACTATTGAAAAACAAAGGAAGATCCATTCCAATACAACAGGTACGTATCAGTAATGTTTAATTACTCATCATTGCATGGCGTTGTATAACACATGCATAAAACAAGACCATTATTAATATATAGTAATTTAGTTTGGTTTAGTCAATTTATTGAAACAAACATTAACCACAAAGGGAGAGATGCAATTCACCTGTATCCATGTCCCTGAGCAGGTTAGTGTTATGATAGAACATAATAAAACATTAAATATTCACGCTAAATTATACCATATTAATGATTAAAAGATTCATATAAGCTTCTTATATTCAGTATGTCAATATAAGTGTTGGTAATTTATGGAAATGTATTAATATTTATGGACATTGGTCATCCGCCCCTTATGGACAAATGGCCCCGATTTTTATCATTTCATTTTTTGTGTTTCAATTGTTGATTCTCTGATGTGTGTTGGCGAATTGACAACTTTGGTAAGTCCTCTGAGACAACTACTATTGTAATTTAGGGCTATACAAAATTAAATTGAATGGCATGCAGTAAGGTGTGTGTACTTGTATGTATGTACATCCATACATACAAGTACATATTATATTATCACATGGGTGTTACAAAAATATGGCACATCTGTTATTGATGATTATGCAGATACAGTATGTGTGTAAATAGGTACTGTACTATGTGTGTGTGTGTGTGTGGTTGCACGTGTAAAACTCATGCCACACAACACAAAGTAGAAAAGTATGTAATAACATGTTTAATAATAGTGTGCTAATTGTGAGTAGGCACATATACTCTCTTCTCCTCCTGTATATTTACACAGAAATAGAATTGTATGAAGACGCTTTGCCATTTCTCAAAACTCAACATTTTATTGGTGATTTTCATGTGCGTGTATTGAAATAAGAAGTCAAATCACTGCAGAGAAAACAAATTAGATGGCAAAATAGAAGGATGCAAATGTGTGATGCTGGGTGGAAAATGAATGATAGGACGTTTAACATAATGAGGCTGTTTATCCCAACCACTGCCAAGAGGGACCGGCAGAAACCTCAGAGGAAACACTCATTCACAGCGCTGTCGGAGGCCTATAGACACCATAACAACCAATGCTTTGATATAAACAAGCCTCAGTGATATAGAATTAAAGGAGATTTGTGTTTGCAGATCAGTTCATGAGCACATTCTGAGCATGGAGCGCAAAGGGGGGACGGTTTTCCTCTTGGTTTGCTGCGCAGTCCTCGGTATGAATCTATGAAAACTTGTAACTAATTTTCTGCTTTTGTTCCAAAGCAATTTTAAAGACAATGTATTCAGTATGTCGGTATTGGCATTTTTAAAGAAAAGATTGCTTATTTCTATGCACCTCCAGTGAGATTTGCATGAAGGATAGTTAAGTTAAGCTATAATAGACTTTATTGATCTCACACTGGAGTTATAGGGACAGTATGAAATATTTAAATTTTAAATTGCCTCCATGTCTTTTATTTGATTTGTGTCCCCAGATAAGAAATCAACAAGTACACATCGTATTTTACCTTTTGTGAACAATTTAAGTGTTTGTCACATGCTGGGAGATTCTGGCAACAAATGTTGGATTGTACTTGTCACAACTTTATTAGAACTCTAAGAGTCCATTTTACACACAGTTCTTTTGAACCAGCTGGGAACGAGCTCGCCGGGCTATTAAGGATTTTAATTACATTTTTTATCCTGTCCGATGGGAAGGTATACCATGTGCTTGCTCTCAAATCTCTCTCAAATATTTTAGTAACTGATTATTCACAACAAACGTCTACTCTTATGTAGCATTTCGAGTTTTTCCCACTGTTTTTACCGATGAAATGGTATCCAGCAGTGACAGTAATGTATAATGACAAAACAGTAGAACTTCTGTATCCTCTCTCTAGTGACATCTCTGAAAATTAAGAGCGAGTCCCAAATCAGACAATGTGGAAGAAAACTGGTATGTAATTAAATCATCTACAAATGATCTACAGAATACATTAATAAATAACTCTATCCTTTTTTTCAAGATGAAAGCGTGTATGGAGAATGGTGAGACTAATTACTAATGTATCACTATTGTAGTTTTATTTCTTTATTTCTCTTTTATTTACGCTGGTGCAGGACACCAAACACTGGACATGGATGAGCTGGCTACAGCGTTGGGAAGGTACAATTACCCATCATCTAGGATTAATGCTTTTCAAAAGAGCGTGAATATCTTTAATAAATGCTTTTTCGGGTAGTGATGTCCTCACAGAGGAGCGGGACTCTGCCAGCTCCCCAACCTCCCTCCTGTCCATGGTGGAAGCTGTCCTGGGATCCATCTCCTCCACTGACTCCTTAAGCTCTTTTGACAAAAAAAGGGTATGGATCTGTTTTGACTATCTAATGAAATCCAAGCTATAGAGTTTTCTGTGTTTAGGCAACAATATGCAACTTTTTGGAAAAAGAGAGCTATTGTCCTCAGGAATTACTTCAAATCCTGTCGAGTATTAATGGGTTTCAGAACAGGAACTGGAAACCCATGAGTTTTAATACATCCAATCTGTAATCGTAGCATATCATACCTATTTGCTTCAACAAAATTAGAGTTCATAATCATAGCTTATTATTAAAACAACATTTCAAGTTTGCATTCACAGTTTTGTTTCAACAGGGGTCAAAACTCGGCAACATCAGTTTGGCAGGAATGATCCAGAAGATGAAAAATGTTTCGGTCTGTTCAAAAACACATCAAATGCACAATTGAATCCAGCAGCCCAATGTAAGAAAATAAAAGAAATATGTTTTTTTCAGCCGACCGATGCTTGTGCAGTGGGGGCAGTGGCCGCCCCAGTCGCCTGGGACACACTGGGAAATATGGAGAAAGATGATATGGATTCAGAAGAATATTTAACACTTCTGTCAGCTTCCAAAACGGCGCTGAAAACATGTCATCAAAAACTAAACCTCCCAAAAATAATCAAGAAGTCGCATCTGACAATGTTGTAAGTATAGCCTAAAGGCTGCAGAATTGTTTATGAATATATCCCTTTACTTTTGTTGCCTCAATAAGTCCAAAAGTATTTCGACATTTTTACTTCCATAATTCCATAAATATGGATACCTTTGGAAGTATAACCAACCACAAGCTTCATCCATCTTCAGTGACAAACAGTAGCAAAAGGGAAGGCCAAGGCTAATGTACAGTTATTTCCCCTTGTTGTATACAACCTTTTATGGGTTTAAGTAAGTAACCTTTATTTACTGTATATAGCGCCTTTCACAGACCGGAGTCACAAAGCGCTTTACAGTTGTTGTGGGCATTTGTGTCTCACACAGTGAGTGAGGTCGCTGTACAGGAGGCGCATGCCAGACCTATTGTGCATGTTTTCAGTGGTAGGGGAAACCGGAGAACTCGGGGGGAACCTACTCAGACACAGGAAGACAGGTCAGCTCAGAACTGGGATTCAAACCCAGGACCTTCTTGCTGAAAAGCGAGAGTGTTATCCGCTCAGCCACTGTGACGTTTATTTACCCGTTGGAAAGTAATGTTATTCCTAAACACTCATTTTACAACATTATGAAGAAATTGATAATATAATGCACAAATGTCCAAATGAAAGAATTTTCTATTGTATTTTTGTATTTATATTTAGATTCTTTGTTTTGCAAACAGGATGGTTACGCTGGACGATGTGTATCAAGAGAGTTCTGAGAAGATGAAGGGTAAGGTGGCGGCCTGGTACAAGAAGAAAAGTAAAGAAACATACTTCAACTGCAGCAGTGACCCATCCACAGACTCAGGTGTGTTCACAAACAAGACACCAACATGCAAATGTAATCTATAATGCATTTGCATGGCTCCTGACCCAACACGTGACATTAAAACCACAAATACAGAATGTCACTGTTCAGAAAGAACATAGACTTACTAGTATTGCTAAGATACATGACGTAATGAAGAGATTTGATCTTACACATATAGCATATGTAGTTGGTCAATTACAACAGCCCTGCAGGAGTGTACTGTGCACATCTACACACGTCTGGAGGTGGAGTGGAACATCCATTCTCACTTGCAGACTTGTTCACACCAGTGGCCTATTACGGGATCAGTAATGTCTGCTGTGGAACTTTGTCAGGACAATGTTTTCATCCACAATTAGAATCCATCGCCATTTACCTCACAAAGGAACTCCGATGCAACTTTGGTTATCTACTTCTGCAGCACAGTGGCAGAGTAGTTAGCACTCTCGCTTTTTAGCAAGAAGGTCCTCTTGGTTGGAAGAGGGCCTTTTTGTGTGGAGTTTGCATGTTCTCTTTGTGTCGGCATAGGTTGTCCTGACAGAGGCCCAGTGACATTGCATGGGTCAAATTCAGAGGACAATAAAGTATGCCTTACCTTAAAAAAATATATTTAAAACATAAAACAATATTTTTTTTCAATATCTGGCTAAACCGTGCAGGGCCACCTCTTGTGCACCTGTTACAGGTTTTTCTTTTTAAATTAACCAATGATCCCCACACTTTCTCTTTCAGTCAGGTGTAATAACTCTGTTGCATGGCTGACATGTCCGGTCCTCCTGGAGCTCGGGCCGTATCTGTCTGAACTATCAATAGATGACATTGACCACGCTCCAAATGAAGAGGTATTGTTACTAATACACATTTTTATGATTTATATGAACCCTCCAACTACGTACTGTTGTGTTACAGAACAACATTCATTTTTTTTCAGTTGTGTGATTGCTTCAAGTCTCCCCAATTCAAGCAGGCCATCATGAAAATGGTCAAGATGAGGCCCAGCCGGTCTGTGCGACTTTACAACAAAATAAAAGGCTGCTTTAGTGACGAGAAGGAATTGTCCTTAAATTTGCAAAGGTTTGTTCACATTTATATTCCTTTAGAGATCTTTTTTGTTGGTATTTTTTACAGATGGAACAATAATTAAGTTTAAATATTCCCACAACACCAGTTTAGGCCCCATGGCATGTCATTTCAAGCCCTCTCTCCAGCTGACATCCACCAACAGCATTGTTGTCCTATCGGCACTGTCTCGTTGTGATAACCCTGGGGTGACAAAGGTATTCTTCATGCATTTCAATTGTAAGAACCAGAACTATACAGTGTATTAATATGTTTTCACTTAATCCAAAGATGAAGAGGAGTCTGGTGCAGAGTGCCACTGCAAACATGCGGGGTAATGAGCTTGAGGTCTTTCGTCAGCTGGGCCGAGAAGCTCCAGTCAAAATACTTTCCGTCTTAAAGAGTGACGACGTAAGGAGCCTGATAAAGAACTACAGTATCGAGCTGTCAGAGAAGCAAAAGCGTTTTATGGTTAAGATGGTGCTGGGGGACAAAAAGGTGAGGACATTATCATCTGAGGCGATTAATCACAATCTTTTACTAATATGTTGTCTTGTATCTTGGCACAAACGGACTGTAATATACTGATATTTGTGATTGGTTGATTTATTGATTTAAACTCAATACAGTGTCTTCTCTTTGACATTAGTGCGGAGTGCCTTCGAGACAGGATCTGAAAGACCTCTCAAGATTTGCAAGCCTGCTGCCGAATTGTATCATCAAAAAAATGAATTCGTCGATAGTAGATTTGGAGGTTATCAGAAACATGTCTGGGAAATTAAAGAAGTCTCAGAAGATAGCTTTACTAAAAACTGTGAGTTTGAAACTTCAAATAATGAGAAAATTCAACAAGAAATTAACATTATGTTGCAGTGAATATAATCAGTATTATTGTACATGCAGATATATATTTGTAAATTAATAACATGGAGACAAAGGGTGGTGGATCTACGCCTGTTTGTGCAACACATCTTTAACATATGTCTTTGTTCAGATGAGTGAGATGCCCGTCGAGAAGATGATAGACTATCCTAAACTGGTTACGATACTCCCCCTGCATAAACTGAGAAACCTTAAGGACATCTCTTGGGGAAAAGCCACAGAGATAGAATGGCGCATTTCACAGGTGAAAAAAGTGTTGTTTTCTTTTTTTCAGATTCAAAGATTTCAAATTGTTTTCACATATTTTGTTTTTGTTTATTAGGCTATGTGGATCACACAGAATATGATACCAAAGTATCCGCAATGGTACAAGTAAGTTGTTTTAGTGATCCAATTCAGTTTATATTTGCATAGCCATAATCCACTATAGCAGTCGTCTCGTGGATTTAACAAAACGGTTGATTCGCCAACAATAGAGATTCAAGCAATTAGAACACAGGACATGCAACATTAAAACAAAGACACAGGAGCCACTGGTTTATAGAGTAGCAGATATAATGCTTTAATGAGTGTTGTTAAATGATTTTCTTCAGAATCATTAAAAACCTCCTTCCGGGCGTCGTCTGTCCCATGATTGAAAACGTCTCAAAATCAGATGTTCCAGAAATGGCTCAAATTTTGGCTGATGCTCCACAGCAGCTTTCTAATGCGCAGGTATACACAAATGAACCTTAATAATATTATACTGTATTTTCATTTCATTCTTTGCAAACATATTCAACTGTGGTGTATGGTTTTATGTTTTAAAGATCAGATGCACTGCACAGACACTCTTCAAAAGTCTGGAATCAGAAAGACCAGACTTCTTCCAAACCATAACAGAGGAGGAGATGAGGAATATCCCTTCTCTCCATCTTATTCATCTGTCGTAAGAAATGCACATTTTCTCCTCTTCTCTTGGGTTTTGATATAGTACTAGTGTTGTCTCTTTAACTCCGTAGTGCTGAAAAGGTGAAGGACTTGCCTAATTCTGTGTGCCTCGTCTTCCTTGATAAGATGGAAGAAGCAAACCTCAGTGCCCTGCCCCAGCTTTCACCTTCTCGCTCAGCTCTCACAGAGAGGGCTCTCAAGTGTCTGGTTAGTAAGTTAAAAGTATAGAATTAGGTGTACAATTAAACAACCACTACCAAGAGGTCAAGTGACTCGTAATTTGATTCGTGAGATAGTTGTAGTTGTTTTTGAGCTCAGGTTACAGCTGAGGAAACTCACTTTTGAACCACAAAAACAAAACGATGTATTGAATTGTGATTCCATCCACTGATTCCTCGCTCTGAAAACGGTTTGATACTAATTTATTTTTTTTTACTTTAGATCCAATTTTTCATACAGAAAAAGGAAAAAGGGAGGACCACCCTCACTCAGCCAATCTGGTCTCAGCCCGAAGTGTTAAATAGTAAATAGTATGCAAACGATGACATGTTTCCTAATAAGATGAAGACAGCATTTTACTCTTTCTGCTGTAGCCAACAACATATTCTCTTATGTAAAAAAAAAAAAAAAATAGGTAGTGGACTCTAGCTGTAACTTTACATTTATGTGATATAATATTTTGAGTAAAAATATTTGATTAATCAAGTATGAAGAATTAAAAGTGCTTTACACCTTTAACTCCCTATGCTACCACCAGAGAGAGTAGTTTAATTTGTTTTTTTGTCATTTTCAAGATTGAATATTACTGGCTGCAAACACAGCCATGCGATCATCAATTTACCTTCTAGTCTACGCGCAATGTTATTTTATTTATTTATTTAAAAAGGGACCATGTACAATAAGAACATACATTTTTCCATTTGATGCATTGTACCGGAGTTAGCTACAGTTAGGCTAAATTACATCCGTAGTCCGTAGGAATAAAGGAAAAGTATTTAAGTGTTAAATAGTTGTTTTAATGGCTGAACACTGCTCTGTGATCTCATAGTTGGTCAGAGTTAAATATTAGTGGCAGAATATCCTGATATTAGCCTGGATGGATCTATGAACATCTCTAGATCTGAGGGAACAATGTTGTAATATGGTTAGGCTCTTCACTATGTTGAATGTTGAAATCTTTTTGCAGGGGGCAGATCCATCCAAGTTCACCAGTGAGAATATGTACCAACTTGGGCCGCTGCTGTGTGAAGTGGCGCCCGCAACACTGCGTCTCCTCAGTGCGGACGTGCTCAGGACCTCTCTTCAGTACATGGCAACATGTGACTACATCCCCCCCATGCACCATGAAGGTCTAGTCCAATTACTAAATGAGACCATTGGGTAGGACAATAATAACCTTTAACATTGACCCTACATATCAGGAAATGCAGTACAACATATTTTTGTTCCCTGCAGGGATTCATCAAACTGGTCGGCTGCCGATGTTGAAGATTTCGGCCACCTCCTTTTACTAATTGAGGCCAAATTTAGTTTTTCTAATAAGGTAATCAAAATATTTGTGGACTAACAATATCCAACCAGTTTCATAGTAAGCACTTCACATTTGACTCAAGAATCCTCTAGTTAATTGAGGAATACATGCACCACGGTGTGACTGTAAACTTGATAAAGAATATTATTATTACAATTACAATTTCTAAAATATCTTTAATAATTGTAACAATTTCTAGTCAAAAAGTCCAATGTAAACTGACCAATCTCCTTTTTCAGCCTGGGATGAAAAATGCCGTCTCTTATCTCATTAAGACACACAAAAATGTTCCTGAATTTCTAAAGGAAATGTTATTCAACTGGAGTGTTACTAACTCATTTTCTGGAGCTCGAAGAAAGAGAGAAGGTTTGTGTTTATGATAACATGAGGTTTAGTAAGCTACTTCAAAGTCTATTGTATTAATGTTATATCTCTGCTTCTCTCCAGCCAACAGTAATGGAAATGGCAACAACAAGCCGGCCGACAGCACAAACACCACTACAGTTCCCACTGTGGATCTGATCACAGAACTGGGAGCAGGGAATGTGTTCTGGACCCCGCCTCAGCTGGAAAACATGACCATGGACACTTTTACAGAGACGGTGACAATCCTGGGAGCTGTGACCGGCTACAGCCCACAGCAGCTGGAGGTGCTCAGCAAAAAGGCCACAGAGGTATTACTCCTAAAACATGAGCACTTATTATGCATTCAATAGCTACAGTATTTGATTTCCGCCGTTTACAGGCGAACATGGTTCTAATGATTATTTAAACTACAGTATAAGGTTTTGTCATACAGTAACACAGTAGTCTAAGTAGTCTTGTTGTGTGGTCATTAATAAATTATTCTGATTCTGAACTTGTCTTATGCTTTTTAAATATTCCAAAAAGACTTTTCAATGCCATCTGAACAAAACACTGTAAGCAATAACAATAATTTGTGGCATTTGGGTAAATCCTGTAACGATAAATGTTCATGACCTCTGCAGGCCTGGAATTCCACTGCCAGTATGACTGAGACTGAGGTGTCTGCGCTGGGATGTATCGCTCAAGGATTCACCGATCAGGAGCTGATGAAGATGGCCTTCTCCCTCAGCTCTCTGGAAGACATCGCAACATGTGGCTGGAACTCTTCACAGGTGAAATGAACAGACCAAGCAGGTTTGAATCCCTCTCATGACATAAACATCATTGGTTGATGTTTGATACTGGAACATATAGACGGTGGCTGAGTGGATAACACTCTCGTTTCTCAGCAAGAAAGTCCTGAATTCAAATCCCGGTCGAAACAGGGCCTTTCTGTGTAGGTTTCCTCCAGGTGCTACCACTCCATTTCTTACAATAGGCAAAATCCTCCAGCTCTGGTCCTGAACAACCCCAGCAGCAACATCTCGGGATGGATGCGGCGACGACTGTATGTGACCCATCCTTTATGCAAGAAGGGCCTCTGTCAGAAGCAGAGGACAAATTTTGCTTCAGCGACACTTAAGTATAGCTAACTAACGGTAGCTAAACCCTGCCATCGTGTCCCTGGGCAAGACAGGAACGATAACATAGGAGGACCTTCATCCTTCCCACAGTGTTGTCGTTCTGACTTATAAATAACGGTGTCCTGTGTTTAAGTAGATCACAGCTGTTTGGGAAGGAGCCGCGCAGCACAACAATCTCTCTGCTGAGACCCTGGCCGCCTCAGACCTGGTGGCTCTGGACCGGTTCCTCTGTGGACTGAGCAGCGCCGACATCCAAAAGCTCAACACCGGCGCCTTCACGTACGCACCCACTAAAAACTTAGTACACAGCATTGTTGGTTAATTCTTCTCATGTGGAGACATATGCAATTGCAATTATTTTCCAATTCTCTGAAACCATGGACCAAATACAAACATGCAGGTTAAGGACACACAGAAGTACGTTCCCACGGATTGTTGCACTGTTAAGGTTTAGACAGAGACCAAACCAAATGGATTTCACCAAAGAAAGTGGAAATACAAATGATTCATTCTGCTTTCTAATTGTTTCTGATTCTCAAGTAATCACCCAATCTGGCCAGCATGTACATTTTGATGATGTCACAATATTAAAAATTGTGTTCAGGGAGGCTGTGGCTGCGATGCAGGGACTCCGGTGCTCTGTGGAAGTGACGCAGCAGTTCAAGAGCCTCACGTTGGAGGCGTTTGGAGCCCCTGCCACCTGGACGGCAGCTGAAGTCTCTGACCTGGGCAATTTCATCAGTGAGATCTTCAGCTACTTTATATTCAGATCTTCAGCAAGACGGTCCTGGGTTCGAATCCCGGTCGGACCAGGGCCTTTCTGAGTGGAGTTTGCATGTTCTCCCCGTGTTTCTCCGGGTACTCCGGTTTCCCCTATCACTAAAAACATGTACAATAGGTCTGGCATGCGCCTCCTGTACTGGCATGCGCCTCCTGTACTGGCGACCCCGTTCCCATGTCTGTGCGGAGTGAGAGACAAATGCCTCAGGGTTGTAGAAACCTGTCTGTTCACATTTATGGCTGTGCATAGAAGCAGATATATATTTGTAAATTAATAACTAATTTTAGATTTATTTAACCATCCTTGTATGGCCTGGAGTCAAACCTTTGTTTAAAACAGTTAAATAAGAAACATTTGAGTTAGTTAAGGAGGAGGAAACACAATTGGTTTGAAACAAATTGATTGCAAATAGTTTGGCTCCATTAAGTATCTGCTCTATACCAGATCCGTGGTCAAGTGGAGAATGTTTTCCATTGATTCTGACTCGCTGCTTGTCTCTTTTATTTCAGTTGGCCTGAATCAAACAGAATTTGTCTCTTTGAACGTCTCGGTCTTCCAACACATTAGCAAGGACATCATCCCACTCATCCCTCCAAAGAACTTTGCAGTAAGAGACATTGTAACAATTTTGTCACATCAGAGAAACAGTTAAAGATGTAAAACAGATTCAAGGGATGGATCTTTATCTGTTGAGATGTTGGTGGATAATTTCACCTTGATGGGAGCTGAGAGTGATCCGGCTGAGGAACAGAGCTAATTTAAACACAACTGTCTGAATGTCTAGAAAAATCTGCTTCCAAAAGATAAACAAGCCTTTTCATTCAACTGGTCCTGTTACATACTGTCTGTTATTCATTGTCGTCACTTAAGGCCAGTTCCCTGTTATGTTCCCTACTCCTCCCTACTTTACTGTTCATTCTCACGGTTTATTTCCTGTTAGGTTCTCTCCGTGGAGCAGGTCCTGGCACTTGGCCCTAAAAACGCTGCCATGATAACCGACGCGCAAAAGTCCAGCATGCCGAAGGTGCTTCAGGACGCTCTCACCGCGGCCTTGAAGGACAACGCTCGCGAAGAGACCCTTCAAATCAATAACTCCAAAGGTTGCATCTTCACACTTACTTTTTATATTCCAGACATCAGTGTTGCAACATTGTTATAAAGAGAAAAAGTATTTGTGAACTGTAAAGAGGAAGTTAAGAATTGGAACAGAAACAGGACACATTTAATCTGTCAGCTTAAAATGCTATAAATCCACTATCCGTTTCATTTAAATGCACAAAACTGTATTGATCGAATGGAAATATGCTTTTTTTCCAAGTTCTCCTTTGAACCGTTCGTTCAAGTTCTTAAACTGCATAATCTCTATACCTTCCCTTTAGGGCTTTCTCCATTTTATAAATATATAAATACATATGCTTCTCAGTAGTCTGAATCTGTACCAACGGTCTGTAAAGTGATATTTTTTTTTATCTTTTGTGTTTTAGCGCCCTCTCTGGTGGCTAGTGTCACTGCACCACTGCTGGTTCTTCTGGTGCTCGTGCTTCAGTGAAGTTTTGAATATTGAGTGCTTCCTGCCACAAGGTTCTCCACGAAGGCAGATCCAATGGCACTAAATGGAAATAGTCGTCTGGTAGTTGTCACCAAATACTTTATATACCTTGAGGATTTTATATTTGATATCTAAACATGTTAATAGTTTCTATTTATACCAGAATAAGTAAAGTACTTTTGTCGATATATTTTGCAAAGACATAATGTGTGATGGTAAAAATGCATGTTTTACAATTATTCTCATGTTATAAATGACTGAAGTCCAGTACCTCAGCTTTGATAGTGGTTAAACAAAATAAATACTGGTAGTAAAACTGTGTTGTGTATTTATTTACATTTTAGCAAGAAAAACATGTTGGAACTGGTTTGAATCAACTCATATTTAATAAAATATTATTTAGCATCACACATTTCAACAGGATCCCAGGGTATCAAAAGTCAAACATGGACACAAAGCAAATCACTATTTCAATCAGACAATGCAACTATTAAAATATTTTAAAATGCCTCTTTGTCATAAGTGCCTGGTCTAAATCCTTTACAGCAAAATTACAACCGCGGCCATTAGACCAAAAAAGTTAAAACAAAAGGACAAAAAGTATAAAATGCACTTTTATCACAAAGCTGCAAAGTGTAAGTAGTTCTAACATCAGTGTAAATCTTTATCCTGAGCGTCACATCTAAGGCCTGTGTTCAGCCAACTTTTTATTTATTTTTAAAACATTTTAACTGTATTTTTGATTTGTTGGTGATCATTTGAAACTGAGAATTTAAAGAAGATATTATGCTATTGTCAAAAGAGTGAAACTTGAAAAGGAAAGGACAGTGCTTTGACCCACTTTAAGCCAAACAAACATGCCTTTCTTCAATAGTCAACTACATAACATATCTTCAAAAGCTCAGGGCACAACTTTTGGGCCAAAAACACACTTTCTTTTCACTGCAATCATCCACATTAAAAACGTGTTATTTATTTGGCTAAATACCCTGTGGAGGTTTAAATTAAGGCATTCAGTGGCTGATACAGCTAAACCAACAGATCAGGTGCTCTTCCCTGCATTTCTAGCGTTGATAAACGCCATTCCGTGAGTTCTGAAGTGCGTGTTGAGATCCGCAGCCTTTTCGAACCTGCGGCCGCACACTTTACAGGCCAGCGTGCCCTCGCCGTCCCTCCCCTGAGACCCACCTGGCGAGTCTTGTGCAGAAAAAGCGCCTTTCTCTTCGTAGTTTTCATTTGCGGATGGAGCAAGGCCCGGGTTTGGCGAGTCCTGGCTTTCGGTCTGTTTGACTTTGTGAGCGATGAAGCGATGGCGAGAGAGGGAGTGGTGCGAGGTGAAGCAGACGCCGCACTGCAGACACTGTTGCGAGCTGCCCCCCGCGCCTTTGCGGTGTTGGCCGATGTGCTCCAAGAACTCCGCCTGCTCTTCACAAGTGTAGCCACAGGGGGCGCAGCGGAAGCCCTTCTCCGGTGGCAGCTCAGAGGACGATTGCCACTTCTTCGCCGGACTCGCCTCGTTCACAGAGTCTTCCTCCGGTTCAGATTTCAAGGCCGCTCTCCGTCTGCGGCGGAACATGGCGCCGCCGTCCTGCTCCGAGGAGCTGTCCGCATTGTCGCTGCCCTCCTGCTGGAGTTTGAGTATTACATTATTTCTTTTAAAGGACAGAGTGCATCGCAGAATTAAAGCTACAAAAGAGGACGACATCATTTAGTTTAATATCGAAAAGAAGCTTGGTGCTCCATGTGCTTCTAGTCAGTAAATTAAAGCTGCTATAACTCAATTTCAAACCACAACAAATAAATTATTGATAAATCCACTAGTTCTGAGTTTGGTTCCGTCACTAGTTTTCACACTATTATGCAGTCACATCTTTGGTTCAGCTTTTTCAGATAAAAAAAGTGAATAAAGCACCAACCTCACTCACGCCACAGCCCTGAGTGTCAATTAGTGACCCACAGGGCTCTTTCAAGTATCCATGTATGAGGACAGCATGATGTGGTCTTAGTTCACAACATTGTACTTTTACAAGACTCTGTCTGTTGGGAAATGTAAGTCAGGTAACCTAGCTCTAAGCTGGCATACTTCAACACAAACCAACTGCTCAAATACTTTCAAAGATAATGACAAACAAAACTCATATCTTTGGTAATCATTCATGTTTTTTCACTTTTACTGCTAATCGAGTCTGAAGCTGGGGGGATATGACTGCATTTTGAGGCGATGGCCAAAGATTTGAACCACATTGCTCTGGTGGTGGCAGTCTTAAGATAAGATAACCTTTAATTGTCCCACAGTGGGGAAATTTCAATGTTGCAGCGCATATTCAGAACAGTAGTAAGAGCACACAAAATATAGTCTTCCCCAGGGCAGCTGTGGCTATGTGTATAAAGTCATTTAATAATTCCAACAGTCAATTATGAAGAGCTTGAAACTTGAAACTGAAAGACACTGCCTTCAGCCGTCCTTTCTAATCTGGAGCTGAGGGTCGCAACAGCCTTCAGACGAGGTCAACATGACAAATTAAACATTTGTCTTTTCTTTTATTAGTCTCGCACAACCTGAAAACTTTATGAAATGGATATAATACTTATTGGCATTTGACAAGGAGTGGCGGCTGAAGAAAGATATGGCAATATAAATGCTGTGGCTCACCATGAGAAAGGCCTCGTCCCCGGTCTCCATCTTGTGCCTGAGCCTGATGTGCTTCTCCAACATCACTCTGCTGTTAAATGTCTTCTTCACGTCAGTGCAGAATCTACACACAACAAAAATAAAGGAGTGAGTCGTGTATTACTTCACTTTTCTGATCATGGTTGCGACATTCTCACTGGCAGCGGAAACTCCGAGCGGCGGCTTTGTGTTTGTCTCTGATGTGTCGTCGCAGGTTTGAAGTTGTGGAAAAAGAGCCGTCACATTTGTTACAGGGAAACTGCTTCCGTGTCTGAAAAAAACATTAATTGTTCATTCACAACCCTCACAACATGACCATAAATGCCAAATATAACATTTAATTTTCTTATCACCTTTTTAGTTACTTCTTTGGATGGGCTGCTGCTTTCTTCATCTTCAGAACTCTCCATCTTCACAGTTGGTTGTGAAAATGGAAGAGGAGACTCCTGTTTGATTTTAGTTTGATGGGTCTATAAAAACAACATAATTTGTGAAAAGAAAATAAATAAATGCTGTTTATTAATTTTAACTGTGGTTGAATACCTTTAAATGTTCCATTAATGAAGATCTGACAGAAAACTGTTTGGGACACTCGGGGCATTTGTATACATGCACTTTTTGATTTGCTAAATGTGTGTCAAAGTGGATATGAAGCAAGGTTTTACTGGTGAAAACGGTATCACACATGACGCATTTAAAGATGGATCTGTAAACAAAGCTTCAGTGAGAAACGGAGAGAGAAGAGTCCTGTATGGCATAGACAGTGTGGTCTTACATGGCCTGGGCCTCTGTGAGCGTGGGGTGCTGAGCAGAGATGTGGTTCTGGATGCTGGAGCCGGATTTAAACGCCATGGGACAAACGGGGCATTTCTGGAACATGTCACAATGTGCCTGCTGGATGTGCGACTTCACAGAGTTTATGCCTCCAAACACCACCAGACAACTGGAGCACCTGCTTGGGCCAGAGGGACGGCGGCGGTGAACAAGCATGACACTCACAGTATGACAGTGGAGAAATCTCATAGTGGCGCACATTACATATAAGGAGAAATAAAATAATAAGATAGTAAAAAAGTACTAGTGGAGTATACCCTGAGGTTAGCAGCAGACATGAGATTTCACTTTAACAGAAGGTTGGTATTCTATTGTAGCAGCAGAGAGTATGACCAGATAAGCGATAGTAATAATAGTAGCAGGTAATGTGGAAGGTGAATTATCAAAACAGATGATAGAATATGTAATAACATATACATAATTCATAATTACATGATGATAATCAATCAAAGAACCATCACCTGTAACCAATGCGCCGTGCAAAGTGAAAGCACGTCTCCTCTATGTGAGTTTTGAAGACGGCCGGTTTGGCGGAGCCTCCGCACTCTGGACACACGTGAGGAGCAGTGTTGAGGTGAATGCGCTGATGAGCCGCCGCGCAGCAGTTGTTGGACAGCAGCATGGGAGGGGAACATTCTATACATGTCTGAGTCAAAGGAGAAGGGCTTTTAGAAACTGTTTCCAAAAACATCATTTCTACATCTTTAGCTTACGATGGGTTGCGTTGATTTGAGTTCTTGAAAATGCTTGACCACCTCCTCTGCGCTGGCGAACTGTGCCTGACACTCAGGACATTTATGACTGCCGTACTGGACTTCTGTCTTTTTGACAGACGTGGCTTTCGGATTTACGTGAGACAAAACAGAGGACAGAGCTGTGGAAACATAACATGAGAGATAAGCTCGAGACAAGAGGAAGGATCTGGACAAATGTAACGGAGTCAGACCGGCTGCAGTCGGCTCCTGTGACCCGATCATCAGCTCCATGGGCACAGGTCTCATCACTAAATGTGAGCACTGCATAATGAGGCCCTTCTCCTTGTGCTCTCGCGCGTGTAGCAGCAGACTGCACTTGTTAAAGAAGGCCAAGCGTTTAGCACAGTGGTTACAGGTCACCTCGATCCTCAGCGAGCGCCGGTCATAATGCCGCGCTAAACTCTGCTCCAGAGCAAAGGAATCCCCACACTCCAGGCATCTGTAGCCCTGAAGAGAAGCCAACGCTCAGTGTTAGACGAAGAATATTGGGTTATTTCATATATTTTTAAACTAATCAAACATTAATAGGTTAGATTCATGTCCGAGAAGTCTATTTCAGTTGGAGGGTATAGTTACAATACATACGTCCATCCATCCATCCATTTTCTTCCCCTTAATCCATTTCTGGGTCAGGGGGTGGCAGTCAGAGTTGCACCCAGTAACAGAGCACCAGCCCCTCAGTGATCCTCCTGCAGGTGGTGAGTCCACAGGAGCTGAGATCTTTCAGTGGGAGCTTCAGGCAAAGTGGGGTTAAGTGTCTTGCCCAAGGACACAACGACAGCAGTCATCAGTGGGAGTCGTGAAGTAGTTCTTATGGTGGGCTTGAACCCACGACCTTCAGGCCCAAAGGCCAATGCTCTACCAACTGAGCTACTGTCGCCCCTAAATACATACGTATTGTAACTATATTGCACTGACATGGAAGAATGTGAGTTTTTGTTTTATATTCATTATTCCAGGAAAATTACTTGGTATACTGCTTAAAATCTATTGTGTGCACTGGTATAAAGTAATAATTTAAATGTTTATGTTGTAGAATTTTTTGATTAATCTGTCCAAATCAAATTCCTAATCTTTGACTTCCTGTTACTTACATGGCAATAAAAATGATTCTGATTCTGATGAAAATTAGCTCTAAACTAAGACAGGTGATTGGACCAGCAAAGATTTTTCAGCTGTCTTCCGCTAAAGGCTCAATGGAATGCAGTGACATCACATGAGTGCAACCTTGTAATACATCTACACTTATTTAGAGAGATGACAGATAACGTGAAAATAAATGTTATTTATTATCAATTTATGCAAAGATGTTTACCTGCGCAGGGAGAGAGAGGCCCCATTCTGCTTGGCGGGATGAGGCAAGGTCCGGTTTGTAACTGGGCAGTAGATTCTTGTTATTTAAAATTCGATTAAAAGCGTCTACCAGGTTGGTCTGGCTTTTAGATATAATGGCTCCAGTGCTGTTGACAATAGAAGCCGGCCTGCTGCTGCTGCTGAGAGGAGGCGGCAGTGAAGGCAGAGGTAAATTAATTCCCGTGGGTAGAGTTTTCTGTCCCAGGCTGCGTAACATTATCCCTGCTGGAGTGACTTTTGCAGTTGTTTTGGGGCTGATATCAGGCACAGTGGGCAGTTTTAGCTTGGATCCTTTCCCTACAGCTGTGTTTCCCTTTGACTGCTTAGGGCCCCTTTTTCTTCCAGGTTTTGGGTCACCATCAGATAATGTCTTGAGAGTTTTTACAGCTTTTTTAGCCGCAACACGTGTCCCAGTGGCTCGAGCAGACTTTTTCATTTTCCCTTTGACCGGCCCCATTGGCGGATCAGTTACCGCACTAGGAAATACCTCCCCAAGTTCGGCCTTCCCTTCCTCCATCGCTCCCTCATCCTCTTTGCTTGTTTCACTATTCTTTGACTGGTCCATGCATTGAGAGTCCGACTGTGGCTGCTCTGGGCTTTTCTTGGGAACTAGCATCCCTGTTTCACTGGGGGGTGGACTTTCCGGTGAATCTCTCTCATCAATTACATGTTCTGGGTATTTATCATCTTTAACTAACGGAGGTGGGCTAGGAAGCGGAACTGCATTAGACGTTGGAGTTACTATTTGTGCTTCTTTCTTCATCGGTGGCATAGAGTCTTGAAGACAAGTTGGTAATTGATCAGAAGAATTGCTCAAATTCATTAGAAAATCTGGCTTTCGTTTTAACCTAGACCTTCTGGGAGGCGTTGCTGGCTCCACAGGTTCTGGACTCTCTTGGATCACTAAAGCACCCTCTAAATCAGGCTCCGAATCTTCGTCATCTGACTGATTGAAATTATTTAACAGAGTTCTGACGCCATACGATGATGGGTTACTGGTATTTTGGGTTTTGACTAGAGAAGACTGAGGGGATAAAGCAGGATTTATGGTTTCAATGGTTGTTAACTTGGAAATAAGAAGGGGTTTCACACAGTCCTTAGATTCTGGTACCAGATGGGGTGTTACAGTAGCATCACTGAGTTTTCTATCATGTTCTGACAAAGTTGATAAGGCCCCTGTTAACTGTTGGGGCACTGGATTGGACATCTTGTTTGTGTCATTTTCTTTTACCCCATTTGTATCTGATGATAAATCTTCAATATTGCATAGCTCTGAGTCTGCAGCTTCAGTTGAATCATTGTGTATGTGTTTTCCTTTCTCTATTCCAACTGCATCTGTCCGCACAGTGTTCTTTACAATCACACTGACTACAGGAACATCGTTGTGGTCAGTGGCATATGTCTTCTTGTCTTTCTCTTCCTCTTTCGGAGACCTTCCCTCTGGCTCACCGTTTTCCTCCTCTGGACTGGACTCAATTGCCTCAATATCAGGGATGTCAAAAGCTGCCAACAAGTCATCAAAGTCTGGCGTCTTCATGTCTCCCATTTCCAGAGCAACCATCAAAACCTAATGAAACATACATAACTCATTATAATGATTTCTGGAATTGGACTTTGGTAATCTATACAAAAAGCAATGTTCGTGGTATAAATGAGGTATAACCTACATGGTTTACTTTCCAAGTAGTACATACAGGCCTACATGATGTGGCGAGTGGAATCTCAGCACATAGTGGTGACACTTTATCGGTGCACGGGGTACGACACTTTTACTCACTCGTGATTTGTTTCAGATGAATTCATTCATTATTAATTGATTACACTGTGTATCAACTGCAATTGTTTTTTGTACAACGTTGTATTTGTGAACGTTTGGGGAGCTCTCTTATTGACTGTTTTCAACAAGTGGCTGATCCCGCTAGGCTATGCTAGCTATTAGCATCTGATAAAACCTAAAGGAACCATGCACAGGCAGCTTTGACAGGATAAAACAGAGCGTTTCAAAGGTGTCAGTGTAAACATTGTATATCGAACTGACTTGTCAAGTGGATGTAGAGCCAACAAATAGAACCATTCCGTGTTGTGCGTTGAAATACCTGCAAAGCTACTTCGATGATTTTCGTTAAGAGTCGCACACATATTTCGTCATCACATCAAGCGACGCTCTAGTGTTGTGGTTTGTAGATGATCCATTCAATATTTTTTTTTACGATTTATCCTTTTGACCTGGATAATCAACCAGATTATCTTCGAAATGTCATTGTCATTGTAATCTTAATTAGAGCCAGGGTGTTTGTTTCTTCAATTATACTTTACTCAACAGAAAGTAAAAGTAACATTTATAGAACATCTGTTCTGCCCTGAGATCCACTATTTGACACTTTGGGTTGCCAAAAAGGTGGTCCCCGTTTTCACTCTTTTCTGGAAGATGTGTCTCTTAAGATGTGACTGAGACCATAGAATGAAAACTAGCCATAAAACCAAATTACTGAGAGATCTATGAACGAATTGGATGGCTTTTATTTCATACTTAATTTGTGATTTGAAAGTTGGATACCCCAGCTTTAAACAATAAGAAATGGGCTGAAGCTGACGTTATATGGGTTGAATAGTTACAACAGTATTTATTAAAGTATTTATTTTGTTGGTACAAAATGCAATGCTGCACACTGGGTGAGGAAGGGTGAACAGACAATTGCCACAAACACTGTTTTTCCACATGCATATTGGAGGCACATCAGTCCTTTTCAGTAAATGTTTATTTCTTTTTCTCTTCATCCTTTTTGGGGTCAGGTTTGGGCGTCTGTGATGCCAAAGATCCCATGGCATTTCGAATAGCCTCGTTACTCGGGTCGACTCCAGGGAGGTTTTCCAGCACGCTCTGTAGAAACTCTGGGTCTTGCATGACGTCATAGTCTTCCTCCTCCTGAAAGTAGAGGGATGTGAAGTAAATTGAACAAAAGCACAACACATTGCAACTGGAAGCAGATTGGACAGAGAAGTTTGAGTTTACCTTTACGTCACTCGAATCCATCTCTCCTGTATCCATTCCCTCAGCACCAAACTCTACAAGGGAAAGAAAGTCAAGAATGTCTGAATCCAACACATTACAGGTAAACTACATGTGTGACCATTTTCTAGTGCAGGGGTCAGGAAGTCAGGAACCTATGCTATGGCTCAGGAGCCAGATGTGGCTCTTTTGAGGATTGTATCTGGCTCTCAGTCATACAGTATCTATTTTGTCCATATTGTGAAATCAATAACATTAACAACTTATTTCTTCTCTTATTGGATTTCTTTAGTATGAAAATAATAAACAAAATAATACATTCTGAGACTAATATACTATAAATGTGTTGATCTCGTTTAAAAAATATATATATATATATAAGTACAATAAAAATGTTTGAGACATTTTTGGCTCCCTCAGCCAAAAAAGGTTCCCGACCTTTGATTAGTGCTATCTTTAATATATATACACTGCATCACTTGTATGTGTTTTGTAGTGGCCATAAAAGGAGCATACCATCGGCTCCCTGCATGGACATTTGTAAAGCATAAGCAATCTGCTCATCCTCCGTCATGCGGCTGAAGTCTGGCAGAGCTGCTTTCCCCCCGTCGGACTGAGGTACAGACATCTTCAAAAGAGTTTCCTCAGATTCTGTAAAAGGCAATAAGCAGGTATATAACAAACAGACAAGGAAACAAGTACTTATTGAAGATGCCCCTCACCGTCTGCTTCAGGGGCAGAAACGCCTGCCTCTGTGGCTGAAGTCACAGCTGCCCTGCGTGCCTCATCTTCTTGGCGTTGTCTTTGCTCTTCCATCGACACCCTCAAAGCCTGAACGTAAAGTGAATCCCTCAAAATTTCAGTGTTTCACAATCCTGGTTTATTCTCAGTCGAGATGTTTTGATTAAAGTGAGTAAAGCGACGTAAAATAGACGGTTTGTACAGTCAGGGTGGGCGTTCAGGGGAAAAATGTGTGTAACAAAGATGAAAGTAATTTTTTATTTCGACATTTTCATGTTTTACTCATATTGGCCGATCTTGATATCATGTTAGATTTTTGTATTACTTCAATCAAATAAAAACAAATTTAGCAAAAACATATTTAATTGCCCAACCTATTCTGCACAGCCAAAGAGGTTTGAACATCTAATCAGGCCAATGCCAGTGAATGTCGCGAACTGATAAAAACTCATGTTGGCTTTGGGGACAATATTTGGGGATAGTTTTAATCTAGTGTCTTGCATACATGGATGCCCAGCCCTTATAACACCAACACAAATACAGAGACAGGCCAACAAGTTTCCCTTCAGTGTTGTCATAAAAATAAGGGTTATAAGACTTCTCTTCAGCACCTGTACTGTTACTGCCACATGATTGGTGTCGGCCGATTGTAATTCAAATACTGCCATTCAAGATCTACTTAATTAGGAGACTGTGACCTTTCAGAGTTGGCACAGCTTTAAACATTCATACACAAAGGTTGCAAAAGTGCATGTCCTACACAAACTGCTACAATACAACAACAACAAAAATTGACAGATCAATATTGTCTCCCCTCTCCCTAAACCATTGGTTCTGCAAGGGGCAAATTCAGACCATTGTAGGATTAAACAAAAGATTGTAATCACATGATACATACAATGGTATAGAATACAAGCACTATATGGGTCAGTGTTTCCCAAAGTGGGATCCAGGGCCTGGGGTTTAACATTGGAATATTGAATTTAACTACAATCATGTTTCTGTGCAGGAATAGTAGCGGATCTGCAATAAACTTGGACTAAAGTTTCAGACACTTAGAATGCAGCAAGAAGACTCCAATTTCAGATTCCATGCTAATGCTCAGGTCTGCCTAATGTGATGTCACTGTGATGGTTGGCTGCAAAGTGGCCCATCCCAGAAATTGCATATGCAGAGATTAACTTACCAAGGCCAGTTCAGGGTCTGCACTTGGATCAACTCCAAATTCAAAGTCGCTGGCTCCCAAACCTAATACTGCACCACCTTCTCCAGCCAAGATGGGAGAAGACAGAAGAGCATCAGCGAGACTGGGGCCTGGAGGCACTGTGACCAAGTGGGAGCCCACACCCTCTTTGCCATTCAGCGTATTAATGAAGGCTGTCAGCTTCTCTGTGTTTAGCTCCTGTGTAGGAAGTCAAATTGACATAGTACATTTGAAAAACTTAAACACAATTATAAAAAATAAATAAACGTGTCCTTTAAACTACCTCCTCTCCAAAGTTAATAATATCAACGTTGACTTTCTCTTTCTTCAAGCGCTTTGCCATCTTCACTAACTGAAAATGAAAAACAAATGCATGATCATACCAAACATTTTAAAAAATTCAAACAAAGCTAATTGCTTACGTCTTTTTCTGTGTCCTCCACTGGACTGCCAACAAAAGCAATAATCCTCATCTTGTGGTTTTTGCCTTGCCTGTGCTTCAAAGCCAGCTACAAGTGCAGAAAATAAGGAGACAATGGATTTAAAGACAAAAGGATCCTGCAAAGTAAGAGCCTGAATCTCTTGTGAACTCACGTGTGCCACCCTGATGCCTGTGCAGAAGCTAATGTTTCCTATGGGCTGAACCGCGTGAAGCTTCGATAGTATTCTGCCCGTGTCTGGAGTGAGGGTGGTCAGTACCTCACAGTTGCTGCAATTCAAATCAGTAGTATTAAAAATAAACAATTAAATTTGATGCATCTGAACAAAAAAAAAATTAAAATATGATACGGGGCACCTCAAAGTGTTGTCAAGTCCAATGTCAGGCCGTAAAAGTTTAAAATGCATGCCACATTGTAGTTTTTGAGTTTACAATAACAGCATTGTGCCATTGTCTGCGCTAAAATCAGACCCTTCTGTCTCAAACATGGCCTCCACCCTGCCTGTTGTACTCCCTTCTCAAACCTGGTGTAAAAATATTCATCTTTACCCGCACTTTCTTAGCATCTGGAGCCCCAATGCTGGGATTTTGCAGGGTTTCTGTGATTATTTTTACTCGAGTTGCTGTGATCAGGTGCCTTCTTTTCTATTAAACAACAATGTGAAAAACGGTCATCCACTAGACCCCTTCTACGTCACTCTCATTTTGACTGAAAGCCACGTCACTGATGCAACCAAGCGTGGAAAAAGTGCAGAAGTGGGTGCTTGGGGGACCTTGTCAAAAATCATGGCGATAACTGATGTATTTGTATGGAGTCTTACTTGGCCATGGTGATGAGTCCCACATTGTTTTCGGGGTTGCTGCGGGTCTTCGAGTGACAAACAATATTCACTGCATCCTGCTGAGCTTGGAGTCTCGTGGGCAGAAAGTCTCCATTACGCATGTATTCACTGTTGTCCACACTTCAAAAGAAAAGAATACATGAATACAGGAGAAATGAAAAAGGTTGTTTTTAATTTTAAGAATAATTTAATGTTCCCACTGATTTCTGAATATCAAATCAATTTAATTTTGTATAGCCGTGCGATAATAGTAATGGTCTGCCATTTAGAGAAAAAAAAACAGATTTACAAAAGAGCAGATTAGAAAACCAAACAATTAGAAAACAAAATAATAAAAAATAATGATAGGGATTGAGCAATGTCAGGAAAAATATGGAATCACCTGCAAACCCTGTCAAATAGAAATATTCTACCTTGTCTCTTAGACACTTACATACATCAACACTAACATTAGCTGTGCATTAAGTTGAGTAAATAGTTTCCTCTCCTAATTCCTACTTTTAATCATTTCACACATCTTTAATATTTGTTTTTATTTGCTTTGATTTTATATTCACCTGTCTTGTTTTATAATCGTCTTGTCTTACGCATTGATCAAAAATAGCAGTTCTCAGCTTGAGTCAATAATGTGTAGAAAAAGCCAAAGTCACAACAATAATTGGCTAATCTTTCATTTGTGTGACATGTTCTTCCCTACAGGACAACTTGAGCTAGCCACAGGAGCTAACGAAGCTAACCACAACAAACAGAGCCCATACAAAGCTGTTTAAACACACAAGCAGACTGTGGTCTATCGCACATCGTAATTCATGATAGAAATATTCATTACGACAATATTATTAAGCTTTGTTTGTGTTTTTGTTTTCCCGTCAAGAGACAAATGCTAACAGTGACTCAGGAAATCGCTTAATGGCAAAAGATCATTCATTCACATAAAAACTCATCCAACCACAGATATTCCCACATCAGAATGAGAGCCAATACCTACAATATTATACAAACAACAGCATTAAGTTAAATAGGTTTAAGATTTCTTACCACACCATAGTGCTTTCGAGCACCATCTTGACGACTGGCCCTTTACCTGCACGTCACCGGGATGAGGGCTTCTGGGAGATGTATTTTCAACTGCACGGATTTTTTCATATTTATAACTTTTAACTAATACGGCTCATTTTCTACACCATGATTGTAAATTAAAATATAATATTTATACATATTTTTTAAAAAGAGAGAAGTAAAACAAATACTAATCTAGACATTTTGTAGAATTTGTTACCTCTTGACAAGTTGCAACAAAACTATTATTGAAATTGTTCAAGTTAGTTTTATAATCAGTGAAATGATCAATTAATATTTTTTCAAACCATACACAAACTTATAAATGCATTGAAACGGTGTTATGAATCAGACCAGAAGTATACAAGAATAAGCTTATATATGTACTCTAGTAAAACAAGAAAAAAACAATGTACTTATTTGACACATACAGTAGAAATGTTTCATACCGGCAGAGGATATGATAAATAAAACAGACATATTGAGAACCACTGCTCTTCTTCATCCCCACCGCTGTCAGACTGTACAACAATTCACTTTAGTCTATGACTAGGACTGAGTAAACCACTGTTTGCTATTGCCACTGTTTCTTTAATTGCCATTTTTATTGTACATATTATATCCTGAACAGACTACATTTATTGCTTTTATGTCTTTTGCACAATCTGAGTGATCCTCTCCAGTGCAATCTTATCTTATATCTCTGCTCCACGTGTCGTTGGAGCACCCACTTCAGCATTTGTTTAAAAAGATTCTCAAACACAATTTCAAGAGATACACAAATATTTAGAAAATAAGTTTAATCCTTTAAAATAATGTCACCACCACATCAATAAAACATGGCAGGACAACAGACAGCACATTATGAATGAGAAGGCATTTCCGTGACTTATGTACATATTCACAATTTACAGATTAAAAATATAGTATTGAAGCGTAGAGGACACTCAGCGACACTGGCAAAGCAGTGAACATTCACAAAAAAAGAGCACAATCATTATGGAAAGCATATAGTAATTTTCACGTCATTTTGAAACATGAAGAAATATAAAAATGACTTTATAAACTTCTCCTTTACAGGCATCACATGCAATGAAGCGTCACACATCCTTCTGTCAGTTTACAGTACGACGTGAACAATCATTCAAGGACCGCAATACAAAAACTTCAGTCACGTCAGTCGCATTAATAAATATAGTTTTCTGAAAGTGGATTGTATTGTATATTGCATTGATTCAAAGTACATGCTTTACATACTGCCACCGCACACAAGGGTCATAGAATGTCATATTCTACGATGAGAGGGCTATAACTAATGGAGATTTACTGTAATTTTGGACCACAACATTTTAACCTTACTATAGTTTTTATATCAACTCCATTAATTATCTCATGGCTTTAAGTCCTCTCAACCTGCAACAATCACATCTTTGGGGTTGAATAATGGCGCAACTTTCAGAAGAAAATTGCACCATACAATTCAGAACCTATTCATTAAAATAGCCTATACTATTCTATTAATTAAGGGTTAAAAAAAAATCCAATGTTAGTTTGAATTGGTCATTGTTGGAGTGTTCCATTGGTGGTTGTGCATATTCAATTCAATGGTAAACATACGATGGGGCCTTATTTATAAAGTGTGCGCATGTACAAGTATATTATGCACGTTTCCGTTTAGTTCATATGTACACGTCCAAAAATTAACGTAAAGTTTTATAAATGAGGCCCCAGATCATTTCAAGTATTTAAAACCAAATTCAACAACGTCATGAAATGTAAAAACCATCTCAGTGTGAATGGTCAGGGCTTATCCACTGTACATTACCCCTAGTTTAATGTACTAACCTCTTTAAGAACAATGTCATAACATGTAAACTTTTACTATCACGCAAAAGGCATCTACTCCTAACCAACAGTTACTGGCAATACAAATATCTAATGAATATTTTCATTTTGTTCTGCTTCCAACCTTTACCCTGACAATCTTTGGTACTTCAAATTCTCAGTATGAAATCCTCCATTGTGCTTTCAAAAAACATATTCGGACATTCTGTTTCGCCTTAATCACTTCATACGTATATACATTTATCATATCGGATGATTTGGAAGAACTGTCTCCCAGGACCACTCAAGTATCACTTCATGAATTGTGTTCAGTCAAACAAAAAGCAGCGCGACTACGTCATTGTACAAAAACTTGTCCCACGCTGCACTGTTGTATTGGTCCAAAGATGGATAAGAGCAGAGGTCATTTCTTACCAGCAGAAATAGTGTATATGGTCCTAACACATCCGACGTAAAAGTTTATGATTAACACGGATTACAATAGCTAGTATTGTAGCAAAGATAAAAACTGAATATTACCACTTTAGTTTGGACCCTCTGATCCGTGCACAGATGGCAGTTTGAAGAGTTTGGCGCTAGTGATAAGGCAGGTTTCAGCACAAATTCAACTTTGTGAGTTGTTGATGATCAGAAAGAACTAATCTCCAGCAATGTTTACACCATTTGTTTCCTTAGCAGAGACAAACATGTGTAGCAAGTAAGGTACTTCAAAATTGTCAATGTACATTCAGCAGTGGAAGATCACACACTATGTCTTCCAGCAGAAAAGAAACACAAAGAAAAGCGCAATTTAAAAACTAAATGTGTGATCAAGTAGGGAAATGATTGAAGAGCTTTAAGAACTATATTGACTATAACATTGGGTTTGCTCCTGAGGTCTTGAGCCCACTTCACATTTTCACCTTCGCAAAGAAAACCAGAGGTAACAAACACATCCTGTCCACTCCCTCGCCGTGTCTCCGCACACGTCCACAATCCTTCATGTTCTTACTTTTTCTAGAGCAGCTGCCTGGAGCTTCAGAGCCTTTTCAGAGGCCTCGAGAGTCGAAATAAAACCACGCACAGTGATGGTGAAGGCTGAGAAACATGGATCCGGCCACAGATCTTCACCTCCACGTCTTTAACCCTTCGTTGTAACAGTCGTCTTTGTACTGTTCCTCTTCGTAAGCAGCGAACCAGAAGATGTTCAAGTGTGCAACAGTGCAACAGTGCATCCAGGAAGGACAGGGCGCTCCTCGAGTCTCCTTTGCACGTCCCACACTCGTCTCTGATGTCCTGGCACTGCATCCGTGTTTACTGTCGACAATTTGGAAACATTTGTTTATACCACAGTTACAGTATAAAACTATCAACTGCTTTACTTACAAAAGTGATGTTAGTCTCGGGTATAACATCAGAAAGTGAAATGACATCTTCATTTCCTGATGAGGTGCCCGTCACATTTGCAGATCCATCAGCGTCCAAACTGTAATCCATATATAAAAAGTGTTTATTATAGTGAGATCGTAATCACTTTATTGCAAAGATTTGTTCTTGTAAAAGTTCTTCCCAAAAGTTCTATGTAATTTATATGTAAATACTGATAATAATGTGTACCAGATTACAGAAGTAGTAGTGTTTTCACTTGTTCATAAGTGAAAGTGGGCGTATGGAGTAAGGTGAATATACAGTACACTTATGGAAACATCACCTGTGAAGAGTGATTTGTTCGTGGTCCGTATTCTCCGACTTGTGCACCTCCACCCCAACAGACCTGGACACACCATAAATGGTGATTACAAAACCGCAGACACAATGTGGAAAAAGACCTCCCTCAGAACAGACCGTAGGCGAGGAGAGGAGGTCATCATTCCGGTGCTGCCCACAGACGACATGGAGAGGTTGGCCTCAGCATCTGCAGAGCTGTTGAGGGGGGGAGGGGTCCTGGGGAGAAGGTCTGGCCTCCCTGAATGAACGTCTGCAGGAAAGCAACAGTGACCACGTGTTTATGTTCCGCATAAAGCATCTGGTACTCACAGGTATCTCCCTCAGACTCGGTACTTTTAAAGTGAGGATGAGGCACTGATCTGACGTCCATCGACTGTGTGTGTGAGAGCGGGGTTGGACCTCCCAGTGTCTGCGCTCTCCTGAGCCCCGGGCCCCCACTGCGACTCTTCTTAGACGGAGAGGCTTTTACTGGAAACAGAGCGTTCATAAGTCTCTAAACTGGACGACCTGAAGACTGTTAAACATAAATGTGGGCTGTACTTACAGGGGATTTTCCTAAAGACCGTGTTGCACATAAACTGTTGAAAGCGTTCAGCGTAGAAGCCCGGTCTGTGCACGGACACTGTGTCCTGTGGAGAAGCATCAGTTATTTATTCTAATGTTATAGAACATTCTAGTCTAATTCTCAGTTTAGGGTCTTACCCCATCATGGACGAGTGCTTTCCAGGAGTGCTCCAGCTTTTTGATAAATCTGTGAAACACCATGATTCAAATGAGCCAATGCTACGTGAACAGTGAGATACTTAACAAACTGACGGTGACCTGTAAGACTGGAGGATGTCTATGATGCCGATGTAGATCAGCAACCGCTCTCCTTTAGAGTTTCGAGCTGGAATACCACCCATGCTGCAACAGAGCGACATCGTTATTGTCCATTAAACAAAGCTCTGAGCACTGAATTATCACTTTTTACTATTACCACTATTACTATTATTACTATTTTAGTCCCCAAGCACAAAAACTAAGAAACTACTGCATGTGCAGCTCAAAAGACTTCCCCTGGTGGGATAAATAAAGTAGTCTGAATCTGAACTGCTGATGTAATTGTTTAGCATATGTTTTATTAGAAGGAAATGTTCAAAAATAAATGCAGTCATTATCTTAATTTTTGCTAAATTGCTTTTTTGTAGGTCGTTTAGACCAATGTACACTGTGAAAACACTCTTTGCTTTCCCTGATCAACTATTGATGTTCAGCTCTGAGTTACAGGTGCAATCCAACAGAAGTGGGAACTCTCGGCTCAATCACAATAAAAGTATGCACAAAAGGTAAATATTTTGTCAACTTTAAAATGTTGTATCTGTAAATTTCCCTGATAGCACCCAGTGTACACAACTAGGTCTGTCACAACGACAAATGATGATGGACTTTAGGTCACAAATGAATGTGAATGAAATTTTTGAATGTGAGCGCTGGCCTCGCTCTTTCTGCTAGCCCTCCCCGCACTCACGGCACTATTGCCCCCCACTACCCTCCTCCCACTCAGCCTGTGCTTATGTGTTTACGGAGCTCGCGTCTCACAATATGGATTGCACATTTGAACGTGGATGACGTGACCATAGAATAATAGAACCGGGAAGCGCGGAGGAACGAGACTTTCTTTTGGATCGATGTTTCGCTGAGTAAGCAGAAACCGGTAACAAAGACACGGGAAGTTTCAGGTTATCCTCCGCCGCTTGTTTACCTCAGCTGTCTGTGCTAACCACAGACCTGTAGCTTTCTCAAGAAAGTGGGGGCCAGTGACCCGAAACACATTCTCTTCCTTCTTGCACGAAAACTTGATCTAAAATAAAATGGCACAAATCCGTGCTACTTTTTCTTCAAAAGGACGTATGTCCCAATGCACTGCATGGATGTGGATTGAATTTTCGTAATGAATACTAAAATATAGTGAGGTAATGCAGAAATAGTCCTTGTACCACATTTGACAAACACGGAGCCTATGTGATCAATGCACTCACTGGTCTTCAGAGTCCAGCGCGCCCTTCCCTCGCGCCTCCCCCTGGATGGACTCCATGGCAGTGCAGTACAGGCTCCTCTGGGTTTGGGGGCGCCGCTGGTCTGGGGTCACCGCACCCTCCGACCCGCCGCTGTCTCCTGAGTAGCCGCGGTCTCTCTCACGGTTGGCCTGGTCCATGTTATGGATCCCCATGAGAAGACTGTAGTCCATAATCTTAAAACTCTGCAGAAGCTAAAATGCAAAAAAGTATGAGAACAAGTTTAGGAGAAAGATGGAAGACAAAACAAAAAAACTGACAGAAGAAGGTCATCTTAATAATCTACATAATATTTGAGGATCATCCTTGGTACTAGTATTGGTGAGATTTAATTGAGCTTTACTGATCCAAATAAATAAACTGGATTGGATCTGAACATATAATAACATTATAATAAAGATTACAAAGAAAACATGTTTTCTTTGTAATTGGGCATTTACATTTGTCGTAAAAGTGACTCATGATGTTATACTTATTACATTACTTGTATGTAATAAGGCATTAAATTATACTTAACTCAACAGAGGCTTCTAATAGAAAAATGTTGTGAACAAATCACACCCAATCCTGCCGTCTTCATCTTACTAGAAAATATTTTATATAGTCTCCAAACTTGTTGAAAGAGTGAGCGACTATTTGATTGAAAAATTGAGAGCGAGGAACTAGTTACATAGATTGCATTATATAGATAACCCACATTTAATCAGAAAAGCTAAAATGCATTGCTAATTGTGCTCAGGGCTTTGAAAGTTTAAAGTGTTTACAAAGCTGCACAATTATTGTAAAATGAATGCATGAGAAAGAGAAGAAGCTTCAGAAAAAATGAGATTCTGAGGGGCTTCTGGCACAGCATCTTTGCTCGCAGCAGTGTGGTCTTACCAGACAGTCTCTCTGTATGGTCTTGCTCAGAGCGTTGTAGTTGTCCGCCTCCATCAGAAGTCCATCAGGGAGGTCCTGAATGAAGTCCAGGTCTTTGTAAATGGGACTGGCCTTCTCTCGCTCTTTGGGAGACGCGCGCCTCTTGTAGGTGGAGCCCTTCATGTCGTATTTAAGGTGCATGGGGATGATTCGAGGCAGCAGGTTGTTCATCACAACGATGCGAATGTTCTTGCCTCCAGCCTGGACGCAGTAGAGTCCATAGAACTTGGGCAGCAGGGTGCGTTTGTTTTGGTTAATGTTCTGCAAAAAGACAACAAACTGTAAAACTTCCTCCTCAGAAATGGAAAGTGTAGAAAGAGACCCACCATGAAGTAACCTGGTAGAAGCTTCTGTAAAAACTCTGCCTCTTTGTGTTGTACAGTTTTAATAATGAACTCGTCGTCACTGGAGACATAAAAGAGCGATCCACTGGCCCCAGGGTTAGACAACTCAATAAGAGGCTCATTACAGAGTGAATACTGTAAATTAAATACACATAACACATTCATTACTATATCCACACAGCAGCACTTAAAAACACATGAAGAGGTACTGACCAGATAGTCATCGGGTCGAATCCCAAACAGCTCTCTGAAATAGCGAAAGGCGATTGGAGCGTATGTCTTGAAGCGGAAGTCGCTGTAGTGATGAGCAGGTGTTAAATTACTGCCTTCACTGTAAACAAGGAGGAAAAAAGGACATGGTATATAATATAATAATAAATATAGTGATTTCAATGTCAAAATAAAACAAACCTGGGGAAGAAAATGCTTTCTACCACAACAAAGTCCTGCATAAGGACGTCTCTTTCTGCTTTTTGACTCAAGCTGCCCACAGTGTGCGTGATGCCCAGTTGAATGGCCCCTTTAAGAGCTGAGGATGTGGTCTATCAAAGAAATGCATGTTCATGAGTATTAACAATGTTATTACAGTGATCCCTTATCATTACACCCACCTTCTTATAAGTGGTTTCTCCGGTTGTGGTCTCAACCCCTCTGTGTCCAATGGTCTTCTTCATGCTCTGAGTTGTGCCTGAAGATCCAGGGATCTGTGGTGTTAAAAGGACTGGCCTAATTATTCAATACCAGTACAACCATTATGACTGGTGGTCTCTTTAAACTAGGTCTGAGTGTAGACATGACTAATTCACTTAAGCAATTTAGACACAGGCAGTTCAGGGATAAGCATCTCTTACCTCAGAAGGGGCCATCTTTCTGAAACTGCTGGCTCCTAAAAATAGAACAAACTTTATTTTATAGTATGATAAGTTACATACAAAATAACATTTGTCAAAAGAGGTTTGAACACATCTGCTTAATTAGAGGTTATTTTCAGCTCTGACTTTGAGGCCTAAAATAAATGTGGGTTACTTGCTGGATGCTCTAGATTTATGCCCTCCCTGAAGATATGGCTCTGCTGAGGGAAGCGCTTCTCAAAAACCCTCCAAATCCACTCGAGCAGAGTTATCAAGAATTCAAAAACAAGCCAAAATCAGATATATATTGGGCCTTGACTATAATGTGAGAAATGGGATCCTGAAGAACTGAATGTTGCATGTCTTCAGTCACCAGGACAAACTGTGGCCTGCAGGGATGTGGTTACAGCCCACATCTTCATGCTGTAGAAAACAGCAGCACACACTAACCATGCAGCTTCTCACACACTGAAACACACACCATGCGAGTACCTCGCTGTAAAGCTCTTCTCCAGAACTGAGTCCTAATATCTGTGGAGCATGTCACCAAGTAATGAGCACACAATAGTTCTTGGGAAATAAAGTTATCACCTGTGTGAAGCTGAGACTCACGCTATAATCATGAACAGGCTGATACACTGTGCATTTGATGGAATTAGTCTAACCCAATTAGGTCGTCATAGCAGTCCTACACTACAATAGATAAGCCATCTGTTAATCTCCATAACATCCAGACAGCCCTGTTCACTGGCCCCAATCTCAGCAGCCCAGACACAGGACAGAAGATCTACTTAAGAGGAGATCATTGTGGTACATTACGTTTTTAACCCTCACTGGAACCAAATCATATACATATTGCTCATGTCTGTAGTCTATTCTTGTCAGTGCACGAATGATACCAATACACTCACGTTGGTCTAAGTTTAGAGAGAGGAGGAAACTGGATTTGGAACCATTGAAACTTGCCTCAGACACAAAATGATTGAGCAGTGGGGGTGATGAAGAAGAGGGAGACTGCGGACCGCTTTTCCAGCTTGGATTACAATGAAGACAAACTGAAATCACGACTGCAAATGGTTTGAATGTAACATTTAACAATAATTAATCGAGTTATACATTTATACCACTGATAACAAAGATAGAAGAGCGCTTTAATCAACGTGGTCTGGGAATACTTTTATCTACATGTTGGCTAAGTGGCTCTGATAGAGAATAACTGGAAGAGATAAGGCCCACGAACAGAGAGATATAAGAGAATGGTCAGCCCAACACTGCCTTATCTTTGTTAGTGGTTCTTTTGCACATTTCTATTTGTGTAAAGGCTACAAACACAATGCTAGCTCACTCCCGCTAGCTAGCTCCCTGCGGCTGGGATGAAGCAGCAGCCCCAACACTGCAGAGATCCGGACAATATCCAACTATTTACAGACTTCACAATAATAGAGAATAGCTACGGGCTTTTGTTTTGATTCAGTCAAGTACCTGGAGGGGCTGTTGATCCCGAGTCTGTCCCAGCAGTCGCCATTATGATCTGTGTTCTCATCAGCAGCAGCGCCGCTACTTGCGCAGGGCTCTACCGCACAGCGCCCTCGTGTGGCCAGGACAGTCATGGCACGGTAGATACATAGACATAGCAGTAGTAGTAGTAGTAGTAGTAGCAGTTTTTATAGTTAATAAGTCCTGCAAGAGGGAGGGGCCACTTGCAGGTCAACCCAATAATTGACTTATTTTATATATATATATATTTTCTATTATTATTTTACAGTCTACTCTGTGACTTGCCTTGTGTATGAACAGTGCTCTACAAATAAACTTGCCTTGCCTCAAGATGAAGAGATTCTTTTTTCATCCCACAGTGGGGAAATGTCATTGTTGCATCACAAGTTACAGAATAATAGGAATGAGGGGCACACAACACAAGTGAATATTAAGCGTAGCACAACTCTAAACTTTAAACATTAAATACAATTTCTATTTTTAGCTTAATAAAGCAGTATAAATGCAGCATGCTCTAGTGCAGGAATATATACTTGAATGTATACATCTGTAATACACTCTGCAAGAATATTAAGTTTTATCTTTTTTACGTAATCTTGAATTCTATCTGATGTCGAGAAGCTATAAACTATTTACAATTTATATCACTTTGGTCAATACATTTTCACCATTAATTCTTGGTCTTGAATGGTCAGAAATAATGAAGGTTTATGTGATTTTTAAGTTACAGTTACAGTTATAGCTTGCATATTCTGAATCCTCAAGATGATGAGAAATAAGGACAAAGTACTTAAAATATGACATTAAGTTGTGCTTGTACGTTGATACAAAGATGTCATTGTTATAGTTATAATTTGGAGATTCATTCATTCAATAAAGCATGATACAAATACATGTTTCCCTCATTTCAAATGATTGTTTGGAGCCATGTATTGTCAAATAAACACATGTTCTATTCTGAAATCAAACCATCATTGAGCTTCTCTGTGCAGTTCATGCAAAATGGACCAGGAATTTACAGGAGACTGTAGCTGTCATAGATGATAAAGGTGCTATTGAGAAGAGAAGTCATAATAATGTGAAAAGAGAAAACAAATATTTTTATTGTACAATAAACATATAATACACGGAATAAAAATAAAGGTATGAAAATAGGCAACATTTGATCCGAGTAACATAAAAAAATCTGTGAACAATATTTGTAAGAATAGTGGTAGAGACAGATCTGACGCAGAAACCAAGGTTAAACCATGTTAGTTATTTGTATAAAATGTATCTGTGTAATTGAAACAACATTATGTGTCTGAGTGACTTTCTGAATGCCCAGAGCCAGTCGGGTCGGCTCAGGTCATTCAAAGCTTTAAGACATGTTCTCAGGTTTGGGACATTTTTTCTTCCTCTGCTTTGTAGAGCTGGTTGCCTTGGTGATGGCATTCATGAGAACTTTATTGAAACATTCTGCAGATAACAAACGGCAGCAGCGTTGGACAGGTTTAGGAGGAGAGTTTCTGGATGAGCAAATCTCTACAAACAGCTCCTCCACCTAAAAAACAAAGAATTTCTAGATCAGACTAATAATAACTGTGAAGCTAATGATAATTTTAAGACTTCTACTGTATATGCCTTACATTGTTACATCTTAAAGCTAGGGTACCTAACTTTTAAACCACAAAATGCTTTCAAACAAATCCATCTTGTTCCATGCTCTCAAATAGTTTGGTTGTATCACTCGTTTCATGTGCATGTATGTTTTGCCTCTGTCACGTTTTTCAGACAGAGAAGTGAAAACTCAGCCAATCAACTCTCAGCCCAAGTGTAAAAGTCGTGGCCTGAGTTGTTCACAAATTAGACATGTACAAGACTTTATGTTGGGACGAAAAAAGAAAATGTTTGTATCCCAGCTTTTATACATTGGCGAGGTGTGTTCAGTGTGAACCCTCTGACCAAATAACGCAGTTATAGACTACAATGAAAAACCAAACTGTTTTCTTGCCCGTTGCTTACATGTGGGTCAAGTGAAGGAGGTTATAAAACTACGTCAATGGAACAAAACTTTTTATAATGACAGCATAAAATGAACAATAATGTAGCGACTTACAAAGTTGTTCTGTAAAAAACTAACAATTGAAAGTGTTTATTGTGATGCATGATAAACCTCCCTAGGTCCTGAGAATACTTTGAAAACAAGAAGTTTGTTTTGACCTGTGGTGAATTGCCAAAACACATCCAAACAACACGACAACCTTCCAACCACTGTTGGGCATTTCAACACGGGTTAAAAACACTCAACAATTGTTTTACTGACACATTACTATGAATTCATGAGTCATTTAAGTAAGTATCCATAGTGGTAGAAGTAGTAAGTAAGTAAGTAGTAAGTAGTAAGCTTTATTTATATACCGCCTTTCACAGACCAGAGTCACAAAGCGGTTTACAATTGTTATTTTTTTTGCACTTGTCTCTCACTCCACACAGAGATGGGAGCGGGGTCGCCGAACAGGAGGCGCATGCCAGACCTATTGTACATATTTTTAGTGGTAGGGGAAACCGGAGTACCCGGAGGAAACCTACGCAGACACGGGGAGAACATGCAAACTCCACTCAGAAAGGCCCTGGTCCGGCCAGGATTCGAACCCAGGACCTTCTTGCTGAGAGGCGAGAGTGCTATCCACTCAGCCACCGTGCCGTGCTATCCACTCAGTAGTAGTAGTAATAGTAGTAGAATTAGTAGTAGTAAGTAAGTAAGTAATCTTTATTTATATACCGTCTTTTCACTGCACATCAGAGTCTCAAAGCGGTTTACAATTGTTATTTTTGGGCATTTGTCTCTCGCTTCCCGGAGGAAACCTACGCAGACACGGGGAGAACATGCAAACTCCACTCAGAAAGGCCCTGGTCCGACCGGGATTCGAACCCAGGACCTTCTTGCTGAGAGGCGAGAGTGCTTTCCACTCAGCCACCAGCAGTAGCAGCAGTAGTAGTAGTAGTAGTAGTAGTAGTAGTAGTAGTAGCAGTAGCAGCAGTAGCAGTAGTAGTAGTAGTAGTAGTAGTAGTAGCAGTAGCAGCAGTAGCAGTAGTAGTAGCAGTAGTAGTAGTAGTAGCAGTAGTAGCAGTAGTAGTAGTAAGGCCTTATGTTGATGGATCTGTTCCTGTTTCTCACCGATTGAAGGACGCAGGCGTTTCTCTCTGATGGCGACAGGTCGCAGCATTTGCTCACCACACTCTTGAGAGGAACTTTACCAGAGAATCTGTCATTTGAGACACAGTTTTACTTTTGATGAACAGAGTAAACTGAAAATACATGGATGCATTTACACATTGAACCATTATTTTCTGTATGAGATGAGATGAGAGGTAAGATATGTGGGTACAAGTGAACGTGCTGTTCAAAAACTGTAGAAATATAGATATATCAAAGATGAATGACTATTACAATCTTTAAACAAACAACAAAAATTTGCCTTTATCTCTAATCTCAACATATAATATCTGATTTTTAAAAATAGAATTTAAAGATTTGAAAAACAGGTAACGAGAGTATTTAATCTGTCTATCCATTTTAAGGTGGATCTAGAAATATACTTACAACCAAGAGGTTCTCATTTCTGATTTGTTATGAAATTGTTATGGTCAAATTTAGTTATTTAATATTGTCCAATTATTAGATTATTAATATAATTATTTGCTGCTGGACACCTGAGTTTCTCCTACGGGGGATCAATAAAGTATCTATCTATCTACCTATTATCCTTATTAGGCTAATTGTAATCTTATTTGTTGTCATCTGTTTTGGACTGTTCAGTGCCCTATACTCTGATTTGCATGGGGTCTGTGGATCTAAAAATGTAGCTTACTTTTTTGTGATAATCTTGTGGGTGTCACATACATCGCTCAGTGACAGACCCGTTGAGAGGGTGTAGTTGTAGTCCAGGTTTGAAGACATATTTTTGAAGCAGTTGAGCTCAACTCCTCCTTCACAACAGGGAAAATCAATCCTTTGGTGCTTACAGCCGTCACAGAACCTGGTCATCTCCTCCTCCCACTATTCAAACAAAAGACATCCACTTAGAACAGACACCAGGAGGAAAATAGTACAAATCATCTGATGAGATGATCATAAATATGTTTAAATGTATCTTTATTTAACCAGGATATACTTCAGATATATTCAAACTATATCCAGTCATATTTTTGTTTATTTCGTCCATCCCTCCTACATGGAAAAGCACACCCATATACTGTGCCATTGATTGGAACTAAACCTGGACAATGTTGAACCAGAGCTAACAAAGGTTACAAAGTTTCTACATCTAAGACTAAAAACTAGGTGTAAATATCTCACTAATAGGGATGTCAAAAAAGGCCCTTCGTCTATCTTCTGTCTTTGAATAATTCCCTCTTTATTGTGTCTCGGTCAGATGATTGTATTGCTTATTACTTCTTCCTACTCACCGACAGCTTTGTGCAGGGCAGAGGGCTTTCCTTTCCCCTGCAGCACAGTTTGAAGCGTTTCTTGAGGGAGTTGGTAGATCTGGCCTGAAGAGCCGCGAGGCCCTGACCTTTGAAGCACTTCATGTTGTAGTGTGGCAGCTGTTTGAGGTTTCCACAAATGGACTGGACGTTGGACTCGGTGGGAGCAGACAGGGGGAACTCCAGGTCCACTTTGAGGGGGGCGGCTGGGCTCTTACCCTTATTTTGTCCTCTGATGCTGTGAGGAGTCACGGCTGTCCTGGAAATATGACACATGGCATGAATCATCTGGACTGCATCATGTGAAAGTGCACTAGGACTGAAAAAACTCGCACTGCTATAATCAATTTCATTTTTAATATATCTTGCGCAATAGAGGCTATATTTCTTTTTTACTTTTTTAACATGTTTGCACACTTTCTTTTTGCACAACCTGGATGATTCTATCTATGCTAAATGTGACACAGTGAGATCAATAAAGTTTATGTTATCTTAGTTTATATGTTTTTTTATGCGTTTAATAGACTAAAATATGTTGTTGTAGAGAAGGTTTTCAATAGCTAACAGTTTGAACAACCCCAGATCATCCAGATTTAAGGGAATTTATTAATCCAGGTGCTAAACTTTGTGTGCAAAGCGAAACAGTGGGTGCAATTTGTCCGGTTTGGTTCCATGTGTATGTTTGCTCCAATGTTTGCCAGTGTCACCACGGACTCTGGCAACCCAAATATGAGACTCCTGTGAGTCTAATTCTGCATTCTGATTGGCTTATGGAGCTTGAGAACATGAAATGTATAAATATAATATATATATATATATAACAAAGGTTATGTCTATTGTTTATGTAATTGAGAAAAAGATAGGTCTGGTTTTATTCTTTGAAATCAACATCTTACATGCGGATCTTAATGTATGAATGTATGAATCACACCAATGAGACAAAAGAGCTGAAAGAGCAGTTTGTTGTAAACAATAAGTGAACACAGTGGTTAGTGCTGGTGCTTCACAGGAGGAAGGCCATTCTATGTATCCTCCGGGTGCTGCGGCTTCCCCTACCACTAAAAATCCTTTACAATAGTTCAGGGTGATTGAGTGTGTGTTTGTGAGTGCAACTATTGTGTGTCAACAGATGGAAATGAGCTCGAGGCTACAGGTGGAGCCAAATACAGCAGAGGCCGCTCTGGAAGTGCCTGTCAGCGAGAGTTTAAAAGAAGCATAAATGGTTCAGGTGTGGAGCAGAGGACACACTGTGTACCGTGTTACAGCTGCAAAACGTATTCTTTTCTGTCACTTAAGACTATTTTTGTCATCATTTTCCCTGCATTACAATAAATAAATGGATTGGCATATCTGACTGGACACTTCAGTTTCATCGTTCATATTTTCTTTCATCATCTTTAGTTATACAGTATTTCATCTCGAGTGACACTCAAGGCACGTGTCATTTTCCAGCGTTAAAGTGCCACATAAGCTACAATCCGGTGCAATTACAGCATCTGCTCTTCATTAATACACACTGCCCTGACCAAATAAACAAACCCTTAAGTGAGGGTGGTGAGGAAATTACTCCTCAACCTTTGTCCACATACCACAACTCTTAACTTCCTGTAGCCTCCCTCTCACACCTTCTTACACTCACTTTAAACCTTCCATTCAGGAGAAACCCCCCCGACCCTCTCATCTCGGGCTCACTTTGATTTTCGGCAATTATCATCATCTGTTATAATGTTTTACTGCGGCGTGGACATGGTTGTAAGGTACTGTAACTAGCTTCATACTGTACATTATTTGTAATCTTACCCAGAGCATGAGCTGTGGTCAAAGTTGAACTTGACTTTGGGCGGCACAGGCTGCACAGGTGAGTCCTCTGTGGGACTGTAGTCTGGGTTTGGAGATGAACTGTCAAAGCATGGAAACCTCTCACTCCTGTTCACCTTACAGCAATGGAAGTGTGTAGTCTTTAAGGCAAAGCCCACTTTACAAAAATGGTTAATGGACTTCTCCCACTGAAGAGAACAGAAAAAAACACAATAACATTCATTTTATCCATTTTCTTTTCCTCACAAACAAGAGCATTTGGTACAGAAAGGTGCATGCGTTCAAGCCAAGGCCTGTCTGTTATGTCTGCTGCTCTGTTTATGAAAGGCTTATCGAGAAAAAGCCTCCAAAGCGTTGAAATATGCGCACACTATCATCTCTGCAATGTCAAGAATGCATTTGTGTCCTCGCTTATTGTGGTCTGGATTTATATGAGAAATCCCTTGAAATGTGCCCTGCATTCTTACCTGCATTTACCACATTGACAACATGAATATAATGCTTAACACATATACTTTCTGTTCACTCTCTTCTCCATTGGCCCAAAGTGTAACAAGGCTTAACACACTACAATCTTTTTAAGTATGATATTTAGTTTGAAAAAATAACACTTTAGCCATATTTTACCAACTGCATACAAGTCGGAGAGAGCTATTTCCCGTAGAAAAGTTGTACCTTGCCTTAAATTTTGTGATGCAAGTGCAAAGTGAAGCAACAAAGACGCCTGCATTTTTTCAATGGAAGATCTATCTATCTAATAACCAATTGTATATAGTATAGTAAATCAGAAGTGTTGGCCCGATAGAACACTAAACATAATAAATACATGTGCACTATACATGTATTTATACTTGTAAAACTAATCTAGAACTGTGTATCAGGGATGAGAATAAAAGGTCAAACTACTGTATCTTCTGTGTGGCCATTCGTTTCCTGTTCGCAATCATCAGTTTGTTGTAAAAACTTAAAAGAACAACGTCAAGAATGAATCTTCAGACAAAACTTCACTAAGTGTGAAAGATTAACTAATATTAAAATGGTGATTAACACTTTATAATAATATAAACGAGAGTTTCAATTCCTCTGGTCCTCCTGTTATAATTTGATCTTTAAAATCGGCTGATTCTTGGATTTGTGGGATATGAGTCATAATACTGCCGTTCATTTCCACTGCTGAGGTTCAACATTCTCTGCTGTCAATCACTCCACACGCAGCGGTGCAAACCTGGAACGTTTGGGAATAAAGTCATTTTGAGATTGTGACTGTATTTACATTTTGTGGGATTGTCATTTGTCTGTTTGTCAGACTGCAAAAAACCTCAAAGAGGATTATTATATTATATATATCTTATATTGACTGCATTTGCAGTTTGAAGATGATCTGAATCACTGTTTGGATCCAGGATATTTTTTATTACAAATGGTACTGCACCTCTTGCGGGGGTCTGTGGTTAATAATAATTAATAATTGTACTGAATATAACTCCAGAAAAAGTTCATTAAATTTGTTCATAAATAATGTAATCATGTGAACAGAGTACCAGCATATTATTCAAACTATAAAGGGTTAAATAAGTCCCATGTACATGTGATTTATTATTACAGAGGCTGACTAAACAGCATTTCATTTGGGATTCATAACCATTTTGTACATTTGTAAACGTTTTTTGCAATATTGTAATATTGTTTTTTTTTTTCAGGCCAATACAAGGTAAGCTATGAATTACATTTGACATAAATTACTGTTTGTAAAGATGAATATGTCAGCTAAATAATCATCAATGGGGATTTGATTCCGTGGCGATACTATCAATAAACACGTGTCATTTTCATTGTCAGCAGTTTCACTTACAGATTGAGTGGCGCAACAAAGAAGTGCTTCCTCTGTCTGATTGTGCAGTCTGCAGCACTTCTCAAACCAGGCCTCCAGAGTGTTCACCGCATCGGCCTCACGTTTGTGCACCCCAAAACCATGGGTAGGGAAGTAGGACGCAGGGTACCGTGGGCGATGAGCTCCATGGAGGCAGATGGAGCGGAGGTTCTCTGCAGTCGGGCGAGCGAGAGGGAATTCCACATGGTACTTCATCTCACGGATTAAGGGATGAGGGCGAGCTGAGCACAAAGAAATAAAAAATAATGTGAATGTGAATGTAGACAAGGCAAGCTTGTCTAGCACAAGGAAGCTCAAAGTGTAGTGTAAAACAAGAGAGAAATTTAAAGTTATCAAGCAAAAGGTATTTTTGAGAGAGAGAGATCAGATTTAGACCTGGAGTTGAAAATGTTCAGAATGGTGGCCGGTCTCACTATTTCATTAGGAATTTTAGTTGCATGAATCAGAAATGATGCCTCCCCATGTTCAGCCCTGAGTCTAGGCACAAGCAAGAGGCTGGTCCCTGTGCTCCTCAGAGTTCCAGCTGGAGGCAAGTCCCTGTGCTCCTCCCAGCAGGAGGCCAGTCCCTGTGCTTCACAGTCACAGATGTACTTTGGTGCGAGGCCATGGAGTGACTTGTACACAAGCAGAGCTGGAGAATCCAGTGAGCAGGCCATTACAGAAGTCTAATACTGGAGACAAATGTGTTTAATAAGTCTCTCTAAGATTAGAATGGTTGTGTTTAGTTCTACATTATACATTTGACCTGCCAACAAATGGATTCAGCATGGTGAGTAGGGATGGGATAATATGATATTTCTATGGCACGATGGTACATGGTTAGGGCCATTTCTCCTACAATAAATTCTAGATCGATATAGGATGAACAGAAATTGATTGAAAGATCCTGGACTATTCCATCCTGGATATTGTCACCATTTGGGGCATGACATACCAACATTATGATCAAGTGTGATGTCATTGTCATCTCTGACTGAAAAGAAAGTGTCTTTTTCTATAAACTGATAGAAATAAAGCCCCGATAACTCTTTAAAAACACCAAAATTGGCCCCAATCCATCATCGTGTTATGCAATATCCTGAAGACCAAAGATAAGTGAAGATATTCAAATAATAACATTCAGAGCAATGATAATCTACATGGACTTTCCATATGTTTGTTTAATGTGTTGCTGATTTACACAATCAGAAAGATAAAGTGATGGCATTTAAACAATAAACAAAGAAAGACACTCACATGCTCTCGGTGAGAATCCTGGATTTGGTGTCTCTAGAAACAGGGTCATAGAAAAACATGCTTATTTTATTTGTGAGAATTTGTTAGTTATCTTACATGTATGAAACATTAAAGGACAACATTTCCACGTATGCTCTCATAAACACAAATTCAATGAACAAAAACCAAATCGGATCCAAAACCATAATTAAAACTGTTTACAATGATGTTTGCATTAGTAAAAAGTATAGAAGTTATAGTTAAAGGATAATTTAAAACTAATATTCTTCCTTAATTCTGCCCCCATCTGCTGTTTTTTTCTGAAGTCTCCTCAAATGAATAGATAATGTATATATAGCAGTACAAAATAATAGTAAATATTTGAGGCATAACTACATTTTAGTTGCTGTCTGTGAGGAATATGAAATAAAACCAGGTTATCATTTCAGACTATAGCTTTTTGAGTCACAAGACAATACTATATTTTAACGTGAATGCAGAGGTATCAAGCTTTGTGTATACGTAGGCATCTCCAATGTCAACATGCTGTGAATATTATGAGTGATATTAAACTAAGGTAGAGCTAAAGCAGAGTTTTCCCTGTGAGTAGTACATATACCACCTGCTTTTATTCTTTCTCCTTCATACTCCAGCCTCCAATCAGTGCCTCTCTCATCTTCACTCAGCTCATGCCACTACCCTCCTCCTCCCCATCACCGTTTCAACAGTCGACAATCAATCCACATCATCGGCTCATCCCTTCAGAACCCACCACCACCAGGATTTAGACACCAGGGGGAATTCATCTCCATAATCTCCATTCAAATTCCCTCATGCCTAAGGCCCTGCAGTATATTCTTCATTATGGTTGTAACTAACAATTATTATATTTTATTATCTTCATAAATTAATCTAGCTGTCCATTTTCACCTTGATTTCTAGACATTCATCAATATTTTTATTGTAAATACTACACTGTTTGAGAGTTAACCTCACGCCTCAGCAAATAAATGTGTTTTTGTCTGTATAAAGCACCGTTAATGATGAATTGATTAAAACAATAGTTGTGACTGGCCATTACAGCCCAATGATTCATGCAAAGCCACTGAATACTTACTTTCAAAATCATTCAGGATCTCAAATAGGTCAAGTTCCCTCTGCATCATGAATGACTCTGGTGGCGGATTATCTGAAAGAGTTGGAGAGTCATGAGTTACCAACAGTGACCAGTGCTTGTACATAATAATGCTTTGTGTGTGAGAAAGTGCGATTCAGCGTTTATAGGGGTACGTACCTTTCATGAATCGGCGGATGTCAGAGGAGACTTCACGCTGCTCTACGAGGCCATCTGGAAAAGTAGGACGGCGGAAACACTGTTATGTAAACTGTAAAGGACCACGCTGTTTGAGCATCACAAATCAGAAATGCATCAAGTGAGGGAGAAAAATTGTCTTGAGAGTTTAGAACAGAGACCACAATTCACACAGGAAAACAACATTCTTCAACAACCACAATCTTCCACTCTCTCCAGTTTATTCTCACGCAGCTCTCAGTGTGAATGCCAGAGAAACCGCTTTCCAAACTACAAACAAATCATTTCTTATTCTGAATGTTTTTTATTGCATTGAAAAAAACAAAACACGTGCATCTTCACTAACTTGACTTGCTATTGAGGAGCTTCTCCTCTTTTTCCCAGAAAAATATGGTTCCTATAAAACGTTTTAATCTCCGCAGAGATTCTGTGCTGTGGAGGTGGGACGTCACTTCACCAGTGTTAAAACCATGTAACAAACATTCTCTATGAAGACAGATACTTTTCCTGTCTGTGGCAGATCGCAGACAAATATATTTGTTCATGGAAACAAGTAGATGGACCTCCTCTGACACATAAAAGTTTGGTTTACTGAGGCACAAGCCCTATCAGCAAAGAAGATTCCCTAAAATCAATAACAACAATAACAAATTTGATATTCAAATTACTTGAAGAGAAGATCACATAGGTATTATTTCTTTATTGAATTATTTCTATTTCTAAGCCCAAATAATTATCAATATAAATCCAATGTTCCTTTTTAAGCTAAATCATTTTAGAACCTGGAACATTGAACTTCACATCAAGAGTACTTAACTTTGAAATCACACAATCAAATACTAAAACTTATTTTTACATGTATGTTTGGCCTCTGTCATATCTTTAGATCAGCGTTTTGAGTGAAAAAGAGATGACGCGCCCTCACTCAACCAATCGGCTCTCTAAAATACTCTAAAAGCTCTAATTTGTTCACAACACGTTACTCAAACACGATTCATTCTGTTGGGACAAACACAATGTATTCTATGTAAAAGTTAGGCACTCCATAAACTTGTATCTTTGATTGAACCTCATGACCTACTTCTTACATCTAGATTATGATATTATTTCGCTTAACTCTACTAAATAAATCTCAAAGCACATTTACCGCTGGATGTTGCGCTGACGCGGACCACAGCCACCGCGAGGGAGCAGACGAAAGCCCAGGTCCGTGCACTCATCCTGGGGTCTTGTTGAGGCTGTGATCGCAGTGTCCGGTGGTCCAGACCTGGGCATACTGAAGGGGCGTGTGCTTCAGAGCTTCCCCGGATCTCATTGGTTCAAACGGCGCTGTTTATGGTTGTTGTGGAGTTACAGCCAGGACAAACATGGTGGGAGGAGGGGGATGTGATTCATGTGTGGGTGGTCTCTGGCGTCACATCACAACACTGCCATGCAGCCATACAGCTGTTTGGCAAAAGTCCCAGGTACTTATGTAGAAGCATATATATTACTATAGGTTTAAATTTACTATGATTAAAAACAAATAATAATAATAATAATAATGAAAATTTAGGATATATCCTAATATATATTATTAGGATACGTGTTACTTTGTCATTTCAGGATTTAGAATGAGAAATTATAGCTTTAGTGGAAAATATATGGTGAAACATGTATCAAGGGTAAATATCTTGATGGTGTAGAATAAGGGGATTGTAAAAATCCCTCTTATTTCCATCAATTCAGGACTGAGACTGTAAGTAAGTAAGTAATCTTTATTTATATATCGCCTTTCACATACCAGAGTCACAAAGTGTTTTACATTTGTTATTTTTGGGCATTTGTCTCTCACTCCACACAGAGATGGGAGTGAGGTCGCCAGTACAGGAGGCACATGCCAGACCTATTGTACATGTTTAGTGGTAGAGAAAACCAGAGTACCCGGAGGAAACCTACACAGACACTGGGAGAACACGCAAACTACTCTCAGAAACGCACTGTTCCGACCAGGATTCGAACCCAGGACCTTCTTGCTGAGAAGCGAGAGTGCTATCCACTCAGCCACCGTGCCTCAGATCCAAGACTGAGGCTGTAGAACCAGGACTGAGGCTGCAGGTCCAGGACTGAGGCTGTAGATTCAGGACTGAGGCTGCAGATTCAGGACTGAGGCTGCAGATCCAGGACTGAGGCTGTAGATCCAGGACTGAGGCTGCAGGTCCAGGACTGAGGCTGTAGATTCAGGACTGAGGCTGCAGGTCCAGGACTGAGGCTGTAGATTCAGGACTGAGGCTGCAGATTCAGGACTGAGGCTGCAGATCCAGGACTGAGGCTGCAGGTCCAGGACTGAGGCTGCAGATTCAGGACTGAGGCTGCAGGTCCAGGACTGAGGCTGTAGATCCAGGATTGAGGCTGCAGGTCCAGGACTGAGGCTGTAGATTCAGGACTGAGGCTGCAGATTCAGGACTGAGGCTGCAGGTCCAGGACTGAGGCTGTAGATTCAGGACTGAGGCTGCAGATTCAGGACTGAGGCTGCAGATCCAGGACTGAGGCTGCAGGTCCAGGACTGAGGAGGCTCCCAGGCAGGGAGGTGGCTGCAGCTCATAAGTCTGGGCCGGGGAACCAGTTCATAGATAAAAATCTCTGTAAAATATGTATGCGCTACTGTGACATAACCAATACCATGTGGCCAGGTAATGTGGCATTATATGGAGTCTTTTCCTTTTTATCTTCTAATCCAAAATGACTATAATCGACATGCTGTAATCTCCAAAATGAAATACTGTGCATTGTATTGTGTATGTTTGACACAAACCTGGACACATTGTTCGTCCTGTCTCTGTCTGGTCACATTTTCAAAGCTGCTCAGTGTGGGCCTCACATTACACTTTAAAGATTCCTGTAGGTCACCTGTGACCTCCACCACTCCCTCATCTCTTCACAATATAATGAAAAATACAGACAATACATTCCAAAGAGCCATACGCAAAACTCTGCAGCGTTCTCATGTTTACTAAGGTCCTGTTGGGTAAAGTCAAAGTCAAGTCCAGGTTCAATCTAGGTTTAAAAATTGTTCAGATCCAAGATTCGTCTCAAGTCTTTTTTTTGGACAGAGATGTCTTTGTGAGGGGGCTTGCCACTGTCCAGAGCTACTGTTATCACCAAGTAATGCATTTACATGAAGACAAGCCAGTCGTGAAGATTGCAGCAAAAAAGGTATACATTGTAGTTTTAAAAACACATTTTGCTCATTTACTTTGTGACTGTGTGCGTGACTAACAAACTTCTCTTTTCCTTCCAGTACCAGTGACTAACATGTTCTCTTTCCTTATTGCTGACAATTTGTTTTAAATTCAGTGAAAAGATCAACAATAATGTTACGAAATATCTCAATATATCCACATAACTGGATGACTTGTGTATAGAGTGTCGTTAGTAACTTGAAAACAGTACTTGAAAACAACAAAATCAAGGACAAAGTACAGAAGCCCTGAAAAGCACAAGCCAGATTTTGTTTTATCTTGTTTTAATTATTTTCCCTTTTTTCTTTCTTTTTTCCCGCTCGTCTTCTGTGCAATCATCACAGCTGCTCCTCAGGTCCCTCTGATCATATTTCAATGTATTATTAAAAAAATCGGAATCCCTAATAGCTGCCCTCACATTAGTTTCATGTTCAATCCTAAGTCAATAACAACCGAGGAAAAAGTGTCAAAATAAAATCAAGCACAACTCCTTACATGCATAATACAACTATACTGAATTTATTACCTTGAAATACTTTTCTGCAGCAATGACATTGAGGTAAAATATCTAGAGACAAGAAAACCAAGATAACAGCCCGAAACCTCAGCAAAGATTAGGACAGCGGTTTTAGCATTATCTCGTGTTGAAGGAAGTTTACCCGTTGATTACATGTTATTTTCAAAAGAAATATCAATAGCCTGTAAAGCTGGGGTACCTAACTTTCTTTATACATATTGTTGGCCCCTCTAGGAAAAAGCAAAATGTTGTGAACAAATCAGACCACAACATACTTTTTATATATTTTTCTTCATCCTTGAGAGTCTCTTTTTCACATTTTTAACATTGAGCTGATGCCTGAGTGATGATGGTTTTTTTTTTCACTTTTCTGTCGGATAAAAACTGCTAAAAAAGTGATGGAACCAACATTTTATGAGTCTGTCGGTGCACAAAGTGTACCTTTTTTGCAAATGTATTCCAAGGTAGTTTTTATACTGCACATGGCTAATAAAATGAATCTGAATCTGAGAATTATTTTTGGAGGATTTGAAAGATGAATACCCCAGCTGTGAGAAAGCAAAATGAACAACAGTAATTTCACTGACCTCCAGTATGCAAGTAATCTCAATATTTACACAGCACAACCAGGGCCACGGAGCACTTTAAATTTTGAGTGTTGGGGCCAAGTCAAATCCAAGAGGTATTCATTTGATCTGTTCCGGCTTACCACATTTAAGCATCACAAAAACTACATGCCTAAAGAAATCCATAAGACATATTGAAAATATATATTCTTTCCGATAATAAAATAGACGCTATGGTTGAACTTATTGTTTTATCTTTAGAAAAATACATGTGTTTTCTGTGTGAGGAGTTCAGAGGGAGTTTGGCTGCTGCTCGGTGTCGGAGACGAACAGCTCACGGTACAGCGGCGGGAACAGAGAGTGCAGCGTGTGCGGGTGACGCTGACTGAAGCACCGCAGCTTCTCTGTGTGGAGGCAGCAGAGCGAACGCAGCAGCGCCATCCTCTGGTACAACTGCAACACAGCACGGAAAGAAAGTTACAGAGAGTGTCTTTAGAGAGAGGGGAGAAGTCTGCATTCGATTGCAGTTAAGAGTGAATGTGACGAGCCAGCGGCTGTAAAAGGGATTAACCGCTAAATCAGAGCAGGCCAAGTTTTGAAACTTCGGCCTCCTGCATGACCTTCCTTCTTCACATCTGACCGATGGTTTATATGGCAAGGTAATTTTATCAGGAAAACAACTCCAAACAATGATAAAAAAAAATAAAAAAATAAAAATCATAATTCATAATAAATTAGGGCTCTGCCATGAGCCATCTTTACTTCTGGCTCAGATCTGTTTGAATCTCAGCATACCTCTATATTTGTTCAATCTACCAAACAATGAACAGGCAAAAAGTAATAATTTGGACAAGACTGAATATTGTTCAAGTTTTCCATTCTTTCTCATCTTTGGAATATAAATGAAATAAAAGCTTGATATTCCCAATCATTTATTTGCAGACTTTTTTAAATCTTTAAATCAGCCTTTAATATTGGTCAAACAGCCTCAAAACCAATATCGGTCGATCTCTGAACCAGCAGATAGACCATGCACAGTCAAACTGCGGACCACAGGACCAATCAGGCCCATCATCAAATACATAGAAGTGTATTTTACGAGTTTGGTCCCAGTTTAAAGTTAGTTTCAAAGTTGATAAAGACTTCCTTGTGTATATTCACAAGTAACAGTACTACAGTGCAGTGGAGCATTACCTTGGGTATTAAATTATCCTGATTGTCTCGCTGAAGAATATGTGTCAGTCCCAGTTCGACGCCTTTTTGCACTCGCTGCACTCGGGCCCTGTCCTCCAGACACGGACGGTCTGCACACACACCAGGCAATATAGAGTAAGTGAACGGACCACAATGTCAAATTAATACATTGTCATACATGTATTAGTTATAATCACGAATCAACCATCCTTAATATAAACATTCTCCATAAGGTATAAAAGATGTCAGATACATTCATTGTGAATGATCTACGTTAAACCACTAGAGGGCGCATGGGATTTATGAGAGAAGCCAGATTGAACATTAAAGTTGGATCTTCTCTGTATCACAGTCAAGGAAAGAAACAGTTTTGTTTTTGGACAAATAATTAAATAATTAAAACACAAATTTAAGGAATTTAAGGAATAAAAGACAATAAAATGCTTGTTTTTTGTATTATCTATTTCTTTTGAAATCCTAGTAGATTCTTGTTACTGGTAATGAAATTCAAGTGAATGTGAGACTATGTTTTGGATGGTTGAGTGCTCAGGATTTAACATCAATGAGAATCTATAACATCTACACCCAACTAAAGCCTACAACACATGCACAATACATTCAGCAAATGCATAAAGAAGGTGAGAGAAACAAAATCAGCATTTTGGAGACTTGTTTGGAGAAAGACATGTTGAAGCGCTCCTGTTGAACTCTGGGAACGATGGCTGTGACGTACCTGCGTTGAGGAGCACCAAAGCACTGAACAGAGCCAGCTGCGGCTCCGTGAGTTTCAGAGAACACAAACTCTGAGCAAAATCAAAAACAGCAGAGATCAGGTCCCCACAGCCTGCAACGACACAACGATACATTTTACTTTTCAACTTCAGCTCTGTGTTAGTGCATTATGTGTTCTGTTATCTGTCTGCATCCTGGCCCAATGTGGCTGCTTTGACCTATTGTCGATGGACTAACACGTCTAGACTGAAAACATGGTCCAAATGAGGACTTTAGAGACTGCTGTATATGTAAGAATATATGAGCAAACTTTTGATGCAGTATTATTTTCTTTTCTATTGTTTTCTAAATAACATATACACATTTCATCACAATCAAATTGCCACAGTTTGAATTCATAAAAAACAAAAATTATAACTTGTTAGTAAATGCATATAGAATCAGTTTGATGTCATATTAAGAGTAAATCCAGGCAAAGCAATAACAGGCAGTTCTCCATAAGGAACATTACCATGCACCTTATAAAGCTCTAAACTGTTTCATCAGACGTTGGTTTCATGTAATATGGCAGTAAAAAAAAAATCTATATCAAGGGACTGTGTTTTATATTTCAAATAATTACAATAATCATCCTCATAATTAAAATAAAGAAATTAGAGACTCACCCAGAGCCTTGAAGACTTCAGTTCCGGCATATTTTCCATCAAAGTAAACCGTGTTATTGTCGGTGTTATAGAAGCGACTCATGCGCACAAGAACAACCTCCATAGATCCTGAAATGTTAAAGCCAGGTTACAATGGAGTTTATTTGTAATGTATTTGGATTGAGCACACAAGATTCTGGATATTTTTCATGATACTGACATAGACTGTATGATAGGAGTGTACTGTGACCCCATGAGTACGAAATTGGAGCCAAATAGCATAGCAACCTCATAGCAACCAAAGAGCCAATCAAGAGGTGAGGCCTCTTATTGGTCAGGATCATGTCGAGAACTAAAACTAGAGCATTCTAAGATGTGTAGTGTGACCTGAACAACTACAGCATAAAATAAATTTATTTATGTGTATTTCTGTTTAGTTTGTATCCCGATTATTTTCATGTTTTTATATTAAAAGTATGTGCTCAGGTTTGACTACTAACAATGAAAGAGTCAAATTGGTCATCTTTCACAGGTTTTACTAGTGTGTTAATCAATGGAGTAATTAGACAACTATTGTATGATCAAAATTGGCGATGAATTAAAAGCACAGCAGAGGCAGTTCTCACCGGCCTTGAGGAGGGCGATCTGGTCGTTCTGGCTGAGAATGCGAAATCCTGGGATGTGTTTGGCGAACTCCACCACGTACTGCACAGCGTCAGTCAGGCGGATCGCACAGAGCTGCCACATCTCATCCATCGACTGCATCGGGCGAAGACAAGAAATAGATTCAACACGATCAGCGATAAAATCAGAATCATTTTTATTGCCATTGTAAGTAACATGAAGTCACAAACTAGCAATTTGCTTTGGCTCGGGGTGCAGACAAGTTATACAATAAATAAATAAAAATAATAATAATAAATACAAAATAATAATCTTTACCATTTCCTATTTATTCAACAAAGAATGGGGTTGAAATAATGTATTGTAGAACTGATTAGCTAAAAAAGGATCTTCCGTGGGCCCAATCTGAAGTCTCACCCTCCACATGAGCAATTGCAAGACCTCCACGCAATATTAACACCTGAGAATGATTAAAATGTTTGCAGTTTTCCTATTATATCATATGTGCCTTTTAGCATAAACTAAACATTATTATAGGCATATAAAGCACTTTCCACGCCATGGGGTTAAGAATGGGTTTTTCATTTTACGTGCCTGACCGTTTCTACAAGTGGAGATCTGTGAGGCACTACTTATGTCTGTTTTTGTACAAATGCTGTCTTCAACACTAAAGCAATACTCACATCTGATGGACTATATGTTTTTCTGTGTTGACTTTTACCAGAAAAGTCCCATTGAAGTTTCATAATCTCATTCTCAGGGGAGTCCTGGGCTGGGCCATGGGAGATATTTTAGTGCTGTTTTGAGTGGTTTAGTACATGTTTTAGTGGTAGGGGAAACTGGAATACCTGGAGGAACATGCAAACACAGGGAGAACATGCAAACTCCACTCAGAAAGGTTCTATCCAGAGATGGAATCAAACCCAGGAGTGTGCTAATCACTCACTATACTCAAGTTATTCAATGTCACAAATTACCTACTATATTATTAGTAGGGTATCATGTTTTTTCGTTGCATAGATTTCATCTGAAAATAAGACTTACTTTGGAACGATCAAATGTTGTTGCTGAATATTGCATCTACTCCAGTAACAAGTGTAGTAGAAAAAGGAAATAGAGGAGGAGGGGATGACACCACAGATCTCGCTGTGACTCAGCTGAAGTGGATGTTGTGGGCACAAGGGTCGTACCTTGCTCTGGTAGGTCTGAACCTCGTCTCTGCTGAACAGCTTCCATCGCATCGAAAGCAACTCCTCCACTCTGAACTGACTGGTTTCACGGTGGGAACAAGCAATCCTCATGCACAGCTCATCTGGAAGTAAGTAAGTAAGTATGTAATCTTTATTTATATACCGCCTTTCACAGAGCAAAGTCACAAAGAGGTTTACAATTGTTATTTTTGGGCATTTTTGTCCTCTCACTCCACACAGAGATGAGAGCGGTTATATATAACCTGTCCTGGAGGCTCTTTATCAATCCAGACTTTTTAACAGTGCCCTGAGAATTATCAATGACTCTTCTGGCCACCCAGGAAAAGCCTTGTTCCAGCTTCTTCCCTCTGGCAGAAGATACTGTTCTCTCAGATGCAGGACATCTCGTTATGCTAATAGTTTTTTTCCACGAGCTGTTATCAGTTTGAATAGAGTACTTTAATGTTTTTGCACTTGTATAGATCTGTTTTAGTTGGTCAACTTCACAGTGACATTTGTTTACTGTTTTTAAAATTGTTTTATTTTTGTCTTTTAATGTTGTTTTATGTCTGTACTTGTCCTGTGCACACTGGGAACTTTTACTAATGTATTCCAATGTAGTGTTACTGCAAATGGCGAATAAAATGAATCTAAAATGAATCTGAATATAACAAACAGTTATATTTACAATTAAAACTGCTTTTACAATTACACTGCAAAAGGTGATGAAAAATAAGCCAAAAATTGCTTAAATGTGGCTAATCACATTTTGACTGCTTTAAAACACGATCTGCCATTGGAACAAGCAAAATTATCTTGATTTAAAAATAATGAAATAAATGAAATAATGCTAAAGGGCGTTGTCCCATTGGAAAATCTTGTTTTAAAACTATACTCAAATTAAGATAAAACCCTCCATATTCAAGCAATTTTTATAATCATATATTTTCATTTTTATCATATTTTATCATTTTCACGGTATAGGACTGCTTGTATTATTACTGAGGTTGATTCCGAGAAAATGTGTAAAAAGGTATTGCCCATAAATTGGTTTCAGCAATTTCTCGGGTGAAATGATATTGCATGGCTGAGGTTGCAGTTGGTAATTTTCATAGTTGGAATAAAACAAAACAAATTATTTCCCTCCCTCTGGTGGTACCGTAGGGAAAGTTCTAGGAAAGAAAGTAAGAAAGTAGCAAGTCAATAGTCTCAATATCGTTTGGAATAGCCGACAATCATGCAAAAATATGTCTAATTTAAAATGTAGTTACCGCTATAGCTACATCCAGAACTGCCAAATAACCATTTTCCATTGGACACAATTTGTAACAAGATAGCAGTGATTTAAGGAAGAAATGTGGGGTATGTTCAGTTGATTCATAGCAGAATAACAAGATCAGTAGAGGAAATGAAAAGGCTGAATCTCTAATGCCAGTATTCATGTACGGGTTCCACAATGGTACATCAGCATATCCATATAGAAGTAACACAAATACTTAATGCAAATGTTAAAATTGACAAATGTTTACCAATGTTTCTCAGAGAGTGAGGGTAGAGGCTGTAGGACTCCTCCATGGGGCTGTAGGGAGAGAGGCCCATCAGGTCATAGGAGCTCTGTCTGGACTCAAAGTCTGTGGAGAGTCAGATAAAGAACAGCCACTTTTATCTGAATCTTTAGATATCCAATTGTTGATTGTAAATTAAAAGAATCCCAGTTGAATAAATACATCTGCTGGTATCAAGGCTTCAAATGTTGTTCCTGCAGTCAGACGTTTGAAGAAATGTTGGACTATAACCAGGACAGCCCATTGTTTAGTCTCAGCTCCACCAATGTTTACAAAAGTGTGAAGGGTTCGGGTTGAAAATAGAATAAAATATGAACCCAAACTTTTTTTTTATTTAATCAAAACCTGTGTATCTCATTCATAGAGATACAGTACATCAAATAAACATTGAAATTTCAACAACAAACAGTGAAATAATTGCATAAATGTTTGGGAAACTTACTACTTTCTACTACTTTCTACTACTGTCACTTATTATCGGAGGAGCCAATGGCACATACTGTTTGCCTCGCTTCTGTCAGTGTGCCCCAGGGCAGCTGTGGCTACAATAGTAGTTTATCACCAACGTTTATGGAGTGAAAGAACACTGACATGTGAAGCGTTTTTGAGTGTCCAAATAAACCTTTGCATCTGAAAAAGCTCCAGTGTTCCCCAGTCCAAACCAAGCAGTGTTAAAGGGACCTCACCTCTGGGGTCGACGTGTGCGCTGCCCTGGGACCCCCTGTAGATCACGGGCTCAGAGGGGGAGCACATGAGGTAGGGGTGGAGGTCAGAGGGATAGTCTCCATTGAAGGGGAAAAAGGAGGACATGGGCTGCATGTGGTGTGTGGACTTCTCCTCTCGGGGTTTGGAGGGGTAGGACAGGACGGCTTCAGTCTGGGCCTGGAGCTGCTGCTGCTGCTGTCGGTGACGGTCCACTTCAGCGAGGAGAAAGTCCCGCTGCCGTTTAGACATGCGCCCAAACTTCACGGCTGAGGACAGAAAACAGTGTGGAAATCTATTTACCCAATCTCTCTGTGATTACAGAGAATTACAAGAAATATGTCCAAGATGACTACATTTGAAACATGGATCTGGTCTGGGGCAACATTGTTGGAAGCAAAAAATAAAAATGTAATAACTTATAATAAATAAACATATATACAAAATACATTGGTCTCATAATATTTATTTCTCTCACTCTGGCAATGTAAACGATGTTAAAGAAATATACATTTGCCATTTTCAATTGCGATCATTGCAATTACAAATCAATTTTGCGACTTCTGTTATGGAGCTAGGATGAAAACATGTTGTTGTCATTTTCCTTGTATTTCTAAGGCAGTTCCGGAACTCTAAACACAGCGAAGGCCAGACGTATGTAATATTGCAACACAATGATTTTCTGTTTGTAAAGGAAATAAATAATAATGTATTCTGTTTTAATGATTGGCCGCTAAAATTTGTATTCAATTATGATCAATTATGCAGCTCTTCATTTAACTTATATGGTCGAGCAACTAAATAAAAACAAAAATAAATCTAAGTTTCACGAGTGCATGTTCTTCCTCTTTTATTTCAAAATAACTTCTATTTGGTCCACAGTAAATTCTTAGTTAAAAATATACAAGTATAATGTGAATCCATAAAGTCAGAAACAGGTCTTCTGGAGACTCACCGTCTCGGCTCATGCCCTGGGCCAGACACTTCTGCAGGCGGCAGTGCTGGCAGCGGTTACGGGAGGCGCGGTCGATCAGACAGTTGCTCTGACGGGAGCAGGAGTACGACACTGTGGGCAGCTGGCTCCTCCGAAAGAACCCCTGGAGAAAATACTCATCAAATATAGCAAGACTAGACCCTATTACAGGACCTCAAGAGAGTATGAGTGTTAACATACTTTTAAAGAGTACATGTGTCATTGCTCTGGACAGAACATATTATAAACAAGAAGTACAGGCCATTATTTAGGATTCTACCATTTATTTATATCAATTATAATTCAAATTTTAAATATTACTATTTATAGTTGCACAACCTCACGAGAAATTGTATAAGTGTGAAAGTTTGGAATGGAACATTGACACAAAACGTTTAACAATTTTTGGGAGTTTTTGGTTTCAGATGGAAATGGGTGGAGTCTGTATTCCTGCTTGGTTGGAATGACAACTTGCCCCAGTCCTTCTAAGGGCAAGTTTGACCCTTTAGGCACTTTTAAAAAGAACAATCTGAACACAAAACTTTTGTAAACTCACTAGGCTTAGAAGTAAAGTCATGCATTCCATAATTGCAATCTGGGGATTTTCTGGTCCTAAACAAGATACACAATCTATAAACGTATAAAAAATATATACAAGAAATCTAGACCATTCACTTATCAGCATTTAACTGTTAACAAACTTTTGAACCAATGACATTTCCTAAACATGTCCAAACCTTTGTAAAACACAAGCATGACCCTGGTCTATCTGTGCTACATTAATAAAAGACTACTTACTAAAATAATAATAATAATAATAAGTGAAATATTATTTCACTAAACTGTAACAAATGTTTGAAACCACTTTTGCAGAAGTCCAACATGTGTCTCTCACCTTACAGCCTTCACACGTGATGACTCCATAATGAACTCCTGACGACTTATCCCCACAGATCTTACAGGGGATAACTTCAATCTGGGCTGAAAGAGATGAAAGATAAATATGAATATGTTTCTAATTACCTTTTTTTAACGGATTTTGATTTAAATTTTCAAAGGATGGCGTGCAGTTGCATTAGAAAAGGTATTGTGCTCTGTAGTCATTCACAAAACAATCAAACATGCACAGATTTACAAAAGGTGCAAATACAGAGTGCAATAAGCAATATATTTGAAGTACAAAAGTGGAGTGGTTTATTCTTGATATTGCACAGATGTGGTAAATCAAAGATGGTATTATACCCCAAAAACAAAGGGTAAGGAGTGCTGCGCGGTACAAGCGAGTACAAATATTTAGAAGACCAGGTGCTCAATTGGAAGAGGGGTTTAACTTAGTAACAAAAAGTGGAGTGTTGACCTTCCAGGTAAAGGCAAATCATGAAGAGCCCAGAAAGTCAAAAAAATCCAAGGCACTTGTGGTCAGTAGTTTAGAGAATTAAAAAAATCTGTATTTTTTCATGGCTGTAATTTAAAATATGCATGGTATTATACCCGGCTGGTTCTGTTTGTCTGAGTGTAGGACTGTGGTCAAGGAGCCTTTGACCGCCCAAGAGAAGATGTGGACCTTCTTTTGGGAACATAGCAGTCATCCCTAGATTACGCAACAATCAAGCTTTTGTGTAAAAACATGGAATGCAGAGAACCAAATAAAAAGCTCCTGGCTCTGTTAATAAAATAATATATATAGATACATTTTATATATACAGTATAATATAATTTTAAGGCAGAAAAGGTTTCAATCTCAAAAACAGGTCTTCTGAACAAAGAACGAGACAATTCAACTCAAGACTGTTTATTTTGAGGTCAAGGCGGAAAATAATGAATACTAGTAAAAAAAAAAAAATTAAATAAGTTTCGCTATTCATCTTCAGAACACACACAGAATCACATCAAACAGATAAACCTGCGTGTGGATTATTTGGACACTGAACCTCAGTCTTTGAAGTGGCCTGCAGCAGGTTCTCGCTCTGACTGTCCTGCTTTCATCTGTTTGTGTCTTTGTCAAATCCTGCTCTGTCTGTTTCACACTGCCAGTAAGACACGGCTACCATCATCACTGCCAGGAACACCAGCCCCCTCCTCTCCCTCCTCTCCCTCCTCTCCCTCCTCTCCCTCCTCTCCCTCCTCTCCCTCCTCTCCCTCCTCTCCCTCCTCTCCCTCCTCACCCTCCTCACCCTCCTCTCCCTCCTCACCCTCCTCTCCCTCCTCTCCCTCCTCACCCTTCTCTCCCTCCTCTCCCTCCTCTCCCTCCTCTCCCTCCTCTCCCTCCTCTCCCTCCTCACCCTTCTCTCCCTCCTCTCCCTCCTCACCCTCCTCTCCCTCCTCTCCCTCCTCACCCTTCTCTCCCTCCTCTCCCTCCTCTCCCTCCTCACCCTTCTCTCCCTCCTCTCCCTCCTCTCCCTCCTCACCCTTCTCTCCCTTCTCTCCCTCCTCACACTCCTCTCCCTCCACACACACACAGAAAACAGGTGAAACTGTAATGCAACTTAAAATGTGATTTAGATTCATGGCGTGCAAGGTGAAATATGTCAAGCTTTTGTTTCAGACGGCTTACGAATTGAAAATATGTTGTATTCAAAATCTCACATGATTAGTGCCACAGCCTGAGAAGAACCATGAGAGGAACCATGAGAGGAACCATGAGAGGAGTCATGAGAGGAACCATGAGAGGAACCATGAGAAGAACCATGAGAGGAACCATGAGAGGAGTCATGAGAGGAACCATGTGAGGAACCATGAGAGGAACCATGAGAGGAACCATGAGAGGAACCATGAGAGGAACCATAAGAGGAACCATGAGAGGATTCGTGCCGTGCAGCCTTAGGGCAAAATAGCCCCAACCCAGAACACAGTCCACATCATGCTTACAGTATTCACAGGGCCCACAATTGTCTTATAATCATCTTTTTTTATTTTCTTGTAATTAATATCATGTATGGTTCTAATCTTCTGAGATGTTCAATTTGGGTTTTCATAATAAAATCACAATCAAAATGTAAACAAACAAAGGCCTGACTTTGCAAGCGAGTGCATAAAATGTATTAGTTTCACATTTTAAACTAGAGATGACTTTTTCATGATATTCTATTGATCTGAGTTTGACTTGTAAAAGAAAGGGGTGTTTCAGAACATTTGTAGAGGATTTCTACAGGTTTCTTTAAGTCAAATTCAAGTCTATTTCACACAGTTTTCAGACTTTGTTAACATAATGAATAACTATCACAACCTTTTACAGAACTTTTGCCAGAAAACATCAGAAACAACATACACTACATACATGTTCAGTCAAGGTTAATAAAAAAAAGGTAATTAGAACATACTGTATAAAATCTTAAACAAAATATGTGTTTAGTATATTCAAAATAAATAAATGCAATGCTTTGAAGACTGGCTGTTAATTTACTGTCATTCAAATGCACTTTTATAAAACAGAGCAAAGGACTAAACAGAACCCTGGAGTAGTGATTGCACTTCCACTTATTCACGTGCATATCTGTGTCAGATCATTCTCCATGTGTTAGTGTGTCACAACGTGCCCTCTTTTATTGTGTGGCACCAAAGCCGTTCACATGTGACACACTCATAAACAAAGTGGAGATGTCTGTATTCTATTTTATTCTTACATCTTTGTGCGCTCGGAGCTTGTCTGAGAAGGAGACTCCGGAAGTGACATAGACATCTATTAAAACCAAAATGATCCATGGACAAAGCTCCAGACCAGTGCCCTCCCAACAGTCTGCTGCTGACAAACTATAGCACAGGTTTATGTACACTTTATACAGTGCCTTGCGAAAGTATTCGGCCCCTTGAACCTTTCGCCATATTTCAGGCTTCAAACATAAAGATATAAAAAATTTAAAATTTGTCATGAATCAACAAGTGGGACACAATCGTGAAGTGGAACGAAATTTATTGGATAATTTAAACGTTTTCAACAAATAAAAAACTGAAAAGTGGGCCATGGAATATTATTCGGCCCCTTTACTTTCAGTGCAGCAAACTCACTCCAGAAGTTCGGTGAGGATCTTTGAATGATCCAATGTTGTCCTAAATGACTGATGATGATAAATAGAATGCACCTGTGTGTAATCAAGTCTCCGTATAAATGCACCTGCTCTTTGATAGTCTCAGGGTTCTGTTTAAAGTGCAGAGAGAACCATGAAGACAAAGGAACACACCAGGCAGGTCCGAGATACTGTTGTGGAGAAGTTTAAAGCCGGATTTGGATACAAAACCAAGCTTTAAACATCTCAAGGAGCATTGTGCAAGCAATTATATTGAAATGGAAGGAGTATCAGACCACTGCAAATCTACCAAGACCCGGCCGTCCCTCCAAACTTTCATCTCAAACAAGGAGAAGACAGAGATGCAGACAAGAGGCCCATGATCACTCTGGATGAACTGCAGATAACTACAGCTGAGGTGGGAGAGTCTGTTCATAGGACAACAATCAGTCGTGCACAAATCTGGCCTTTATGGAAGAGTGGCAAGAAGAAAGCCATTTCTCAAAGATATCCATAAAAAGTCTCGTTTAAAGTTTGCCACAAGCCACCTGGGAGACACACCAAACATGTGGAAGAAGGTGCTCTGGTCAGATGAAACCAAAATCGAACTTTTTGGCCACAATGCAAAACGATATGTTTGGCGTAAAAGCAACACAGCTCATCACCCTGAACACACCATCCCCATTGTCAAACATGGTGGTGGCAGCATCATGGCTTGGGCCTGCTTTTCTTCAGCAGGGACAGGGAAGATGGCTAAAATTGATGGGAAGATGGATGGAGCCAAATACAGGACCATTCTGGAAGAAAACCTGTTGGAGTCTGCAAAAGACCTGAGACTGGGACGGAGATTTATCTTCCAACAGGACAATGATCCAAAACATAAAGCCAAATCTACAATGGAATGGTTCACAAATAGACGTATCCAGGTGTTAGAATGGCCAAGTCAAAGTCCAGACCTGAATCCAATCGAGAATCTGTGGAAAGAGCTGAAGACTGCTGTTCACAAACGCTCTCCATCCAAACTCACTGAGCTCGAGCTGTTTTGCAAGGAAGAATTTTCAAAAATTCCAGTCTCTCGATGTGGAAAACTGATAGAGACATACCCCAAGCGACTTGCAGCTGTAATTGCAGCAAAAGGTGGCGCTACAAAGTATTAGTGCAAGGGGGCCGAATAATATTGCACGCCCCACTTTTCAGTTTTTTATTTGTTAAAAAAGTTTAAATCATCCAATAAATTTTGTTCCACTTCACGATTGTGTCCCACTTGTTGATTCTTGACAAAAAATTAAATTTTTATATCTTTATGTTTGAAGCCTGAAATGTGGCGAAATGTTGAAAGGTTCAAGGGGGCCGAATACTTTCGGAAAGCACTGTATATACACTGTCATGTGAAGTTTGTATGATGTATGATACTGTACATGTATCAGACACGTATGGACAGGATGCTGCTCCCTCTCACAGAAGCGTGCAGAACCAGGCTCACTAGAGCCAGGCCCGTGTGAAAACACCTTTAATGTCATATAAACCCATGTGGGCTGAGTACAAGTGTGCATGACACTGTCATTCATTAAAGAATACAGATCATATTATTGACCAATTATCTGCTTATGACCTTATGATTATCTCAAACTGACAACGATGCGGGAGAGTAATATCTGGAAAACTGAGACATACCTCAGAGGGGAAAGCGTTAGTGGTCTGCTCTACTGCTTTTTTACTATTTCACTTCTGATTTTCAACCTCAAAAAACAGGAAATCCACCGTGACCCACAGTCTTTCACTGTTCATCATACAATCACCCTGTCCCAGTCAGACTCCTGTGACGAAGTGATAAGATGCACAAAACACCACATGTTTCAGCTTGCAATAGCTAAAAAGTTTGATCGTATAATATCTCTTTTAAACTGTCACTTGTTGCTTTAATGAAATCTGTTCTCTGCTCTCTCTATAGTCAATATTATACAAGTACTTTGGAAC